CAAAAACTTGAAATATTAATTAAGACACTTTCTGGTATGTCATCATCATCATCATCATCATCATCATCGTTAACCGCTTAGTCCAGATAGGGTCGCGGTAGCAGTTGGGAGAGCAGAGAATCCCAGGTGACCCTCTCCCCCGCAACTTCCTCCAGCTCATTCCCGGGGACCCCAAGCCGCTCCCAGGCCAACTTGGAGATATAATCCCTCCAGCGGGTCCTAGGACGACCCCGGGGTCTTATTCCGGTAGGCCGTGCCTGGTACACCCCCACTGGGAGGCGTCCCGGGGGCATCCGGATCAGATGCCCGAACCACCTCAGCTGGCTCCTCTCAATGCGGAGGAGTAGCGGCTCTACTCCGAGCTCCTCCCGGATGGCCGAGCTCCTCACCCTATCAAATAGAGTGTAGCCTGCCACCCTGCGAAGAAAGCTCATTTCTGCCGCTTGTATTCGCGATCTCATTCTTTCGGTCATTACCCACAGCTCATGACCATAGGTGAGGGTCGGGATGTAGACCGATCGGTAAACAGAGAGCTTCGCCTTACGGCTCAGCTCCCTCTTCACCACTACAGTCCGGTACAGCGACCGCATTACTGCTGCCGCTTGTCCCAGCCTGCGGTCGATCTCACGATCCGACTCCTCCACCTGGGGCAAGTCCTTTCCCCCTACCTGGAGTGGGCATACCATCCTTTTCCGGGCTAAGACCATGGACTCAGACTTGGAGGTGCTGATCCGCATACCAACCGCTTCACACTCAGCTGCAAACCGCTCCAGTGTGCGCTGGAGGCATCCATGTGATCCAGCCAAAAGAACAACATCATCTGCAAATAGCAGAGACGCCACCCTCCGGCCTCCACACATAATGCCCTCCTGACCCCGGCTACGCCTTGACACCCTGTCCATGAATATCACAAACAGGAGTGGAGACAGGGCACAACCCTGGCGGAGTCCAACGCTAACACTGAAAGAGTCCGACTTAATGCCGAGTATACGAACACAGCTCTCACTCCGGGCGTACAGAGATTGAATGGCCCGGAGTAGTAACCCCGGCACCCCATACTCCCGGAGGACCTCCCACAAGATATCTCGGGGAACACGGTCGTAAGCCTTCTCCAAATCCACAAAACACATGTAGACTGGGTTGGCAAACTCCCATGCCCCCTCAACAATCCGTGAGAGGGTGAAAAGCTGGTCCATTGTTCCACGGCCAGGACGGAATCCGCATTGTTCCTCCTCAATCTGAGGTTCAACTATCGGCCGAAGTCTCCTTTCCGACACCTTGGCATAGACTTTCCCAGGGAGGCTGAGCAGTGTGATACCCCGATAGTTGGCACACACCCTCCGGTCCCCTTTCTTGAAAATAGGGACCACCACCCCGGTCTGCCAGTCCAAGGGTACTGTTCCTGAGGTCCATGCACTATTGCAGAGGCGTGTCAGCCACGACAGCCCCACAATATCCAGAGCCTTAAGCATCTCCGGACGAATCTCATCCACCCCCGGTGCCTTGCCACTGAAGAGCTTGCCAACTACCTCAGTGACCTCCACCAGGGAAATGGAGCTTGACATGCCAGAGGCCTCTGGCCCTGACTCCCGTGAGGGAGGCATGTCACCCGGATTAAGGAGTTCCTCAAAGTGCTCTTTCCACCGACCGACAATATCCTCATTTGAAGTCAGAGTTTCTCCACCCCTGCTGAATACAGCCTGGGCGCAGTCACCCCGACCACTCCTGAGTCGCCGGACAGTTGTCCAGAACCTCCTCGAGGCCGACCGAAAGTCTTTTTCCATGGCCTCACCAAACTCCTCCCACGCCCTGGATTTTGCTTCTGCCACCGTTGCAGCTGCCACCTTTTTTTCATGTCGGTACCTATCTGCTGAATCGGGAGTCCTTCGGGCCATCCAGTCCCTAAAGGCCTCTTTCTTCAGCTTGACGGCCTCCCTCACCACCGGTGTCCACCAGAGGGTTCTTGGGTTACCGCCATGACAGGCACCGACAAGCTTTTGGCCACAGCTGCGCCTGGCAGCTTCCACAATTGAGGTTTTGAACAGGGTCCATTCAGACTCTATGTCCCCTACCTCCTCCGGGACATGAGAAAAGCTCTCCCGGAGGTGGGAGTTAAAATCATTCCGAACAGGGGCCTCCGACAGTCGTTCCCAGCACACCCTCACTATTCGCTTGGGCCTACCAGGTCTAACCCTCAGTCTTCCCTGCCATCTGATCCAACTCACCACCAGATGGTGATCAGTTGACAGCTCAGCACCTCTCTTCACCCGAGTGTCCAGAACATATGGTCCCAAGTCAGATGAAACGACAACAAAGTCGATCATTGACCTTTGACCCAAGGAGCAGGCTGTTCTTCCCAATCACGCCTCTCCAGGTCTCCCAGTCATTGCCAACATGAGCATTGAAGTCCCCCAGTAAGACTATGGAGTCTGTAGTTGGGACCCTTTCCAGAACCCCGCCCACTTGCTCCAAGAAGGCCGAATACTCCGACCTGTTGTTTGGTGCATAAGCACACACAACAGTCAGAGTTTTCCTCTCTGCGATTTTAATACGCATTGAGGCGACCCTCTCGTCCACCGGGACAACTGTACTGCCGCCAGCCGGGGACTCGTGAGTATCCCCACACCCGCCCGGCGCCTCTCACCTTGTGCAACCCCGGAGTAGGAGAGGGACCAACCCCTATCCAGGAGTTTGGTTCCAGAGCCGATACTGTGGGTGGAGGTGAGCCCAACTATATCTAGTTGGTACCTCTCAACCTCCCGCACAAACTCCGGCTCCTTCCCCCCCAGTGAGGTTACGTTCCACGTACCAAGAGCCAGTTTCTGCCGCAGGGGCCTAGGCCACCAAGGGCCCCCCTGCAATCTCCCACTGCCTGTACGGCACTGCACCACTCCCCCATGCTGGACCTTGCGGGTGGTGGGCCCACATGGTCCCCCCACGTTGCCTCTTCGGGCTGAGCCCGGCCGGGTTACGTGGGCTGCCCGGCCACCAGGCGCTCGCCGAGGGACGCTACCCCCAGGCCTGGCTCCAGGGGTAGGTCCCGGTGACCCTATCCCGGCCAGGGTACACGATGTTTTGAATGGTCGTGTAAATCAATTAATCATGTAACCAACAGTGCAATTAATTAAGTAATATGCTGTTTATGTTTAAATAGCATATCACAACAACAGTAATTACTGTGGATTAATTGGTTTGGACTACAGACAGAATAAGTAACACTATTTGAGCTTCTTTTTTCGGTTGCGTTCTTGGTTTTAGATTCTTTGGTGAAGTTTTTTTGGGATTGTAGTTGGACAAATAAATTGGTTGTTACTTGCAGTGATTATTTGCCATGGGATGTTTCCTTTGGGAGATTAAAAACACACACACACAACCGTCCTTTATGTTCTGTTCCTTTGAAAGAAGCTACAATGAAATCTCTGTGCATGTGGAAGGTCGTTCTGTGTCTTGCATTGAAAACAGCCTTTCAAGTCACAGCGTGCTGGAGCGGACATCTTTTCCTGAACATGAGAAAACATAAGCAGGATAGGGGTTGGAGGGTGCTGGGGTGTGTTACACCTGATACCAAACCGTCCCCTAGCGACAGTCAAATGATCATCTTTCAGGCCTCTGGTGACCTCCCTGTTTGTGCCACTGCCTCTGTAGAATAGAGCCACGAGAGAGAACTTGATGGTGGAGAAAAATAAATGTATTCCCTGCCCAATACATGTAGTACTTGTGTGAACATACAGCACAGCTCAGTTGGTGCATGTGCATGTCTTATGCAATGCGTTAAGTGGAGAAATGTGCAGTCATGTGTGAAACAGCAAGTGAGATGCATCGCGAATGTCCTGCAGAGGAGAGGAATGTTCCAGACAGCATGGAAACATCTCCTTGGGCAACAACGCCTTAGATCCATGTTGATCCGGCATTGTTTATCCATGTGTTGCACTGTGAACTTGTTACCAAAAGTCGAATGACTGCCGAAACGTGGCTGAATGTGTAAAAAGTCTTTGACTTGAAGTCATATATTCAAGTCATCTCACGTATTTGTGAATTAGTTGACAATTTGGTCTACCCATCAACCAAATTGGATACCCAGTTTTCAACAAATCAATCTATCACTTGTCTTCCTATCCATCCATCATGTCATGTGTATGGCAAAGTTTTTTTACCTGCAGGCTGTTTGTAAATTTGTTTTCTCAAACCTGGGAGGGTTGTTAGAGGAATTGGGTGTCTGTCCCCCTCCGCACCACACACACTCTCTCTCCAAGTGTTTGTCAATCAGCTGAGAGCTGGCAGTGCTGCCCTGTTGGCTTCTGTTGATGGACTGATTTCATCTGGCTGTGAAAACTATGAAAAATGAATAACACTATGCATATATTACCTCTTGTTGGGGACCTCAAGGAGACAAACGCTTTTTTTCCCTCATTCACTCTGGTCCATTTTTTTACACCTGCCGCCAGCACCTAAGAGAAAATGAGAGCTGCCCTACGCTTTTATTTGAATACTTCTTTCCAATTTGTGTGCAGGGGTGTGAGCGTGTTTTCTTAGTCATCATTGTTTTGTTAAGGTCATGATATCTGGTCAAGCATAAAGCTGCTGCTTTGAATGTAGCCAAACCATCCAAAACGAATCAAAATGCTGGGATTTACATTCTGACTTAAGCCCTCATTTTCAATTCCACTTTTTGAAGTTGTTGTTCCTGTTGCTGTGGAGTCATATGACCGTATGCCCCTGGAGAGCTCCTTTGTTTAAATTGATCAAGTGCCAGCTCACAACAAAAGGCAACAGCGCCATCTTGGTAACCAAGTAAAAGACATTACAATCTGTAATAGTCCACAGTTCCAACCTTTCCTCCCTTTAGAGCATTCAGTTTAGATTTTACATAAACACAGATGTTATTTGCCCTTCTCAATCAGTCTTTCAGATATATTTGTTCATTTGTTGTGTCCATCGAGGATAAATCAAGCGTTGTGGTTAATTTTGGACCTGTGTGATCGATTCATGTTCCCTTTCAGGAGAGGATGTCTACCTCAGTTTGTATGGAGCCTCCACAGATGTCAATGTAAGACTGGACAAGAACTCAGTGCTGGTGGAGAAGACGTACATCACTATGGCTAACCAGCGCACAGTGGCCATCCTGAATAGAAGTGACACCATAGTGCATTATCAGTGGAAGAGCTTTGCCACTGAGGAGGAAGAGGAGCAGCACAAACTAAGGTTTATCAGGCTACAGCAGGATTAGCTTTAGATTTTAGATTCCCAGAGCTGTGTCTGTGCTTTTGCACACAGGGGTTTCAGTCCTGACAGTTTGAGTAGTGGGTTTGTGGATAATTTTATCTTAAGACTGTCTTGTTCATGTTGCTAATGGAATCTGTCAAAAAGCTGCTTCGCTTAAGGGGACTGGAATGCTCTCTCCCTAGAGAAGCAGTCTGACTGTCATGTTTCGATCTGGCTCATTCTCTCTGTCTCTAGGTTCCATTCAGAATTGCAGCAGGAGGAAGAGGATGAGATGGAGCAGTTTCTGACTGAATGTGATGCTGATCCCACTCTGCGCGACCGCCTCTCACTGCTCTCGCGCACCTTTCAGCAACGGCGCAAGCATCTCCGTCAGGACCGCCTAGCTTTCAGTGACCAGCACATCATCATAGAGCCCCAGGTGTCTAATACACAAACACACCACACACACCTCCCACTATTTCCATTGATTTCTGCGTGAAAATATTGTCACTAATGTTGAGCTAAGGAGCTAAATATTCCAGTAACCAGTGATGTTGGCTGGTATGATTTAATATGGTCCAAAATTGAACTTGAAATTGAAATTGAAAGGATTTGTGGTGATTTGCTCTTACGTGGTGTAAATGCTTTCTCCTCCCGATGCCACAGCCATCCATAGCCAGGAGTCAAAGAGAGTATAACTGGCCTCCCTTTCGCCCATCACTCAGTGTGATATGAGTGTCTGTTAGATGACGTAACAGAATTGGCAATTAGAGTTCTCCTCGCCTGTTGAGCTGTCCAATGACATTACATCAGCAACAGTTTAAAAAGATGTGGTAGCTGGTGTCCTGTGACTCAGAGGAAGCAAATGGTAGCTGCGCCCTCCCAATTTGGTAGCAACATTTGATGGGGAGACCTAGCTAGTGGCTGGAATTGGATTGTGTAGATAATTGGGCAAAAAAAAAGTGATTACAGGCAAAAGTTTGAACAGCATGTTGATTTTCTAACTAAAAATAAAACTGATTTTTTTTTCAATATGTTAAATTCAGCAAATGAACAACAATGTTGTATTAAAATGTGCAGATGTGTGTTCTTGGTAGAGAATGTGTACTTATTTTTACTTTGCAAATGCGGGCCTTGCCTTGAGTAGAGGAAAAGGATGAGAGGAGGACAACTCTTAGGAACTTGGGGGGAGTTCTAAAAGACCTGGTTGCTGGAAGGATTGAATGCAGGCGTGGATGTAGAAGGAGAAAGGGAGGTGCTGGGGTGCGAAATTTTGTCTTGAGAAGGAGGAGGGAAGGAAAGGTATTTATAGGATGTAGGAAGAGAGAAGGAGGAGTTTCAGGCATGGTCGTTCCCCAAACTTGAGTTATTCCATTACTCCATCACCAAAACATCATTTGATCAGGGAAGCACAGACTTTCGCATACAACTTTATAATGTTTCTTGCTGTATTAAACATGCCATACCAATGTATTCTACATAGACTTAATATTGGTTAATTTTATTGGCCAGCTGATGTATTGGGCTTTAATTGTTCCTACAACATCACACACAAATCATGTCTAAACACATAACATCCTTTTAGGATATTCTGCTTTCTGTTTTCTGATTCTCACTCCATCCCCCATGCAGAAGTACACAACAAGCAATTAAATCTGAAGGCTACGATGTCTATGTACTGTTCAACCATATGCCTAAACATATGGCATAAACCAAACTCATCTCACAACACAGCACAGCAACTTACATCATGTGGAAGATGTCACTAATTAGCTGAGAGGTTTCTGTATGTGGGTCAGTATGACCGGCACAGTATGTGACTGAATGGTGTTGCTAATTATGAATGGAGATTTTTTCGTCGTAGTGTGTGCATGTATAAACGTACAGCTTCCTGGCAGTGCATTTAGCATTTTACTTGTAAAACTGCATTTGATTTTTTTATAAGCATCATTTTTTCACTGTGCGTCTGTTTCTTGTCTAGAATAATGTGTGTGGCTTTTATGTGGGAGAGAGTGTTGAGTTTTGTCTCCAGCAGTTTTGGATTTGTGCCTGTTCTATCATTCTCTCATTCATCTAGGGCTTCGGTCCTGGGTGACAGAGACAGATGTGTCTCTGTAGTTTACTCTGTTCTAGAGGATACCAGCTCAGCACTTTGATGAACCACCTGTCCATCTTCTCCTCCCCCACTGCCCTTAACAATCAAATCCAGGACACTGTCCACATCAAACCATGCTATCTGTCTTGCTGTGGCATGTATCACTATGAATCCCTTCATAGTATGTAAAAGTCTTCTATTTTGACTGACTATACTCTTGCCAGTTGCCAGTTTTTTAGGTACCCCTTTCACACATATTTTACGTTATGAGTTATACGTCACGTGACTGTGGTGACCAACATTTTTAGCTTCGGTTTATGTTCAGTTGAGCATTAGAATTAGCAAAATCAGTGACCTTTGGGTGTTTCATGATAGTTGGCATAAAGTGTGCTGGTCCTACCATCAGGCATGTTACAGGGAAATACCACTGACTTTTCATAATTACTACATAATTCAATAATTGAGATGTAAATAATGTAATTCAGAATTGTTTGAATTAAGAGTTTCTCCATTCTAGAGAAACTTACCAACTTGGATTTCATTACAATAGTGATAGGAACCAAGGGTCACAATGTCTACAACACTTTACCCAGCCAGTAAACCTCCATGTTACTTCTGAGGTTTTGTATGAAATGCTGAAAAATGTACAACAGTGGTACATCTGAAAAAGTAACTTTTCTTCGGGGACTATTTCGACTCATTTGCATGTACCTCCACCACAAATAGATTTAAAATATATTTTTGGCCAAAATCTTCTATCGCAACTATGTTAAACAGTATCTCATGCATCAGGCAGTGTAATCATAACCATTTCATGTAATAACTTTTTGTGCATTAGAAGCATTAAAAGCTTTGTAAGTCTCACTTGAACAGAGCATTTCACATAAAATCACTCTGATTGACTTTCTTTACATCTAAACGATTTAATTGTGCTGATATTTTGAAAAATCGGAGAATTATGCAGAATTATGTACCTCCACCAGGCAAATCACATTCAGATCAAGTTTAATATTGATGTGCAGAAGGTTTTAGAAAGCACCACTGATCAGACAGATCAAATAGGCTACAACAAAGACCGAGGCTACAACACCCATGTCTTTTTGTCAGAGAACAACATGAAAGCACATTTCCAGTGGGCACAGAAGCATCAAAACTGGGTTCCAGGTTCCTTTTGCATCATGCTAATTGAAAGTTCAGAATTTGGCAAGCAGCAGTCCATAGAGCCATCATGTTTGATATCAACAGTACAGGCTGTTGGTGGCACAGTGATGGTGTGGGGAATGATCTGGCACACACTGAAGCACGTGTGAACGGCACGGCAAATCTGAACATTGTTGCTGACCAAGTTTATTCTTTCATGACTACAGTTCAACCACACTCTGATGGACACTTCCAACAATATACTCAGCATCTTGTAGAATCGATGCTGTTCTGAAGACCAAAGCACAGCTACTGGATAGGTGTACAGGCAGCGGAGTATGTGAGTGGTGTGGAGTGGGTAGTGGTGGGGCATGATTTTGCCCAGAGTGTGGACTGGCTTTTTGAGGAAGTCTGAGCGTCTCTTCTGACTCCGAAAACACTCCAGTGCCGCTTCATCCTACGAATCAGTGCTTTTTTCCACACACGGTGGGTGACATGAGTAACGCAGGGGTGTGACTGTTACAACTTTCACACAACGCCCATTCATACATACACTGCGGCACTGTCCAGCAGGCCTGCACTGGAAATTCTCACCACTCACAACAAAGTTCTACAGATATTACACACAGTTAGTCTTGTGTCATCCAATTTCCTGCGCAAATGATAAAGAAGATTGTGTTAAAAGCATGTGCGGTTGTTTTCAACAGTTTTCTGGTTGTGATTGGGCCATAATTTTAAGCCTGTACCAAAAAAAGCCTGTGTAGCACAGAATCGTTTAACCCCTTAAAAACCCCAGGCTTATTACATACTACAGCTTATTATTCTGTAACTACAGGGACTTCAGTGTAAACTAGCTGAGCTATTCTTAGGTTATAGAAGTGTGTAATAAAACTTTGGGTCCGTCAGCAGGCCCTGGTCATGTAAGGGGTTTTAATAATGGCCATAAATTGTATAATTACATCATTAAATTTTTTACCAGATGCTCTTTGGGAGCTTACGGCGTCTGGTACGGAGACGGTGTACCTAACAAACTGTCTGTACTTGCTTAAGAAAATTTTTAGAAGCTAGGATTTTATATTCCACTTTCAGTTGTATGTATCTTTTCAGTATATTTTAGGTAATATATATTATTAGTTTTCCTTGAAATGTGTGTAGCTTTAAGTGCATTTTGTTATGTGCTCTACATCACCATACTCTAAACTTTCAGTGCTGTTTTTACCTCTGGTGTTGTATGTGAAACATAGTGTGGAAAAGGAGAAAGCTATAGGGCAACTAGGAAAGAAAGGAGGGAGGAGAAAAGTGTTCCCTCGCATACACCCAGTTGCAGAGCGCTGAGTCACAGCCTTGGATCAGAATCTTAACCTTAACTCACCTCCGGCTATGACCGATGGGTAGAGACAGTCCCTCTGGAGATCCAGCCACACTCTGTCTTTCTCATCCATTCTCATAGCTCTCGAAGACACCCCGCCTTATCTGTCCCTATACACCCGTAACATACACCCACACCCCCACAGGGCGGAGAGAGGGGAGGTGATGACTCCCCCGAATGCCACCCTGTCAGGTCTGGTATGGCTTCTGCTTAAGTGTGAATGCCCCTCCCCCTCGCATGCTGGGTAAGCAGAATCACGGCCGCGCTGTCAGAGTTCTGCAGGGCCGCTGCTGACCACAAACTACTGAAGTACTGTTGACTTCTCCAGCACTAGTTGTGAACCAAAGGGCTGTGTGCCATGGCCTTGTGAGCAATGTGTATGCGTGTGTTAATGCAGCCAACTGCTTTATATATTAATTATAAACTACTACTAGAAACCCTAATTTCCAAAAAGTTGGGATAGTACGTGAAAGACAAATAAAAACATTTGTAAAACCACTTTGACCTATGTTTAAACAAAACAGTACAAAGATATTAAATGTTTTACCTTATCAGCCTCACTGGTTTTTGTAAATATATGCTTCTAAAATGCCTAAATCATCCCCGAGATGATTCAAAAAAGTTGAGACAAGAGCAATTTAAGACTAGAAACATTGTGAAATGTTCAAAAACCATCTTAAACAGGTAATGCAATCATACCTGGGTCCATTAAAGGAAATCAGCATTCAGGAAAGGTCCAGATGTTTATGAGAAAGAATGGATCAAGCCTCAGCCCTTGCCAAAAATTCTTCAGGGATTAACACAGCAGTTTAAGAGCAACATTCTTCAACAACTGTTTAAAAGGATTTTCGGTATTTCACTCTCTACATTGCAAAATATCATCAAAAATCTTAGTGTGTAAAGGGCAAGGACGAAAACCACAGTTGAGTGTTTGTACCTTAGATCCCTCAGACAGTACTGCTTTTGTGATGAATATCACCACATGAGCATGGGAATACTTTAATAAGCCATTGTTAATTGACACCGTACATTACTGCATCTACAAATGCAAGTGAAGACGGTATTAGGCATAGTGCAAGTCATATATCAATAACGTCCAGAAAACATCCAGACTTCTCTGGGTTCGTGCTCCTCTGAAATGGACTGATGTACAGTGAAAATGTGTATTTTGGTCTGATAAGTCAAACCTTTCAGACTGTTTGTGGAAATAATGGATTTGTGTTCTCCAGGCCATAGAAAAAAAGGACCATCCAGATTGTTACCAGCGTGAAGTTCAAAAGCCAGGGTCTGTCATGGTATGGGGGGTGTATCGTGCCCATGGCATGGGTAACTTGTACATCTGTGAAGGTAGCATGAATGCTAAAAGATATATACAGTATTTTGGAGCAACATATGCTGCCTTCTGGACAGTGTCTTTTTCAGTGACGTTCCATGCTTATTGCAAGATGACATCGCCAAGCCACATTCTGCATGTGTTACAACAGCATGGCTGCGTAATCAGAGAGTGTGTATGCTTGACTAGCCTGCCTGCAGTCCAGACCTTTCTCCCATTGAAAGTGTTTATTAAGCACAAAATATGAGAAAGAAGGCTCTGTATGGATATGTAGCTGAAGACCTATATAATGAATGAACATTCGAAAATTGATTTCAGTACTCAAATGATTATTAACTGTTCTTAAAAGGAAATGTGGTGAACATACTACTTTCCCAACTTTTTTGGGATGTTCTGCAGCCATTTAATTTGGGTGAGCATATATTTTTGGGAAAAAGGTTCATAAGCAAAAACATCATATTGTGTTACATCAAAACATAACATTGTGTTAATGTATTATTTTTATTTTAATGCAGGCCAATAGATTTAATAGTCACTGCTTTCTGTTTTTATTAGCATTTGACATACAGTTCCAACTTTTTTGGAATTGATGTTTGTAGGTTGGACAAACTTTACAGATCTGTGGCCAAACTCCCAAGTGAGAAACTGTAGTGATCTTTATTTAGACTCACTACATTATGTTAGAGTTTACAGTTTAAAATGCTTCACTGCTGAGCAGGTTTATTGAGTTATGTTGTTGTACCTAATCGAAACTAGCTAATCATGTGGTGTGAAAAATTGCAAATACACTTTTTGATCAGTTGACCTTCGTTAGTGCATTAGCGCACATTTGTAACAATGCTCCACTGAGCCCACACCCAAATCCAGAAACAGATGAACTGCCTGGGGTGCAGTTTTTAGCTGTGCGTCTAGTGGAGTGGAAAGATTGCCGTGTTTGAGTTGACATGTCTTTCTTCATTGTTTATAGGAGGGGGACATCTGGCCAAACCGGACAGCGGAAATCAGCATCATCTTCAAACCCCAAGAAGCCAGACTCTACCAACACACTGTGTACTGTGACGTCACAGGTAGTGGCTAACTATGAATTTATGGGGATAAAAAAAAATCTGTGAAATATCTGCTTCTTTTATATTGACTCGCCGACTGATTTCCATGTGTGTATGTAAGCCCATCTGTCATAGGAGAGCTCTCATTTGTGTTTATTTGTATGTTTGCCAGAGAATACTTTCAACGATGGATGGTGACCTAAATAAAAGTCAGAGTGTTTTAACATTGCTAGTGGCAAAAATCCTCACTGTCATGTCTGTGTTCACTGTTGATTAAAAATTATGCATTTACCTTGTCAACCATATGTGATACACAACTTTTAATCAACAGAATCCACACAATATTAAACCAATATTGTTGCTGTTACAATTTATTGATGTGTTTTTTCAGGCACCTCTTCTTCATATTGCAGTATTTACCTTGAATCTATTATCCTCCTTGTTCTCATGCAGGCAGAGAGGCCCGTTTACCACTGCGTATAAAGGGAGAGGGCATAGGGCCCAAACTGCAGTTTAACTTTGATCAGCTGGACATGGGGAGCATCTTCATTGGGTCCAAGCACAGCTATGAGGTATCTCTGTTTTTTCCCTGTAATAATAATAATAATAATAAGAAGAAGAATTATAAGGATAAGAGGCTAAAAGTTTCACTTTGTAGATAGATAGATAGATAGATAGATACGTCATTGATCCCAAAGGAAATGTAGCAGCCAGTAGCTGTCACACAACACAGGACAGTTATAATAATAAAACCTATAACTATCTACAGGCATATATACAAATAGAAATATACAAAAATATTCAATAAGATCTATAACCTGAGATAAAAAGGCAGTGCAATAATGAATGTACAAGGAGGCACAGGTAACAGCATATAATGACAATACTGAATAAATATGTGCATATATTGGTTAGGGGTGGGAATCTCTAGGCACCTCACGATTCGATTCGATTCAGAGGGCTGCAATGCGATTACAAAACGATTATCGATGCATCTCGATGCATCTTTTTTTTCTATACATGATTTCTATGTTCTTACTGTCTGAGGACTTGGTACTTTTAAAGCTATGTATTTGTAATGATCCATAATGCATTTATGTCCAATATCTTTTATTAATAAAACAAATGGAAGTGATGTGGCAAGTGAACTAGAAGGCTCTCATTCACTGCTTTTGTTTGGAGACGCTGCTGCCACTCACCTGTGATAAAATGCGCTGTCCACGCAGCACATTATAGCCGTCCTACCCGTTTTCTTTAGTGATTTTATAACTTCGGTTTTGGTCTCGTGGTGGAGACGGAGGGGCGGGGGGGTCACTGTGTCAGTAAAGTATCTTTGAGACGGGCCGTGTGCAACATAGCGCGAAAGCCCTGTTTCGGAACGACTGAGAATTGGCATGCAGACTGCAGTTTACCTAGCAACGAGGTTTCGCCTGGCCAGTAGCGAACGAAAAAGGAAAAGAGAAAGACAGACGAACATTTGGAGATGAATGGACTTATTAGCATTTATAAGCAACATAGTTGGTTTCCTGATACGTTAAATCTGCAACGAGAGACTGTCAAACACTAAAAAGATGCGAAGACGAAGTCGCTTCTCTTTCTAATTTTCCCGTTCCACCTTAAATGGTGCCGCATTTACCATCGGCGCCTCAGTCAGAATTTAAGGTGGAACGGGAAAATTCAGCAAGAAGCTGGCGAATGAGAAGCGACATCAGCCTCGTAAAACAGCCGAAAGCTGAAAGACATTTTACAAGAAACTATTCAACTTTTGAGGAAAAGTTACTGGCGAAGTTGGAAGAAAAGTGGCTATAGCTAAAGCTTAAAGCAGAGTAGAGTAAGTCCGTGTTTTCGTTTATATTGTTTAGTCTATACTAGGACATTAACACATACTGAGACATACTGGACATTAAATGTTGCGGCTCCGAAGGTAGTTTGATTTTTGTTGAAAGGACAAAATGGCTCTTCTTAACATTTGGGTTGTGACTCCTGATCTAACCTGGCTTTTGATGCAGAGGGAGCCGGTCGGATTTCTCGCTCTTCCACTTGTGTTTTTGTTATGTGCCGCCACAGACTGTCCGGGCGCTGCACTTCTGCTCTTCCAAGTTCCGCCCTTTGCGTTCCGTCAACATTACGTTATAAATTAAATATTTAGAAAATTGATTTTTGACGTTGAATGGATCGATTCAGAATCGTTCACGTCCGCATCGTGATGCATCTAAGAATCGATTTTTTCCCGCACCCCTAATATTGGTACTGAGATAAAAGTGTCTAAAATGTCTAGGTGTGGAGTGTCCTGATGTGCAAGATGTGCAATAATTGATACTATGTACTAACTATGATGCACAGCGTTTTAGCTATGTGTAGAGGGTCATAATGGAAACTTGCTGAATTAAAGTATTTGTACAACAGCTCTCTTGGAAAACAAGAGTTCTATAGGTAAACCAATTCTTGCTTTTCTGTATCTCTGACACATGGTTGTAGATCCAGTATTTTTGACATGAGTAGATGTTTGAGACATATAAGGCACATAAAACTATTTATAGCTTCTTTTATCTAACAGAATCATGTAATACAAAGGTTTTTTTTAACCTCATTGCATGTTTTCAACTGTTTGAAGAACAGAGTTTCAATACCACACAATAACAATAAAGCATACTGTTTGACTCAGTTCTATTTTAAAGGCGATGAATCTATCATGAATCTGAATTTGTCCCATTGCTTTTTGTCCCATTGGCCCTATAGACACCACATCTCTTATCATCTCCCATGCCCACATCATTACTCAGAGCCCTGCATAGAGCTCTGCAGGAGATGGAGTGCATGCAGTGACAGAAGCCTAGTGCTTACCAATTCACCATTCAAAGACACTGAGTGGAGGCATCAACTTGAGTCCATCTGTTGCTGGCGATGATCTATGGATTACTTTAGCGTTAATTCAGCAGCTGATGAATAATTAAAAGACGCTTTCATTATGTCTCTGTAAAGGCAGATTTTTGGCACAGGTCAAATACCCTTGACATTGAATTATTTAAACTGTGTTGCTTGCCCAGATTGGTCCTTTTCTTTTCAGAGGTATTTAGGATTGCATTAGTGTAATTGTAAAGGAAGCTGCAAACTAACCAAATCTGATTTGGCCTGAGGGTTTGCCTTGGAGGTATTCTGTATGTGTAACATAAGTCCAGCTTTTCTGTAACTGATCTGAGTATCTATCCAGAGATTTGGCCATCAAATGACACATAATATGCCATACAAAGAGTAAATCAAAACACACAAGTCTAGTGTGTCTTGTGTGGCACTGAGAAAATGACCTTACGAAGTTTCATGTGGTCCAGTAGATCCTCTCACAGGTGAGATTCAGTGCTGTGTCTGCTTTTACCTTTCCCCTAGGTGCTTGTAAGCAATAAGGGGCTTATAGATGCCCCATACAGACTGATGCCTCCCAGTACAGCTATGGGATTGTGCTTTTCATTTAACTCTACTGAGGGAATGGTGCCAGCTGGGGCTTGCCATGCTCTGGAGGTCCGCTTCTCCTCAGACAAACTGGGCACGTTCTCTGAAGAGTTTCACTTCACTGTGGTGGGGAACTCCCAGCCTCTCAGCCTCACCTTCAGGTATTTGTCTCCCTTTCACCCCCAACTAATCAATTTCTAGCCCTTTGTACCTCAAGAAACCACTTTTGTTTTGCTGTTTTACGTGTCCGGACCAGGACCTGTTTAACATTACCTTCACATCTTCCCCATTCTCCTTCTTTGCTCTGTCTGGATTTGAGCCTTTTGTTATGCAGATTAAAAGAATCTGTAAGGGTTGCACCTGAATCTAATGAGTAAGCCAGAGGTTGATGAAGACTGTACAGTATACTTACCCTGCCTGGCACTTTGTACTGAGTAAGATGGATTACCACTGAAAATGCTGAAAGCAGGGACTATGGAAGCACCGCTCTGTATTGTCATGCACAAAATAGATCAATTTTGTTTTTCTCCCTTGCCTAACTCTCTCTCTCTCTCACCCTCTCTCTCTATTGCTTTTTTCTTCAGCAGGTCCTTCATACTTTTGGCTAATTACTTTTTATGCTGCATGTCCAGTGACCTTCACTTCTCAGTGGGCAGTGTGGAGAGTAGTTTTAATGGGTGCCTCTCTCTGTCCTTTTGTGTGTGGCAGGGGGTGTGTAATGGGCCCGACGTTCCACTTCAGTGTCCCGGAGCTCAACTTTGGCGAGGTGTCCTTTGGTAAACGAACTTTGGACTTCATTAATCAAGATGATCAATGCTTTCCCTTTCACCAATAGCCCCAGTGCCTCTGCCATGTTCTGTTTTCTGCCAATTACAAGGTTGTCTTGATTATTTACTCGCTATTTTTGCCCTCTCTGTCCATATTGAATTCACAGGCTTTCCGAACATGTTGACCTGCTGGCTTAGCAATACCTCACTGGTACCAATGAGCTTTGGCCTGCGGATCCCTGGAGATGGCATGGGGAGGGACAGTGTGACCAGCATGGAGCAGGTCTCACAGCTGGACAGGAATGAGTGGAGGCCAGCAGACAAGGTATCCGAGAGGCCCAGAGAATTCAAAGTGACACCCAGTTCAGGCACCATCCGTGCTCAGAGCCAAGTGGACATCCAGGTATAATGCTGAGCGATATATCATCAAAAAAGCTATTTCGGGTTTGTAAGGCATTCTTAGAATCAGAAAGCACAGGTTCATTAACATTTCTTCTGATGTGAAGTATTAAATTTGCTACAGTATTTGATTTGTGAGGATTTGATTGCATTCGGCCACAAGAACATTAGTGAGGTACTAATCAGTAAGTTCTGATGTTGGATGGTTAGTTCAGGATTACAAATGCCACTCCAGCTCATCCCAGAGGTATTCAATGGAACTCTATCACTCAAGAGAATGCAGTTTGACTGCCCCACAGCCCAATGCTGGGGAGCTTTATACCCCTCTAGCCTAGGGTTGGCATTGGCCGTGGTGATACAGCTGCTCTGGAATGCGCTGTTCTATTGGCATTGTCTTTCTATGGAGATTATATAAGCTGAGTGTGCTCGAATTCTTTTCAGCATTGGGTACACCTTAAAGTAGCTGGATTTGCTAATTAGAAGGAATGTCAAACTGTTGGACATGCAGTGTATCATCTGATACGTTGACATTGTTATATATTTGGAAAATAATGAAATATTGAATTTTATCAATACCATTCAGCTCTTTCCCGATAGGACTTCTTGTTTTTGTTTAGATTTTCTTGATCCTTCAGTTCTCTCACTCCATAGTTAAAAAGAAATTTGAATTGATTTCAATATGCAAAGGTAAGCCTCCTAAAGCAGCTGAGACTGTCTTCCCTGCCCTTTCTAACACAATGCTTTCTCTCAAGACAAAAACCTCTTTAGTCTACTTTTTATCTTTTATTTAGGAAATTTCCTGACTGAAAAGACCTCAAATTTTGAAATCCGTTCAGTGCAGAACAGAACTTTAATCCCTAATCAGCTTAGGACAGCTCAGATGTTTAAAAAAAAACGTTTGCTGTCTCTAGTAGAGAAAATGAAAAAAAACTGAGCAGAAGAAAGAAAGGAGCTCAGAGAGAGGTGACTCCCCTCCTTTAGCCCCATCAAGCTGTGATTATCTCGCCTTGCTTCCTTTGCCGGCTGTCCAGCACTGTGTGTACCTGTCAGCTGGTGGTCTTTTCCAATCAGCTCTAGCTGTCATACCCTCAGAGGGACTAATCTGCTGGATCTGTCCGGCTGTCTGCGGGCCTCTCCAAGTTCGGGGTGTCTCCTGTCGGACTACTGGGTGCACCGGTCCCAATCTGTGACAGTTCTGTCACTCGCACTAGCTCTAATGAGGCCTGGTGATGCAGAGGGGTCTGTATGAGGGGTCAGCAGCTGTGTTCTGCTGCTGAGGAGGCAGATGACTCCCAGTGCCACCTCATGACAGCTGGCCCAGCAGGCTTCCAGCCAAGGTTACAGAACAGAATCTGCTACCTGAAGAACTCTCTGCTGCACGTTTACTGCAAAATGTACAGCCTTTTTATCATGTGAGGTGTTCTGCATCTACTCTGGTTAGGGCAAAACACTGCTGTCTGCAAAAATAAATAAGGAACATTGTATCCAACTGATCTTAGTGTAGAACTGTATAAATATTCATATTATGTTAGCCTATCAATTAGCTTTAATATTGTTTTAAACTGTTTCCTGACTCTTTTCCAAAGGGTAAAGCATGTAATAATAATTGTATGTCATGAAATGTATGAGTAATGTCTATGTGTGTGTGTGTGTGTGTGTGTGCTGCAGGTTACATTGTGCTCCAACACTGTGCAGCAGTACACACTTGCTCTGGTGGTGGATGTCCAGGGGGTGGGTGAGGAGGTCTTGGCTCTCCCAATCAAGGCCAGGTAAGGCATCCAAGCTCATGAACAAAACAAAGCTTGTTTGTACTGTCCACACTTGAAGATTACATTTTCCCTTCTGACTGTCTCTATAGGTGTGTTGTTCCTGAAGTCCGCCTAGAGAGCTCTGTGCTTCAGTTTCAGCACTGCTTTGTGGGTTACCCCTATCAGCAGTCTGTCAAGCTGATCAATGACACAGACCTCCCTGCATGCTACGGCCTTCTGGCTCAGGTAAATGGATAGAAATCCATTATGTGCAGACGGAAAGCTTAGCAACCTGTGGTCAAAGAAAGGAACTGTTAAGAAGACCTTGACTCAAAGGAGTAGCCGTTATCACTCCTTAGTAAGGCACAAATCACACAAATCTTTGGCCTGTTTTTAGGTGTTTTTGTAGGATTGTTAAAATGAATTGTAAAGCATTGATTGGAAGGCGGTAATTCAAATGCATCATTTCGAAATTTTGAGATTGATTAAAATCATTTTAATCAATTATAATATTATTTAATGAGCTAATTTTTAAGCAAAACAAATTTGAATGATTAATTAATTTGAAATGTAAAAATAGTTTTTCAAACAGTTGTTGCTATCGGTTAAGAAACATAAATTTCACTTCAGTTAATGTCCAATACACAACAGTTCCTACTTGATGAGGGGGTTTGAATTCAAGTTGAGGAACACTTTTGAATTGTACACGTGAGAGTGTAATAGGCAGTTGGTTCTGCTAGATAGACCTACTGAAAATGAAGTATGCATATAAAAATAGTGGTGTTTGGGGCCACTTTTTGAAAGGTCATAGCACAACAATGATGTTCCACATTGTAAGTAAAGTAAACGTCTGCAGGTGATGGACACCTGTTTCGTCCATGTTCTCTGGGAGAAAGTATAATACCTGGCGGTGTAAGAAAATCACACACTGGTATGCAAAATTATACAAAAGGAGCTACTGAGGTTCATTGAGCCAAAGGTAGCCCCACATTAGCATTTATATTTATTTTAACTTAGGCTAGTAATGAGTGGTAAATACAATTTTTTAACTTAAATAATTAAAAAGTCAAACAATGTCATACTTTCAGTAGCCCATCATTATATATTCCAGTGATTTCGTCATGAACGTATTATAGTTGTCATCACCATGGTTTAACCAAAACCAATTTGTTACATAGGGTATGTTTAATACAGGTTTCGAACTGTTTGCTTCATATACATGCTTGTGCCCGGGCCCATCTTTAAGTACTACATTCCATTTTTAATGTTTTGGTGCATTAATGCAGAATTCAATTTACGTGTGTGCTAATAAATGTGTATGTATCAAGCATTTTACAATAGCATCAAATATGGCTCAGCCAGTTGGCTTTTTGATCTGGAAGTTTCTGTTTAAGTTTCTGTGTTTGATTGATATTTGATATAACTTCTCACGGTCGGTTATGGGTAAAAGAATTTGCTAAAATTTGCATCGCTAATTTTATTATTTCCTGAAGAACCGTAGCAACATTGAATTGTTGTGAGGTCAGAGATTCACACTATTAGTGAGTGTCCCACTCTAGTGTCTTGTAGTAAGTGTATGTGTCTTTGTGTGTATGTGTGTGTGTAGGAGTATGAGGAAAACCCATCTCTGTTGTACTCCAGTCCTCATCCACGAGGAGTTATTCAGCCATACAGTACGGAGCAGATCCCTCTGGTTCTCCAGGCCAAAACATTGGGTCAACTGCAACTCAGAGCTTTCATTGCCATACAAGGCCAACAGGGTGCTCCGTTGGTGAGCATTAGTGTGTTTATTTTTTATACCTTTCAGGACAAAGATGTTCCGACTTTGTAAAGTGATTTACAAAATCAACGTGATTAATTTCTTTAAAGCTGAAAGAGCAAGTTCAATTTTTTTTTTCTTTACGGAGGTTAGGGTTAAGTTTCGGAGTAGACTTTGACTTTTAATTAATTACAAGCTATTCATTTTTCAAGGGATATTTCTGGGCAGATTAGATATCCGATAATCCACTTGCATAAAAAAGGTAAAAGTCAAAGGAAAATAAATTAAACTGTCACCATCAGATAAACAGTACTTAAAGTTTTCATCTTTGATAGACAACTCAACTCTGTGAGTCTGGAAGAATCTGTAACTATCAAGAAGCTGTTACTGAGAAAAAGAAGTAGACAAAAAAGAACAATTGCAAATCAACCAAAGAAGCTGCTGGCATTCTCAGAACAATAGACTGTCCACTTGAGTCCAGACCTCAACATCACTGAATGTGTTTGGGATATTTGGAATGTATGAAGCAGAAGTAGATTTCTTTAAAACTGCAAGTAATTCTTTGAAACATGGGAGCTCTAATAAAGGCAAAACAAAATTATATTGTATTTAGCTGTTGGGGCTTCTGTGTAATTTTCTGTTAAATATATGTTTCCTACTTTTTTCCTGATGCTGAAAAGTGACTTGTACTTAATGGTCATTATGACTGGAAATTAAATAAATGAACTTTTTTTTACCTTTTACACAGTACTGTACTTATATATTACATATGGAACATATGTGACACGTGTGTGACTCTACGTTCTAACTTAAAAACAAACCTGTGTGTTTGAGATGCAAAAACACACTTTAAGTTCCTTTCGCATTTGTTTACCTGTTTAGTTAGCTGTTAAATAACATCTTAAACATCCATTTGTGTACATTTGTGTCCCATTGATATATGTATGTGTGCTCCACGTGATGATTTCATCATTCATTCTCTTCATTAGTAAATGACAATGTTGATGAAGAGCAGTTAGAGGAGTGATCTGCTTCTGTCTGTGACCTCTTACTCCTCCAGTTCCTCTGTGTCTCCCACAGGAGCTGCTCCTGTCTTGCATTGGCCAGGGCCCTGCAATCTCCCTCTCTGCTACCGAGCTGCACTTTGGCACCATCCCAGTGCTTAGTGACGTCCCAAGGACGCTGCAGCTGTCCAACCAGTCTCCCATCCCGGCCCGCTTCCGTGCACAAATGGTGGGTCCGGTCCCATGTGGTTAAGGTCAGGATGCAACAAAGAGAGATCAGTGTTCCTTCATTTTCTACTAGGATAAGCTTTAGTGCAGTTTTCACAACCCGCATGCTTGCTGCTAGTGCACCTGATTTCCCCAAGCTTGTTACACTATGCCCTTAATTAATTCCCAGCCTAATTGAGTGTATAATGAATGAGCTGATTGGCTGAATGGTTTGTTGGCTTTATAGTTAATTGGCTGCCAATGTGATTCTATTACCAGGAGCTGCACATTGGGCTTCATTGTTTGCCCAGTCATGTCTCTCATATTGCACCATGTAGGCATTATCAGGGCAAAATATCTTAATGGTCTTCTTTATCCATTGCTTTATTGTCTATTAAGCTGCATAATGTTGGAAAAAAGTAGTGTAATTTGGTCTTATTGTGGGGGACTTAGTCAAATCTTATGGTCTGCTCCCCATGGCTGGTGGATGTTTGCTTAAAGATAAAAGACAGCTTAATTCCCATAGTCACATATCTTATTTAACTGGCCTGATTTCTCCTCATCTCCATTTCCCTTTCACTGCTGTTTCATTATTAGAATGGCTTTCTTTGTTTTCAGAGCCCAGATAATTTTAGAAGCCGGCTTTACTGAATTTATCCCAGCAAGGATTTTGAACGCACACATGCATGTGCACACACACACACAGACACACACACACAGACACACACACGTGCCCGTTCGAAGTGTCCATGATCGTGAGTGGACGCTCATCCTTAAAGTGCACTGCTGAGGAAATGCCCTGACCCTGTGTTCTCCGCTGAGGCTGAGGACTTGGGTTGATAACGCAAGAGGTTTTACAAAGCATTTTTCAGCTCCAATCGATTGCAAGTTTTCTTGAATTACATTACAGGCACTCCATAGCACGGGCTTCCAGCCAGGAGGAGCCGATGTGAGGTGCCAGACGAATGTAAACTTTTTATAAAAGCAAATTAATCTGCCCTTTATGTATATGCCTCCATCTGTTATAGCTGCTTTATACTGAATCAGTATATGAGGTGTTTGGAAAGGGGGTCCTCACTCCAGAGACAGCCACTTGGTTCCATTTTAAACCTCTCCAGTGTAATGAAGTTTGAAGCAATCAATGGTGTTAAACTTAGCTAATGCAAGCATGATCTGATTATTGAAACTTCAGCCGGGTTGTTCTTCACTCAGAATCTTTTCTCAAGGGGAAACCGCCCCAGTCCTGGTCCAGGCCCCTATCGACCATCTCCCTCTCTCTCTCTTGCTCACTCTCTCAGTCTGTTTTTCAAGTGAAGGCTGAGCGAGTGATCTATGACTCCCCAGTGACTCCTCTGTAGTCTCACATGGCTAAAATGATAGCCCTCTCCCTTCTGTCTCCTTCCCTGAGTGCCATCTTCACTGCAGAGAATAGCGTGCTTGCAATTTTCCCCCTGCTCCAAGGGCAATCTCTGCTGCTGTTTGTGCTGCTGATTGTGTTGTTGTACTATAGGCTCCCTTTCTTGCTTCAGGTCTAACGAGCTGACAGCCTACTTTAGGCTGAAAATGAAAACTAAATCAAGTGACTTTCTGCAAGAGCATTCATTGCTCTCAATAGAGTTTAGGACATTGGTTTAAACTGTAGCCCAGGGCCCAGGTTCTGGCTCGGTGTGCAGTTGCCCTCCGATCGCCCCCCGTCTTGGCAAAGCTGGATGCTCTTGTGCTCATGGAAAGTAAATACACTGTGAGAGAGAGGGTGCTTTAAGGGCAGCTCATGGGATTCTGGCTTAGACACAGCATCCTCAAGAGAATTTGGAGTGTTGGTGTAGTAGTTTATTTGCACCCATACATTTCGAGCATGGATTTGCTAATCAAATATTGCTGCATAAATGTTTTTGCATTTACTTGATTTAAATGTGCACTTCATTTCCAAATTGAATGCATGAATCAACAATGCCACAATAAAGGCAAAATTGTGTTGATGTAGTGTTTTTTATTCAAGTTGGAATGATATATACGTTAATCAAATCATGTAAATTTGATAGCTTTTTTAGTACATAATTTGTTACAGTTGATTGCAAAAGTTTGGGCACGCCTCGACAAATGACATATTATCTTGATTGAAAAGAAATAAACACAACTAACAAACTATTTCAGAAATAACATTTTTTATTTTTTATAGCTTGCTCTGTGGTAATGATCAGTTTCCGGATACTGTGACGTAGCAACGAGCTGCTTGTTAAGGAACTATAATTTGGTGGAAGGAATTGTTAACATTAAAACATATTAAATGCCACGTTCACAGCCCATTTTTTTTATTTATTACTTTATTTATTTAACTGTTGTATGAAAGCAATAGAACATTCTGTTGCTTAAATAATAAATGCCCAGAACACCCATCTTCCAATTAGAACAAGGGAAGTTACAGAGTCAACCAATAGGCAGCTTAGACATCTCAAATGAAAAATTTTCAGCTTTTACTTAATTCTAAGAAGCATTTAAAATAAAAGAAAAGAACTTTTAAGATCACCAAGACGACAAAGGGCAAAAAGGACAAGTTACTACAGGAAAAACTCTAAAGAAACTCTTTGATTATTAACTCCTCATTCATCCCTTCAGGGAATAAATCTATAAGATACAAAATCCAAAAGGCTTCCCTCTTTTTTCTGAGGTGTTTTTCTAATAGAGGGTTACCCCCTCTATCTATTGGTTGAATATGTTCAATTTAAAAAATAAAATGAAGAATAGTATGACCAGCTTCCTTAAAATGCCTTGTGACTGGGTTTGTTAGATCATTTCTGGCAATGGAACTCCTGTGTTTTGTGATATGGTCCGTATGTTTCCATATGTGACTGAGATGTTTCACCAACATATCATTTTCCAAATGAGCTATACACACACACACATATATATATATATATATATATATGGATTTTGTACCAATTTTACAGGATTTTGTACCAATCTTATTTGAGAGTTATTAAACCAAGGTGTTGGAGAAAAACAGAACTTTTCCAGTGACCTTGTGATTAAACATCTATATACTGAGATAGCGTGTACCTCTACATATTCATTATTAAATACTGGCAAACTGTGTTCTCCTAATATTGTTGTTGATATTGATAAATCTGTGTGGTACCAAAGTTGTTCTGGTGTCATTAAATTATATTTTAAAGTGATCTTCTCACTCACAATTCTGAACTGCTAATCATAAGCGTCTAATCATAAGCGTGCACCAGCCATTAATTTTCACTGCAGTGTTTAATAAAAATATAACTTTATTTTATCTGCTATAATAATGCTAACTGCTGTTATGTTAGTGTCCAGCTTATGACCCATTCACATTCAATCACTGGGTTTCATATTACTTTTAGTAGTTCTATTAGCTTTTGAAAGCTGGAAAACATGGAGCACCTAAAGCTGAATCAATATGTTCTTGAGTATACGTGCTAACTCATTCTCTGATCCTGTTTCCTGATCGTTAAAAAGTCCCAGAGTTAGGGCTAGCTGCTCTGAGGTGATACCCAGTTCCTTTAGCGTGCTTTTTCACTGCAGCAAAATGACACTGAAGCATGGAGGAGCTCCAAAACACAGTGGTCTTTATTTGCAGTTCCATGCACTGAAATGAAATTTAACAAAATAAGGAGAATGAGGAAGCTGTGGGGTGGATAAAGTAAACAGCAAATAGGCGGTTTTCTTAACAGACTTTTTTATTCAGTCACTTTCTCTCTCGCTCTCACAGCAGAAATGGGGAACCTTCGCAATTCTTAAAGACATATGGACCTTATTTTGCCCCAAAACATGTAACATTACAGCCTCCAACACAACTATATTTTACCATTACTGACAATATTTTGGTGTAGTCTGTTCTGTTTGTATTTACCGCTGCTTTAAATGAGCTGCTTCTGGATGCGTCATCCACCCAGACGTATAGCCAGCATTCATGTTCACAAACATTCTTATTTGGTCTATACCATATTGCAATTATATTATACTGCAATTGTGATATGACTTGCAATATGTAAATAACCCTGTTTTGACCACTGGATCATGTAAGTGCCTTTATTTATCCACAGAAACTCACACTGGAACAAAACTTAAACAAGTCAACATTCTGCATATCTTTTTTAATTCTCTAAACTTAGTTTACTCAGCTCTGTTTTTTGAAACAGAAACAATTTTTTAATACTGCAGTTAGATCAACAAGACCTATAGAGAAACAATTTTGACTGCCTATTTTTTGAGTAAGCTCAATGTAAACTGTATTTTATAGACCTAACCTAGATGCAGCACAAAAATGAAAGTTAGGAGACCCTTTGACTTACCTAAGTTCAGAAAATTATAAATATTGTTCAGGTGCTCACAGTAAAGGGCTCGTTTGCATATTGAAGGCTCATTTGCATCTTCAGTGATCAGTATTGCAAAAGCCAATATCACGATAATTATTAACAAATATGTGTATTGTGCAGCTTTATGAAATGGGGCCAATCGGAAGTAAAAGAATTCAGTTTATTATAAATAGTCATACTAACGTTATATAGTCCACAATTTTTATAGTAATTTATATGACAGTATTTACCTCTGAGTATGAAAATGTTTGCCTGAATGTGAAAATATATTTTCAGAATTTGAACTATGTAGAGTTTGGCCAAGCATTTGAAAAGGTGGCAGTGAGATAGCGGGAGTGGTTTGCCTGAATATGAAAGTTTTTTTTTTGGTCTTCACCCAGAGTTTGGCTGAGCAGTAGTGAAGGTGGTAGTGAGATAGTGAGAATGAGTGAGCTGAATCAGTAGTCAGAACTCGCCTCTGTGTGGTTCTACATGACTGCTGCAGGGATTAGGCTTCTGTCACTTGCTGCTTTTCCAGCTCGGCAGCCTTGCTGTGCCACACACACACACAACACACACACACATAGGCCCACACATGCACTGCCATAATGCCCTGCAAACACTCAATATCAGTTTGAAAGAGTTTGCAATGACAAAGTTATTTCTACATTTCGCTCACGTCTGATGTTTACGTGGCACAGCGTGCACTTGAGATGAGAAGGAGCTTAGCTTCTTTCTCTTTGGCCGCAGTTGGATAGAGCAAGTGATGGTACAGATGCAGGTGGGACATGATGAATGCAATGTGCTGTGCCCAAATAGCAGCATGAGCCCCGCTGAAGAAGATAAATAATACGCCATTTATTTAGAATAACCCACTCACAACCCATCGCCGTTCTCTTCCCTTAGTCTGAAAAATCCCAATTAAAACTTTATGCGGGAGACATCAATCAGCGCAGCACATCGTGGGAATTGATTTTAATCTGCCTTTCAGCTAATAGTCGAGGCTGCCTGCGAGAGGAGACGGAGCAGATGAAAACAGAGGAGGGTGCCGTGTGCAGAATGCTTAGAAAGAAAATGATGAGTGTAGGCTGCAGGGATATCCTCATTTGGCATGTTTCCCATTAAGGACGAAAGGGAGAATAAGATCCATTTTTTTCTCTACCAAAGGTGCTCGAGAGTGTGAAGGATCTGGCTTATAAGGTTATCCTCCGTGAGAAAACCCCAATGCTGGTGCTTGCATAGAGTCTGACTCCCACAGCTGATAAAACACAAGCACAACTCTTATTGCCTCCATTAGCCTCCATGCACTCTTCCTGAGTCTGATAGATGAGTACAAATCTCTCGGTCCTCCTCTCTCACTCTACTTCCATCCCCTCCTACCCCTCGCAGCCGTCCTCCAGAGCAGTTGCAGATAAAGGGAAGACTGTTGGAAGAGGAGCACGCGCACACATAAGTATCTCTGCGTGGCTACTCGTTAAAAAGCACCCCTCATTAAACTACAAGGGCGAGATAAGATTTGGCTTAGTGGAGGCGTGTGAGTGGCAGCTCATTAAGCAGCATGTTGAAGGAAATTGTTGTGAGATCATAAGTCACTGATTTCAGATATGAGGGACAGTGCATTTTAATACAAACTGGTCAAAAGTTAGCCATCTTTCCCACTGAGTCAATATTTGTTTCTTAACTTTTAGAAATTCAGTTAATTTAGTAAGATATTGCGCTAATTACACTGCATTTTGTGCTTTTCTGCTTACTGTGTTCATTGCTATTTTTAATATGTCCTTAATGAAACTGAGATGTGGTTGATACAGTAAAAAGCAGTTGCTTTATGTAATGTGCTGTATATTAATAGACAGCTGTTTGTTAGCAGGCTCGGAGCAGGTCTCAGTGGCGCGTGGAGCCCACAGAAGGAGAGGTCGCACCAGATGGGCAGCTTGACCTGAGGCTGGTGGCCCACCTTGACGACACACTGCCCTTTCAGGACAAACTACAACTGGCCATCAGGGACAGTCAAATCCACACAGTTACCGTCTCGGCCATAGGCAAGGGCACCACTATCGTCACTGACCGGCCCTTTGCCCCCAGCCTGGACCTTGGAGCCCACTTCAGGTACACTGTAAAATGAAGTTTCGAAGCACTTGCAGAAAAGTCAAATTTACACAGTTTTTACAAAAGTACAGTCAAGATGGCTACTGTCTGTTTTTAATGACGTAATGTGCTTATGTCATTTTTAAGTAAATCTATTCGAGATTTCTTACACAATGCTAATTGGTGGGAATAAGCTTCCATTACTTGTTAGCTATATTAGCCTCCTTGATCCAATGCAAAACTTATTAAGGAAACTTCAAACACCAAACATGTCTAGGTTGACCAACTGTATTTGGGTAAAGGGAAACAATGTATAAATCAGATTTTTTGCCAAACCACAGATGTGCAAATCTCAGAGACATCCGCTCATTTATTTAATTTCCAGTCAAAACAAGCTTTGAATACAAGTTGCTCATCTTTCATATTTCTAAGGAAGAGGAGGTCAAAGGAAAACAAGTGAAAATAGTGAAAAAATAGTTCCAAAACTGAAGTTAAAAAATATATATTACAAAATATAGAGACTAGGGGACTCCTAAAAACAAGACTTGATAGACCACCAAAACAGTGACCACTATAAACAGTACTTAAAGCTTTCGTCTTTGAGAGAGAGGAGAAAATCAAACTCCACACAGGTATTTTAGTTAATTCTTCCAAAGTGAGAAGACAACTTTATTGATCTTAAATTATGTGTAGCTGTCAAGAAGCCATTACTGAAAAAAGGACATACATAAAAACAAACAAAACAAATCAGACAAAGAAACAGGTGGCATTGTCAGGGCCCAGGCCTCAACATCACTGAAAGCTTTTGCAATTACTTGCATTGTGCGAAACAGAAATGCAACTGACTTATAAGATGGAAAAATATCCTCGCAGATTTCTTTGAAGAACTGAAAGCAAGTCTCCCGAAAAGAATGGAAGCTGTAATAAAGGCAGAAGGTAGATACACCAAATACTGAAAAAATGTAATTATGTTTAGTTGTCTTGGCTTTTGTGTATTTTTCTATATGTTTAAATATTATTAGCCTTTCTAGCCTTTTTCTGACACCGAACAGTAAATAGCTTGTACTTAATGGCTGTTTTGACTGGAAAATGATACATAAAGGCTAGACTCTGACTTTCTCACAGAGCTGTATCTTCTTTAGAAATCCGACTGCCTTGAGTCATTTGAGTTTTCCCTGTCACTTTTAATTTCATTACATTCATTTTAATTTTCAGTAATAAAGGAAATTGGTGTGAGATGTTTTGCATTGCTGACACTATATAGAATACTTTGAGCTCATCTCAACTGATTCCAGTTCAGTTCGTCCTTTATAAAAGTCATCCAGCTTAACCAATATAAGCCCTAGAGCCTGGAATGAACAGACCCCCTCTGTTTGCTTTGCAGCTCCGGCCCGTGTCAGTACCACTTTAGAGTGACCAACAGAGGTGGCCGCTTGCACCAGCTCTACTGGTCCACAGAGGGCTTTCCACAGTTCCGACGCAGAGGCCCACCTCCCACCAACATGTTCAGGGAGGGGAAAGCCAGGAGTCCACTGGCAACTCCACCTCTGGATGCCCCCGTCTTCACCCTGTCACCTGTGTGGTTGGAGCTTGCCCCGGGCCAATCGGCTAACATGCTGCTGGAGGGCTCCTGCGACACACCCAAAGTAAAGCAAATGCTTAGTTCTGAAAATACACCATTACGTATGTCTGAATTGTGCTGAAAGTCCGAATTAGGACTCACTGATCATTGTTTAATGCTGCAGCAACAGACTCTTTCAAATAATAGCCAGGCTGGCCACAAACAATGTTTCACTGAGGCTTTTGTTTGTGTACATGTATTTCATTTTAGTTTGACTCATTAGTGTCCTGTTTGGTGCAAGCTTACATGCTGCCCTGTTACTTTATCATCTAAAGAGCTTTAAGAACATGCACCTGCATGTACAGCAACCTGCAAGCAGACTTTACTTTCTGTCAGTGAGCATGCATATCAGATTTACAGCACTCTGTGCAAAATGATGAATAACTGTCCCAATATGTTCATCATCATGCCTAAAAGAATATGCCTCATTTCTTCTTCAATGTTACACATACCAGCACAGGCTGTTGAAGGTTGAATAGCACGGAGATAAAGGATGTGAAAACCACCCTTAATCTTCTCTTAATGGAGCCGTGCCGAGCAGCGTATTGACTTCCTCTCTGGGGCGTTGCTGCCCTGAGCCCCTATTGATTGAATGGGGAGCAGCAGAGGAGGGAAGGTGAGGAGTGGAGATAAGGCCGTGCCGCTGCGGCCCACACCAGAGCTCCACATCTCTGCTTGGCCCTGTCCGGGGTGTATTTCACCGTGCTGGAGCTCAGGGCTGACAGAGCACGGCTGTATTTCAAAGCAGTGCTGTCAAGGCTGCCTAAAGATCATTTTAAGATAAGAGATGAGACCATGAAAAAGGTGCATATCAAGCATGGAGCTTGGAATATGAAAGGTTTAAAGCAGTGAGTGTGTGCATGTGTTTGTATTTAGCCCTTAGTGAGGATCAAATGTCCTCATAATGATAGAAAAATATGACATTTTGTACATTGACTGCCCCTAACAAGAAAAAAAATATTATTTTACCTAAAATTAAATTGTTTGGAAAAAATGAAAATGAGAAGGTTGCCTTTTCCAGTCCCTCTGATCACAAATGCGCACAAATTCAATCAACTCTTGTAATATTTTCAACAGCTCACAATCACAATTTTTGAACAATAAGAAGATAGTTTGCTTTTTTTTTTAGATGTCATCCAGGTGTAGTTCAGAGTCACACAGGGCACACACACACACATTTGCTAAACCGCTTATCCTTCTGGGTCGGGGGCGGGGGTGCTGGAGCCTATAGTACAAAATATTCACAACATTTTTCTTATAATATTGTCTATGATGTTTTCTTGAGTCTGGAGCTTGTTGTATGTTCCCTTTACTCAGAGGTACAATTCATTTCCAATTTGTTTTTCCCTTGTTTTTATCAGGAATTAACTAGGGTCTATTCAAAACAAGCTGAAGAAAAAGTTTTATTGCAAACCCCCCCTCAAGATATCTGCCTACAGAAATTTAGCCCCAAATTTTTTTTTAATTCAATTCTCTACCCAATTTAATCTTTGCCAGTTCCACTCACTAACTTTGTCTCTCACGATGCTACGAACCTGGGAAGCTGAAGGCTAGCACATTGTCATTGGTGTAGAACACTAGCTGCTAATTTTGTAATATTAGCTAACAGACGCCCACATTGGCTAGCATTTCGCTGAGTGATGAATGTTGTGCCACTCGAAAGATTGCTTTTTGAATGAAACGTAATACAGGGCTGCCAATCAGAAAAGAGGTAATTTACATACATCAGTCTTAAAGGCAAGTGATAAATACGGCCTGTTTAATTATAAGGGATAAAGAGAAGTTGGAAAATGGTCATGTCAAAATGAAATATGAGTGTTTTGTGTACATAATACCAATACAAATGTCCAAAGTGGACCTTGGAGGAAAAAAATGCAGGAAAGTTTTAGTCTAGGATTAGGTTTTGGTGTCAGCAGAGCAGTACTGAGCTACAGTATTACATGAGTCAGTGGAGTCAAAGAGTAAGACTAACCCATGTTTATATGTGTATGTGTGTATAGGTTGTGAGGGAGAGGCTGGTATGCCACGCTGTCGTGGGACATCAGACTGCAAAGGAGCGCATCATGACCGTGGATATCATGTGCCATTTCATTGCTCCAATTTTGGACATGTCCTCCCAGCAGCTCAACTTTTATGTGGAGAAGGTGTGTGTGCGCCTGTGTGTAAACATGGATGTGTGTGTGTGTGTGTGTGTGTGTGTGTGTGTGTGTGTGCGTGTGCGTGCGTGTGTGTGTGTGTGTGTGTTTGAATCTGATCGAATCCTCTTTTTCATTGAAAAGTCTCTCCTCCAGCGTTATATAACGTTAACCTACTTCATTATGCTGGCATTTCATAATGTCACCAGAGCAAGATTGAGGGGGAAGTGAGGCAGAACCCAGTATTGCGTAAGAACTTCTACATCAGATGTCATTTCTGTTATCCATGCATCGAGAGATTTGTGCCGCAGCTCAGTGGCTGAACACTGAGATTTTCTTCATCAAATTTTCCTTCTCTGTTGTTTTTATGCTGGGAGGGCTGCTTTACATGCCAGTGAGGCGGCAGTCTGTTCCATGTGCTTGCATTGTGGCAATTATCTCTTCCTTCATAAACAAAGAAAGTTCCTCTGTACTGGGCTTTTTGTTGTTTTGTTTACTCTGTAGAACAAACAAAGGCCATTATGTGAAAGCAGTGCAGATACATCCTTTCCAGCTGCCTCTTGCTTAACTGCTACAAATCCTTTCAAGAATCATTAAATCAATACATCAGTCAATTGACTACCAAAAGATGGCTTCACCCATAGGGCACAATTGTGGTCTAATGAATTGAAAAGTAGGTTGCCCTGAGGACTGTTATCGTTTTTGTCCAAACACAAATTATGACCTTTTTCTTTTATTTAGTTTAAGGTAGTAGATCACATTTGTTGATTTTAATCTGGAATCACTGTTCAACACTTTGGAATCTGTTTTCAGTAATGCAAAATCAATGTTGTGAGTTCCATGTAGTACCATTTCATGCTTAAATTGTTCTTTACGTGGTGAAATCGTTCTTCAGATTGATGGAAAATGGTTCTATATAGCACCAAAAAGGGTTCTTCTATTGGTACAAGCTTGACATCTTAATAATAGCAGAACATTTTTTGGTGCTATATAGAACCATTTTCAAAAAGTTTCTAAACTCTAGAAAAGTTTATAGAACCATATTTAACACGCTCTCCATCAATGTGAAGAACCATTTCACCATGCAAAGAACCATTTAAGCAAAAAATGCTTCTATGTAGAACTTATGGTTCTGAATAGGACCATTCCCTTTACTGAAGAACCCTCGAAGAACCATCTTGTAGAGTGTAGTATGCTAGTCCAGTTTAACTTCACATTTTAAATAATTCATAGGACTATCACTTGGAAGCTATTACCTTTAAAGTAAATGACTAGAAAGCTGTAAATAAAAATCCAAAATGACACATATCAGAGTTACGGTAGAGTGATTATTAGCAGGATTAGAATAAACTAATGTTATCACTCATGGTAATTTTCTTACATGTGTTCATGTGTTAAATGCAGATTTTGTCATCAGTTTTTTTTTCTCTTTCATGAGAGTTTATCGTCATTGTGTGCTGTGTTCCTTCAACCGCTGTGTCCCTTCATGCCGAGTGATAGACACTCACAAAAAAAACCCTCCAAAAAACAAAGTGATAGATCCAAGTTAAGCTAAATTTTTCTTTAACATTTTTTCCACAGTTTCTTTCGCTGCTGTTCAGTGGGAGTGATATAGATCTGTATTCAAGTTACATATTTAAAAAAACTTTCCACACATCACAGAAAACAGCAGCGTGCAGTTAATCTGATCAGGGAATATCGACTGAAAAATCTAAACGTCTCAGATAGGAAATCCACTTAATTCCCATGAGTGCAGTTTGAATGGTAGATTGTCATGCTTGACTAAGTAGAAGTGTAAAACTGAGTGGGCACAGTAGTTCAGTATTGATTTTTTAGGCCAAACTACATAAGCCTAACTTGGACACTTGATTGACTCCACCCATATATTTAATGCCATTTTTAAGTTGTCTTGCTGAAATTGTTTTTCTCTTTATTTTAAGGGCACACATCATGGACAACTAAAAAAACAATGAATTCAAAAAGTTTTTAAATAGATGATTTGATGTAGTGTGTGGACACTGTTAAAGCTTCTAACTGTTCCATTCACTCCCCAGTCCATATGGTCCATATATGAAATGTAAGCTGCAAAAAGAGCCCATTTTGAATTCATTGTTTTTGTGGTGTCATGAAAAACAACACATTTAAATATATCTACAGCAGTGTTCATGCTAATGATGTATAAGGAGTTTTTCAGCCTGGGCTGCTTTTTGAATGAGGCATAATACAGGCCAGCCAATCAGAACAGAGCTCATTTACATATATCACTTTTAAAGGCACAGGAAAAAAACAGCCTATTTATTTCTGAGGGATAAAGAGAAGTTGAAAAATGGTCATGTAAAATGAATTATGATGTTTATGTTTTTGGTGCATAAAAGTACAACTTTATAAGTGGACCTCAAGGAAAACATACAAGAAAAACATAAGAAAATGTAGGATATCGGCCCTTTAACTCCATGACTTTAAAAAGGCAAGTAATCCAAAAGCAATGGAAGGTAGTCTGATTGTGTTATTTTAATGTTTAGGTTACAAATTACATTTTTAGAATAATTACTACTCTGTACCAGAATACGTTGTTAACGGCACCTTCCTACCCCAGGATAGTGTATACTTTAAAGGGCAATTTCACTGAGTTTTTCAACATTGCTGCATAATTAAATACTTAACATGTAAAGAAAGCCATTGAAAGGGGTTTGATGTGAAATGCTTCATTCAAGGGAAACAATCCCCAAAGAAAATGTTTTTTTTTCAGATTTATCACTAGTTTATCTTTATCAACATTACATACAAAAATCCATAAGACACATGTAAGTTCACTGGTAGTTGTGGATAGTAAATAAAATGGCTATATTTGTGTTGTAGACAGTGTGACCCCTGGTTCCTGTCACCACCACTGTAAAGAAATCCCTACAATGAACTAGTTCACATCAGACCACACTGAATGACTTTGTTTACATCTCAACCACTGAATTATGTTGAAAAATTGGTGGAATCCTCCTTTAAGTGTATTTGAGTTAGCTGTGGCTCAGCAACTACAACAGTACATCTCTGCTCCTCTGTTCCAACAGAGCTGAAGAATAAGCACTTCCAGCTCAGGAGGAACCATCATCATAATGAAACTGATTTTCTGTCTGCCCTATATCACTTTTATTATCTCTCTCTCTCTCTTTCTCTCTCTCTCTCTCTCTCTCTCTCTCCCTCCCTGTCTCTCTCTAATACACAGACGCACCCTCTTATTCTCATCCATTCTCAGCTTCAGCTATACTGATTTTCATAGATCTCTGCTATCTTCTGACAGCTGCTTTCAGGGTCCCTCGCAAGTCGGCTTTTTCAGAACTAAAAATGCTAATTTGGCGCGGTGGCATTCTTTTATCTGATTCACTCCCATCTATCTGTGTGTTGACAGCCCTTGCTTCTAGATTTACAGGCAGCTCCCACAACGGGGCCTGCAGGACTAAAGCATGTAAAGAGAAGGAGAGAGGGGCAGAGGAGGGAGAGAAAACTCAATGATTTAATTGAAGAGAGAAAAGAGAGAGGTTGAAGTTTTAGTTTATTCAAATTGGCATTGGCTTTGCAGAAACAGTACTCTAGTCTGGATTGAAAAATATTATTACTGCGATCAGACAGCCATGGGTGACAGTACCGTTTTAGATCAGTATTAGACAGTAATAGAGCCAGCGGGTCAGAATCACACAGGACAGGCTTGACAAGCAAGAATCAGGAGAAACACCAGAGTGTAAACCACAAATCATGTTCTCTGTTTTTTGTATCTTAAGTCATTTATGTCTGGGTCAGATTTTGGATGTTCTTCAGTTCATATTATACCACCTTATATTTGGTGGTTGCTGTTGAGTTCGATTAACTCACTCCGACTCTATATCCTCCAGGTTCCAGACATGTCTTTGGTGCCTCTGTACAAGAGATTGAGTCTGAAGAACGTGTCCACACTGACCCTCTCTATGGACCTCACCCTGGCTGAGCCTTTTGGACTCTGTGACCATGCGGGTGATGACTCATTCACCACCTCAAAGGTATAAAACGAAAAAGTTGAAAAAGTTGTTGGTGAGAACACCCATTAAAGGCTTTGAAGGCTTTTGACTCCTAAATGGCTTCTTAGGGTTTTGGCTTGTTATGGTGGATTGGAAAAACTCTACTATACCTTCTTGTTAGAATTAAACTTAGCCATACCAACATAGCAATAGGTTGCAATGAAGGTTCTAATATTCCTTCCTGTCACCGATAAACACAACATGTTGATAAACAGCTGCTGTATTGTGATGAAATGATGTGACAGGCAAGTTTCTGTTGTTGACTTACCTGTTTTTGTACCAGGTAGAACAAATTCTTGGTAATTAATGAAAGAACCTCTACAGTAGGGGTCCACCTAACACCAGAAACACTACAGTCCTTAACACTGTGCAGTATAATATTAATTCACCACACCTTATACAGCTCATTAGCATTTTTTTAAAGATTTAACATAAGATGCACCAACCTATTAGACAGAAAAGAAGAATCTGTAAAATTAGTTGCAGGAAAGAATAACATTACAAATGAATAAGCACAAAAATTTTAAAAATAACTTTTTATACTATGTGACGTACACTATGTGTCCATATTAGGAAATTAGGGGTATTAATAGGGAGTTTGTTGCAGTAATAACCTCTACTCTACTATAAAGGCTCTCCACTAGATGTTGGAACTAAATGTTGATTTAGTTGCTTTCAGCCGCATGAACAGTGAATGAATGAATGGATGATTTTTTCTCGAACACAAATGTCACTCCACCTGAAACTGAAGAAATGGTCATTTTACAATATTTGAAGCATCAGTAAGTTTTGCTGCCATTCTGTTTTCCTGTGCTTTTATAGGGTTTGATGCTGGGTGTGGGGGCAGAGACAGAGCTGTGGGTTCGCTTTGACCCCATGTACCGGTCAGATCTTGTAAGCCGTGTGGCTGAGGAGGTGCTGGAGATGCGGTACAGTGGGCACCCTCAGTGTGACACTGTGGCTCTGCGAGGTGAGGTGCACTTTCCCAACTTACACTTCTCCAGCAGTGTGATAGACTTCGGCTGCGTGCTCAACCACACTGAGGCCCAACAGCAGATCGCCATGACCAACTGCAGCCCACTCCCCGTCTCCTACCGCTGGGCCTTCCTGCTGGACCAGGAGCAGTTCTCTATCAGGTAGTGGCAGCTTTCACTGGGAATAAATCACAGGTATCAAACTCATGTTCTGACGGTCCACAGCACTGCAGAATATTAGCTTTTTTCCTTTTTCTTACACTCTAGCTGCGTTCCAAAAGCTAGGCTACAGCCGAGATAGTTGGGTAGCGCTGTCCTATGAAGGCTTGTTTGTATTACATAATGTTTTAACTAATTAACTTAATTGTTCTATGTATGTATAGGCTTGTTCTAAATTTGATGCCTGCAATATGTTAAAAAAAGTTGGGTCAGAGGCAGCTTTGCCACTGTGTTATATCACCTTTTCCTAACGATATTCAGTAATTATTGGGAACTGAGGACACATTGTGTGTAGCGATGCTTCCTTCACAGACATGAAAGTTATCCAGTAACACACCTCCATGTGAGACATTGACAGCGTTTCTGGATGATGTTGATATATGGCTTCCGCTTTGTGTAGAAGAGTCTTAACTTGCATTCGTAGATGCAGTGATGAACTATGTTTACTGTTAAGAGTTTTCTGAAGTACTCCCAAGCCCATGTGGTTATATTCATTACGGAAGCATAATGCAGTGCTGTCTGAGGGATAGAAGGTCATGGGTATTTAGTATTGGTTTTTAGGCTTGCCTGATATGCACAGAGATTTATCTGGATTCTCTGAATCTTTTAATAATGTTATGGACTGTAGATGGTGAAATCCTTAAATTCTATGCAATTGTGCATTAAGAAACTTTTTAAACTGTTGAACTATTTGCTCACACAGTTTTTTGCAAAGTGGTGACTGATCCTTTTGTCAGTGCTCCTTTTATACCCAATCATGGTAGCATCACCTGTATTCACATGTTTACCTGTGGAAAGTTCCAAAACATGTGTTTTTGATCATTCCACAAACTTCCCAGTCTTACATTGTCACATGCCACCTTTTTTGAAATGTGTTGCAGGCATCGAATACCTGTAAGTGTTAGTTTACAAATCACTACTTTCTGATTTTATTCACATTTTTCCTACTGTCTGAACTTTTTTGGAATTGGATTTGTGATGTGGGCAGGCAAAAACTTAATTTGTTTGTAATTAAGTGCTATCCTGCAAGCTAAAAACTGTTGAACTCACTAAAAGCAGGTTCATTTCTTACTGCATGAAGACACTCTAAAACAGACCCAACTAAAGAAATGGTGTACTATATATTTTACTATACATTTAACAGTTTTTTTAATAATGTGTTGTAGTTGGTTTCTTTGAGTCAGACGTGTGCGCGAAGGTGTGGGTGACAGAAGGCCATGAAGGATACTCTGTCAGCATTCTCAAATGTTGTCAGAATGTAAGCTGTATTTGATGACGGTGTAGAAACGCAGTCTACCTAGACAGCAACCTAGCTTCTTGATCGCAGCTTCTGAATTCAGCTCATGAAGGTTTTGCTAATAAGCTGATGAGTTGTATCAGGTGCAATAAATGAGGTAGAATGCTGACTTCCACAGCATTGTGTCTTGTTTTATGTCTGTGGATTAGATTTCTGAAAGGATGTCAAAATAGATGTCAAAAATGGTAATGATGCTAGCAGTGAATGCCCGGTTAGCATTATCTAAATGGCATCATGCTAATTAGTACATAGTAGCTTACATTCATGGCTTGAACTATCATTGCTGATATAGTTTTCTTCAAACTTGTGGTCAAGCTATTGCTTTAATATTTGATTGAGCTATTCCTCAAGTAAAGTAAAGTCTCCTGTACTGTGTAATTTAACTGACACTTGAAGGACAAATTCACCCAAGAAATGCTAACATAGCTAATAATGATTGAAATACAAAAGAACTTACTACTCAGCATTATGCAAATGAGCTAATACTCACTGGTCCATGTATGCTTTCATTCACTGTTAGTCACATTGGCATTTTTGGGTAATGCATTTGTTTGACCTTAAACTTGAGTGCATATCATTATGAATCATGGAAGATCATCATCAGCTCTCTACTCTAACTCAGAAGAGATGCAGTCATCAGAAAAGGAGCCAATGGTATTATTCATAAAAAGCTCACATCTTATTTGTAGATTAATAAATTTATATCTTGTTTTATAGTCTGCAGTCAGCTTCATTTTTTGATGGGTATTGCGTGCCAGTAGTCCTGTCTCTCACACCCAGATTATGGAAAGTATGGCAAAGCACTTTTTTTGCAGTGTGGACAGCACTGTGAGTTGCTAAAGGACCAGAACATTTTTAATAGAGGACGCTCTAGTGAGAAGGGGACAGACGGTGTTGAAGCAGCTGCCAGTATACCAGCCAATTAAGACGACATTTAGGCAAGCTGTTTCCTTCCCCTCTGTTAAACAAGAGGAGCCTGATCTATGCCGCTAAAGCAAAATGCCATTCTTTCTCTGAAGAGCAATGTGTAGCCTTCACCTCTCTCTGTTCCGATGGTTATACAGAGATGTGGAATGGATCATTACTTTCCGTTCCTCCACATGAGTTAGCTGTTAAACCTAATGGACAATAGGTCTATTACTATTTGAAGCATCTCAAATAGAGGGGAAAAATGATATGTTGATAAATGACATCACAATAACATTTTCAGAGTATATCATCAGCACTTCTAGAGCTATTTGTTTTGAAAAAGACTGCATAGTAACAAGTAGCTAAATGGATATCAGCTCATTATGCCATTATTTTATTACTGTATATTTATCAAATACAAAGTACTGTATCAAAAGTAAAGTCAATCCTTTCATTTATTTAATTTCTACTCAAAACAGCCACACAAGTACACATTGTTCATGTTTCGGCATCAGGAAAAAAGCCGGAAATCTATGTTTAACAGAAAATTACTCAGAGGCCTTAACAACTAAATATATCAATGTTTTTAGTATTCTGTCCATACTTTGCCTTTATTACAGCTTCCATTCTTGTCATGAGACCTAACTCCAGTTTTTCAACTGCAGGAATGTTTTGCACACCTCCAAAGTTCCGTCTTAGAAATTGGTTGCATTTTCTGCCTCTCATGATTCGCATAATCCCAATTAAAAATTTAGACTCATCATTCTATAAAAAAAATTACTCCGACTCTTAGATGTCAACTTCTTTACAGCTGTACATCCTTTCAGACCCATGTCATTGAGTTGTCTTCTCACAGTGGAATGAGACAGAATCACTTGTGGATTTTTTTAGATCTTCGCAAAAGTGAAGAGTTGACAAAATAAATACTAATAGATTTGATATTCTGCTTATTTTGGAGGCTAACTAAATGAAAGGGTGGTCTCTACATTACTACATATACATTACTGTATCATGATATTTTATTTTTCTGAGGTTTGCGAACGAACAATCGACCAAATTTCGCCAGCATTACAGTAGAGCCACAGTGAAAAACTAGTGCTTTTTTTTAGTTCAACATTTACAAAAATGGAAAGAATGGAAAGAATGATCAAACAATTGATAAATATGCAGTAATTAAATAATGACAAAATGGGTTGATATCCAATTAGTTTTTAGTAACAAGTAGTGATCTAGAAGTACTGATGATGTGCTCAGAAAAAACACAGTACTGTACATACTGTGTGGTACTGTAATATAATATTTTTGCCATATCATCCACCCTAAATATCCCTTAAGAGTTATTTGTCCTTTGCTGTCTTAGAGTCTTCAGTGCAGAAGAAGAAAAAGAATGGACAAACTCAGTTAGCGTGCTGTTAAAGCCCAGCCAAGACACCTCTCTGGCACTCTTGTTTTGCCCTTATAGATACTTGGCTGCAGTGTACCACTAACACTGTAAACCAACATTCATCACTTTTTAAAAACAATTTCTTTTTTATTTTTTCTCCTCGTTTTTCTTCTTCATCACAGTCAGTTCTCAGTGTCGCAGATCTCTCCCCTAGTGCACAGCAGTGCTGCCAGTCTGAGAAGGGGAAGGTGCATGCACCTTCTGCAGTCAATTTGAAGCCTGACACCACATCTTTCAAACTACTGACCGTGCAGCATGCACTCATTTCTCAGTGTGCTTGGAAGGGGACATCCTTGATGACCCTTGGCACATGGCACAATTGGGAGCTGAACCTGAAACCCAGCTGCAGGGTGCATGTCTGCAGTGCTGAGCAGTTCTGTGGCTGAGTATGCATGCCTGTGAGGAAATGTGCATCACTTTTGATAAGAGCTGGAATTGGACAGATCCAGTCAAGCCTTACAGGCCATAAGAAGAGATTGAATAAACTGCCATGGTTGAATAAGCTGTTGATGATTTATGGTAGAATGAAGCAGTCAGCACTCTTTCCTTTGCTGATAGTAGTGTCCAGTGCTACTTGAGCTCATAATCACAATTTCAACATAACATTCTGTGATTACTATCAAATATTTGATCTGTTTTTTGGACAAAAATGTTGTTTTTATCGTATTATTACAGAGTGCTTGGTGAAGTTGTATACTGTCAGCTCCAGAACTATTGGCATCTTTTATAAAAATGAGCTAAAATCAGCATATTAAATAAACCGCACATGAAATGAGTGATATTTCGGGCTTAAACAAATGGGTACGCTGCATATTTTTATCTTTACACAGTGTTTTCTTTAGTAACAGTTTTTTTTTTTAAAAAACAAAGGTTTCAAAAATATTTTTATTTACAGTTCTTTTTATTTACACCAGTGGAAAAAGCATATAAAATACAGCCGAACAACAGAATAGTTCAACTCCAGTCCATAGCAGACGCTTACCCTGCGCTAACTGAACCCACTCCTTGAGACAGAATAACACAAACAGTACATACCCACGCTTGAAACCAAGGACAACAACATTAACAACATCAGAAGACATCATTTAAGGAAGGGAGGCATGCCACGCACCCTTTCCTCCAAAGGGAGGACACGTGGCGTAATTCTGGATACCATGCCTGTGACAGCCACCACAACATTTTTGGATCTTTGCTTGGGACTGCCCTCTTTAATATGCACCACAGATTTTCAGTTTGGTTCAAATGAGGACTGAGAGGGAAATTGCAAAGCTTTGATTTTGTCTTCCTGCAACCATTGCTGTACGGATTTTGATGTGTTTTTAGGGTCATTACTTTGGACCACTAACAGCAAAACAGCCCCAGAGCATCAGTGATCCACCACCATATTTGACAGTGGGTTTCGGGTGTTTGTCATCACATGCAGTTGCTTTTTCAGTGGAACATGATGATGATGTACATGACAAAAAGTTACATTTTTGTCTCAACTGACCACATCACATGATTCTGTTTGTGGTTCCAGTGACATTTTGCTAAGTTTTTGTGAAACTGTGGAACCAAAAAGCTTCTGGTCATGGAAGTGTTGTCTGACAGTGGATACTGAAATTTGAAAAATCCAAGATTCAACTAAACTGCACGGTTTTGAATCAAACTGATCTTTGGGTTTCTCTTTGCCTCTTTGTACATGGGGCAGTATTCTCATGCGTCCTCTTCCTGACAAATTTTACACTGTTCCATGTCAACTTTTAATTAATGCCCTGATTGTAATAGTAATCTCAACTGACTACTAGGTAGATAGATAGATAATGGTACAATATGGACAATAATGGAATTCCTGGAGTCTAGGAGCAATAAGAAGATACATTTTTTCCCCAAAGATACAAATTTCATTGGTTTTATTTAAAATGTTCTAAGGGTACAGTTAATTTTGCATCATATGTTTTTGAAAGAAAACACTATTTTAAAATAAACAAAACATTGTGGGAATGGTTTCTATTAGATGTGGTCAGTAATTTCTCATTTGAAACATTACATATATATAACAGAAACATTTGAATAATTATATATATTGTTTGTTGTACATGATTATTTTAGCCCAGTTTGTGGACTGTTCATGACTTATTACTGCAGTGTCATTGTATTTCAAGGAGCAAACACTCACGCATAAACATAGTGATAGTGGTTGCCCAAAACAGCATGCGAAGCACAAAGCACGGTGTTAAATCTCAGGTGTCAATAGTAGGCCAGCTCCAGGCCACATGGACTAGAGTTTTTATAGTTTTTAATTGTTCTTCAGCAGCTGCCATGTCCTGCCTCGAACAAATCAATACCCCTCTCTGTGGGACTGGAGTGCCGGCCAGTGAAGATTAATCACTCCCCCTGCCTCTCCTCAGCCGCCCACTGGCTCAGTCGCCCAATAACACCATGACCTTTCCTATCAATACCTCCGAGCTTTCAGCACACATTGTCCAGCCTGCTAATTAAAAGCCTATCAGTAATTAAAGCCACCGCAAATGCTCCATCATTGCACCGTTCCGCGCTGTATCACCACCTGCTATGCTGGGGGGATTTCTTGCTGACAGACAGCGTTTTTCGTCTAAGTTAGCTGACTCACATTCACCATCCATGGGGGAAATCTGATGAGAAATCTGATTGCTTTCTCTACTTTCTCCTTGAAGGTTTCATGGGGAGATGGGCATGATGGAGGGAGACGCGGAGGAGAAGCGAGAGGAGGCGCAGCAGGGGCTATGGGAGACACAGGAGGCTGCCACAGGAGGCGAGAGACCCTGGAACAGGTCTGAGATGTTCGCTTTTTGGAGGTTGGAAGCTGTTGTTGCCAAAGTCCCTACCCCACCCTAGCTGATTTGCAGAAAAAATAAGAATGAATATAAAGACGGTTGTCTTCCATGAATCATGCCACTGCTGGAACACCATTGACTAGCACTACCTGCTCAATAACTCCTTGCAAATTACATATTCACCACACGTGTGGTTGCCTACAGTAGGCAAAAGCTTGGTACGAGCTGTGTTTCTATGCCTTTTAGTAAATACTCTTTTATGTCCCCTAAGAACCATCAGTTGAATGGCTTCTCTTGAGAGTCTGTACCCGACTTCCTACACTGCATTAGACATTATAATGAACACTCTTATTACTTCAGTGCTGTCAGTTTTGCTTAATTGAATTGTTTGCCGTGGACTCTGAGGTGTCAGGGGATTAGTGTCAGAAGATGACATCCATGAACATTCACAAACAAGGGCAGTGGGACAGAACAGAGAGCACTGAACACTTCAAATTAGATTTGTGGAAATGCAAAAAGAAACATTGTTTTCATGGATGTGGAGGGTGTTCCCTTCTGTGAAGAGTCCTGAGGAGAGCATTCATTATCTGTATTAAATGATACCTATTCTGCTTGCATGAGTGGAAGGACTTCAATGAGCTTCATTCCCCATACAATACTGCCCCCTGCTGGTTCTCCACAAAACAGTGTGTCTCCGCCGCCTTCCTCAGCCCCTGTGCCGCTTTGTGTAGTTTCAGTGAGAAGATTCAGGTTGACAGCTTCACAGCAGAGAGCAGTTGTATTTGGACATGTGACACATTGCCTTCACCTACGCAGCTGGATCTTTCAACACCAGGGAGGGAAGGAAAGAGGGGAAAGAGATGGTGTTTCAAAATATTTTAGTCACGACTTTTGTGCCTGGTCTTTTTGCTTTTGTGCTGTTGTTCTTTTTCACTGTGCTAATGTCTACTCCTCAGTCATCTGAGTTGCTTATCCATCTATGTGGGTCCTTCTGCAATGCCATCTTTGTTCTAGGCCTGAGATTTCTTCTGGAGACATGTTGTGATAAATTACCCTTATTCAATTATTAAGCCCTGTTTGTAATTAATGGCTACCGTGACAGAACCAATTTCAATTTGGCCCGATCGTAAAGGCTGGTGGGCCAGGAAAGAGACAGACTGAGGCCGTTTGACTCTGATTGAGAATTAATGAGATGTTGATGATTTTTGATGAGTCATTGAAACTACCTCTTGATTTATGAACACTTGATTTCAGGCAAACTGAGGTTCCCAAAGCTCAGATGGAAGAAGAGGGGCCAGATGAGATGAGAGAGTCCAACACTGAGACCAAGGAAGGGAGATTTTCCCCAAAAGAGCCACCTTCGACTTATGGACAGGATGTTCCAGGACTAGATGCAGGGCTTGTCCATGGCAATCACACATTTATCTCACATGACCAAGAGAACAGTACAGTGTCCCCAGCACAGAGGCCTACTCAGACCAAGCTGGATCTTAGCACAGCCAGCTTGGCCAAGGAGAGACCTAACGTAGGAGTGGAGGAGGCAAGCAGTTTTTAGTTGTTTTTTAATACTTTTTGGTTGTGCATTTGAGTCCAGAATTAAAGATATGTACTCAGAGGGTGGTAAACTCACTCTGTCTTTTTCTCCCTCTCTCTTTCTCACAGATATTTGACATCTTGCCAATCTATGGGCTGCTTCAGCCTGGTGAGAGTCAGCTGGTGAACGTCTCATTCTTTGGCCATGCTGACATCAGTGCTCAGGTGCTGGCACTGTGCGAGGTTGAGGAAGGTCCTACGTATGAGATCACCCTCAAGGGAGAGGCATCAGTGGTCACATATGTCCTGGACACAACTGACATCAACTTTGGCCATCAGGTTGATTTTGCATGTCTATGCTAAATAAAGTGTGTTTTTCCTCTTCTATGTTAAAGAAGTGTGAGTAATTAGGGCGCTTTTGAACTATTGCTTTTCACTTTGCCAGCTGTTTGACCATGTGGCAGAGGCAGAAATCTCTTTAAGGAACACTGGGAAGGTGGGTTTTGACTACAGTGCTCTGCTGGAAGATCAGCAGCTGTCCCCTGATGACCCTTTACCTGGCCAACCCCTTGTTGTTCCCAGCATGGTGAGATGATACATTCTATGATAGTTTTGTTTGGGATTTTATTGTATAAAAATTCTACTGCACGTTGTAATGTCATGTTTCTTCAAATGTAGCAGTTCACATAGATGTCAACACTTTTAGTTCAGAGCCTGATTCGTGGCAAAAAATATGATATAATGCAATGTTACACCATATAGACCATAATATACTTGTTGTTCTAAATAAGACTGAGGTACTCAGTAGAATATTCACAGGCAGAATAACACTATCAACTCTCAGAATCAGATGTCCAAGTGTGAGAAGACACAGAGCAATTTGTGCCTTGATGTGGCCGTAATATACCCTCACAGTCCATGTTACTGTTTTGGCTGGAGTAGATTTACATTCCTGTAGAATGTTTTGGTGGGTAAGAACATCATTTATTAACACTGCTGTCTCTTTGTCACTGAACCTTCATTTTCTCTTTTGTCTGAAAATTGTTGACTGCTTCTACTTCACTATGCCTTTTTAACCCTGCGTTTCATGCATGAGCATGCAGTTAGTAGGTGGTTATGTGCACAGTAGCCGTGGGCTGATAATTAATATTATTGAATGTTGCAATAATTTAAATATGTGCTAATATTATACAAATTATTGTTCTTTTGATCTCTCACATGCCATGTTGTTACTCACCAAGAAAAAAGCAATGGAAATTTTTTTGGTACTTTTTATTTGTTTGGGGCAAAAAAATAACAATTGGTGTGTTTTTTGATCTCATAGTTTTTAAAATATTCACATCTACCAAACTGTCAAGATGGCAATTTGTAGCAAGATCAGAGTATATATAGTGACTCAAAATGTGCTCTACAAAAAGTTGAACAAAAAGAGCATCACCAACAAATTAACATCAACAAGTGCAGTATAGTTTCTTAGACATCTGAGAAAATTAGATTTAAGATATTTATCTAAATAGTATGCATTTCTTTGCTCAGAAGAACACGTATATTGCAATAAATACAAAAGATATTAATGCAGTAAGTACTGATTTTGAATGTTATTGTGTTCATTTAATGATTTCCAAACTTTTTCTTGAGAAAGCCTTGTGTTAAGTGTAGTGGTTAGTGAAATTTAACAAATTCATGCAATGGCTGGGGGTGTCAAGGAGACATCTAGAACCAAACTTTGTACTAGCTCACAAGATATCAGTTACATTTTTGAAAAAAAGGAAAAAATATGATTACAATTTACTGTATTTCTGTTCATTTGCATTTATTCTAATAATATATGGTGTTTTACAAGCAAGAACATTTTATTGCCAAGACAAATGGCTTTAAATAATGTGCTCAAGTACCTAAGACTTACATAGTACTGTACATACTTTAAATGCCACTTGAAAAGATTATAACACATATTTCCAGTCAGGCAAAGAATGCTAGGAAACATGGAACTCTGATACCTGATATCTACTTTTCTGTAGAGAGTGCAATGAATGAGCTTGTCTAGAAGAAGGGTGCCAACACGCCAGTTTGACGGTATTTTGGTTTCCAACCAAACAAAAATGTAGATCCACTGGAAGTACTGTAAATGCTAGCCCAGTTGGTAATAATGTAATAATTATGGAAAATGCAAGCTACAGGGTAAGGCTCTGTAATGCTCACATGTGATACTTCATAACTGGATTTGGATCATGATAATATTCTTCAAATTCTGTAGACGATAATTTTGTCTAAATTTACGTTGTTATTCAAGTTTAGTATGCAGTTTGTGTGATTAGGTTTAGAATTAGTAAAACAAACATTGATTTCAGACACATTTGTGAATTCAAATTTCCGCTGCATTAAGGCACACTTTGTGTTGTGTATCTGACGTTGAGCGTGTGTCTGAACATTTGTGTAATTGTAATTGACATGTTTTGGTTTGTTTTATCTGAAGGGCCGTGTAGAAGCGAATACAGAAATTAAGCTCACTGTGTACTACCTGCCCGGAGTTCCAGAGGTTTTTCAGAAGACTTTCCAGTTGCAGGTGGCTTTCTTTGAGCCAGAGATCATTACACTGAAGGGAGAGGGCATCTTCCCTAGAGTGGTCCTGGACCTGCCTAGAGACCTGGGTAAGGACTTCTTCACTGTAATACTGCTGACCGTGGAGTTGGCTAAAGACCTGAGACATTACATGTGCTGTCTGTATGGGAAAAAAGTCTTTAGATGTATAGCCACTTTGTGACCACATTAGTCTTCCTTCACCATCATTAATAAATAATGTAATCCTTCCATAGCTAGAGACTAAAAAAGTACTTAAGACCAAAAAAACTCTATAAGTTTCCTTCCTTCTTTTGTTTTATTACTTTATTTATTGCACATAAACATTTTATTCAAATTCATCTACAGTCCCATGCTTCTTCAGATTTGTACTCCCTCAAGTGCATGTACGATTACTCGCTTGAGTTTTAGTTTTGCCAGCTTGAGCCAGCTTGAAGTCAACCATAATGGTGCTATTAATCACATATATCTAAACCTGCACCAGTTCAGAGACCTGTGGAAGACTCTCATTGATCAAAGCCTTGTAGTCTTGAGCCAGCCTAGAGATTCCTGAAAGAGTGTGATTAATCTGTGGAACCTGCCTAGAAGTGCACATTCACACTTACTGGGAGCTGTGATCTAGGGAAATGTCAGCAAATGTTGGTTTTGTAAGGGAAATAAAGACTTTGATGGGGTATTGATTTGAGATTCCGCAATGCGCAGCTTACTCAGGCATCTAGGAATAAAGAATGCAGATATTCAGGCTTTTGATACATGAGAGATTCTGTATGGTTGATCTATAACTCATTGCTTTTCCAGAACCTTCTAAAAGCCTTCTAGACTTGGCAGTGGAATTGCAATCCTAAATCTGCAAGTTGTAAAATCCAGAGGCACATCTAGGGATTAATTCCTTATATGATTTCTCTGTAGAGCATGACTTAGTTTGATCTTTTTTTGCATACTGATCCTTCTTATTGGTTCAGGAACAGGATTTCTAACATCAGAGGCTTGAGCAACATATGTTGATTGCTAGTTAAATGAAACTCTTCGTCACAGCATGCAAAACTCAAACTAAGTTAAATCTGTGCCTTTGTGTAGATGAGGAGCGGTATAGCTCAGTGCTGAAGGAGGCTAAGGAGGTGGTAGAGAGTGAAAGACAAAGAGAAGAGGGGCTGAGCAGGTCTGTTACAGGGGAAGGAGAGCTGCACGAAGATGATTACATCCCTACCGTGAGTGAACCCCCTGAGCACTGCACACCACTATGCACAGTCCAGTTTCATCCACTGCTAAATATACAGTAAGATTAAGTTAGAGACAACCCTTCATTTATTTCATTTCCAGTCAACCCAGCCATTTAGTTCATTGTTCATTATTTCTGAGAAGATCAAGTATAAGTTGATTCACATGCATAAGGAAGGGGAACATCAAAGGAAAATAAGTACAAAAACTGGAGTTCAAAAATTATTAAAAGATTTAGAAAAAAATGTTCCTCATAACAACCATACAAGACCTGGTAGACCACCAAAACTGTCACTATCAGATAAACAGTGTGTGAAGCTTTCTTATTTGAGAGGCAGGAGAAAATTAAGCTCTTGCTTCTAATCTAAAAAATCCATGGGTGTTTCTGTCCATCCTTTTACTGTGAGAAGACCACTCAACATTATGGGTCTCAAAGGATGTGTAGCTGTCAAGAAGCCTTTATTTTTTAGATAAAAATCTGGTTTGCACCAGATACAATAATCTGGTAGGCACCTGGTAGTATCTGGTGGTCACAAAAAAAAATACACAGCAGCATTTCAGAGGCTTCATAGAAGAAAATTGCTGGTTCTCAGAACAACTGATTGGCCACTCCAGAGTCCAGTCCTCAGCAACATTGAGTGTGTTTGGGATTACAAGGACGTGAGAAGTAGAAAATGTAACCAACATCTAAGACTGAACTTCAGAGATGTCGAACCATATCCAGGGATGGGGGAGCAGCTAAGTAGCGCTCTACTTTTTGTAGTTAACTACAATTTTTTGTAGCTAATAGCTGTAGCTGCTACAGTTTTATGAAATGTAGCTAGGAGCTATAGCGGCTACACATTTTTGTGTAGCTATTGTGATCGTTTTTGCTACAATTTTGCTACAGACTTCAGGCAATCCGCGCAAAATGTGAACCACAGAACACGGTCGTTAACTGGGCTGGTGGCGATTGTGCAATCCTGACTGAGCCGCGGACAGTTCGAGCAAACGGGCACACGCTGACCCCACGCGCTGATCACCCCTTACTGGCAGGCTTAGCTCAGGGGTCGCAACTGAAATGTTAAGAAGAGCCATTTCGTCCTTTCAACAAAAATGAAACCATCTAGGGAGGCACAAAATTTTATAACCGTTTTACTATCTTGGCTGTATGTCTCAGTATGTGTTAATGTACTAGTACAGGCTAAAAATATAATATAAACGAAAATGCAGACTTACTTTGCTCTGTTTTAACCTTTAGCTCAGCTAAAGCTGCTTTTCTCACATCTCAGGAAACATCTCTGTGAGTTTGTTGTAAAATATCTCTCAATGTTCGACTTTTTATGAGGATGAAGTCGCTTCTCATTCTCATGCTTCTTGTTCAAATTGTCCCGTTCCACCTGAAATGGTGCCTGAGGCGCCAGAATGTACTACTGCGCCATTTAAAGTGGAACAGGACAATTGGAACGAGAAACAGGAGAATGAGAAGCGACTTCAGTTTCGTGAGTTGTTGCAGATTAAACGTATCAGGAAACCAGCTGAGTGCTTATAAATGTAAATAAGTCCATTCATCTCCAAATTATCGATGATCGTCTTAAATCTCTCTCTTTGCCATTTCGTTATCTGCACTGCTGTGTGACCAGCAGTCTGCGCGTCAGTCTTCGGTGTTAAAGGGTGGTGAATTAGCAGTTATGCATTAACTCCAGCGTTTAAGACCATTTATTGTGTTAGAACTGTGTGTTATAACGTTTTTACAGCAAAGGAGGATTATGTTATTTATCTAAAAATCTAGTTCTGCTGTGGAGCTGCAACATCTCTGCAGCAGTGAATAGATTATTTAGGATGGTTCTCACCCCAACCAGAGCCAGGGTCACTGATGAAAATTTTGAGGCTAAAGTGTTGCTGAAGTTTAAAGGACTCATGAATGTCATGTCTGTATTTTGCTGAAATGTTTAAATTGGAGCAGTTTTATTTCAACAGTTGACAGTGCTTTGCACTAAATTGGTTGGTTTGTATTTGGTTATTTTTGTTGATTTTTGTTAGGAAATACCTGGAATGATTGACTTTGCCTAAAGGAGGGCACTACTTTTCAAAAAGTAGCTAAAAAGTAGCCACTACTTTTTCTGGAGAAGTAGGTAAAATTGTAGCTAGCTACAAATTTTGGAAAAGTAGCTACAAAGTAGCTAACTACTAATTTTTCAGTAGCTATCCCAACCCTGACCAAATCCCTGCAGATTTCTTTTGAAAAGAATGGAAGCTGTAATAAATAGACAGCATGGAAATTTCATATCATACATGTTTTCTATTTCTATAAATGTTTTTCCTGATGCTTAAACTTGTACTTAATGGCCATTTTAACTAGAAAAAGGGTGGTCTCTGACTTTTGCACAGTACTATATCTGACAAAGCCTAATAATCTAGCCCAATAAACGGCCTGCTGTTTTAGCTCATGGAAGTATGTGTTACTGAGGTACCAGGACCACAAATTGTTATTAATTATAATAATAGACTATCATCTGGTGTAATTTTATACTGTGGCAATTGTTTTATATATTTTGTCCACACAGCATGTATGTTTGTGCATGTTTGCAGTACAACGCTTTGCTGCAGATGGAAGTTGAGAGGCTCATGGTCAAGGAAAATGCCATAACCACTGAAAAACCCCAAAGAGACACCGAACAAAGAGAAACATCCAGATCCAGCAGCAAATGGCGCAGAAAGCTTAGCAGGTAGGATCACATGCTAAGAAGTCTATAAAGACCTTTGTTTTGATTGAAGAGGAAATGTGATTGTTTATGATACATCCTCCTAACAGGTTTGTTTTGCCTGAATATGTCCTGGACTTTGGCTATGTGATCCATGGCAGTGTCCCTACTCACATTGTGAAAGTGACCAACACTGGACCTGCACCTGTTTCTTTTAGAGCTGAACGCAATTCACTTGCAGACACAGGTTGGTTCATAATACGTTGTATGGCTATTGGGTTGCACTGCACCTGGAGATTACCTTTTAATATTTGACAAGTGTGCTTTGTCAGTCGAATGCAAAAGTGAATTTTCTTAGTGAAAATAAGTGAACACATCCTCTACAAAGATCACACTTCTGCTTATTTTAATAAGGAAATAAATTGAAACTGCACACTTTCACTTGGAAAATCAGCAAAACAAGTACTGTCAGAATGTTGCAGTCTTTCATATCTACTCCAGGATTCAGCACAGAGTTGGACAGGGTGAAGAATCTGCCGTACTGCGAGACAGAGACATTTGAAGTGAAGTTTGATCCTCGTGGTGCAAATCTAAAGCTTGGGGAGATTACCTCTGTAATGCCTATACAGGTAGGGCCGCCTTAATGTTTAGGAGGGTACACTGTGAAAGTATAACAGGGCAGAAGTTGATCTGAAGTGTTTTTGAAGTTTAAATTGATGTATTGTTTAATATGAATTTGTTTTGTTTTGCATCACTTCGTTCAAAGTTGGCTATTTGTTTGATAGTGTTTTGTTTAGACTTAATTGATGAACCATTTTTACATTATATATATATATATATATATATATATATATATATATATATATATATATATATATATATATATATAATAAGGAGATTCTGAGCACTGTTTTTTGGTTTATTTTAGAGAAAAGTCTACTAAATAGATTGTCAGTGACTCTGGTGAATGGACACTCAGCTTGGGTTTACTTACTGAAACATCCTTTTAGCTGCCTTTTGTAATCCTGGGAGAATTTAGCCTTGGAAGATTTAGCAAATAGCACTAAGCTTTTTCATGGTACTTTGCATTTTCTGTGTGCGGCTGCCTTTGAAAGGGCTCATGCTCTTTTCAAATATGCTTCGGTTAGAATCGTTCCAGCATGCTTTAGCTTGTCTCTGTAAAGGAATCCTCTTTTGCACCATTCAGGAAAGTCTGATGTGTGGTTACTAGAGAAGTGAAGCATGACTTTATAGATTTCTAAAATTTTATATGATTTTATAATCACTTATTCACTAGTAACCATTTTAACATTTTTCAGTGAAGTGACTTCATTAAGATGCTGCTTTGTGTAATGGGCAGGTGTTGGGGGGTCCTACAGTGCAGGTGCGTCTGCATGCGGTGGTCACCATGCCCTCCCTCACAGTCTCCACAGATGTGTTACAGTTCAACAATGTGCAGTGTGGCCTGTGTCAAGTGGCTACAGTGCAGCTGCATAACCCTGAGCCAGTTCCCTGTGAGTGGAGCATCAGGGAAGAGGAGCAGCCCAAGAAGAAGGTACAGGGTCTTATTCCACTCAGTGGTGGGACTCCAGCATGTACCATGTTTTATTTACAGTAATGTGTAAAAGTCAGAGGTCAACCTTCGTTTATTCAATTGTCAGTCAAAATGAGCATTGAGTACAAATTCATTTTTTAGCCTCAGGAAAAACATACATTTAGCAGAAAATTACAAGATGTCTCAACAACTAAATATAATTTTAAATATAGGTTTTTCAGCATTAGTCTATCCCTTCTTTTCAGGATACTTGCTTTCAGTTTTACACACCTGGTTGCATTTTCTTCTTCTCACAATCCACATAAATCCCAAATGCATTCTATGATGTTGAGGTCTGGATTCTGAGGTGGTCAGTCCAATTTTCTGAGAACACCAGCAGCTTCTTTGTTTGCCTGAATCTCCTGAAAAATAAAAGACCTGTATTTAATGTCACCGCGACCCAGAAGGATAAGCGGTTTAGATGATGTGTGTGTGTGTGTGTGTGTGTGTGTGTGTGTGTGTGTATTTTCTGGAATATACTGACAACATAAAAAAATATATTTCATTTTCATGGGGATTAATTGTCAACTTATCATCTCTTCTGAATACCTGTTGAGATACATCATTATATATTGAATCTACATAATATACTAAGCATTTTCATACAAATACCAGTGAAATCTTGACCTTGGTGTCCACTTTCAAAGCTTCAGCACATGTAAAAATGTCAGCAGCATAGTTTTATGTCTTTATTTTTGTAAGCTTAACTTCTACTTTGAAGCTTACTGTAACAGTGAACAGCAGTGTAGCTTGGGAGGAAGTAATTATGCACAGGTTCAGTGTGAGCTGCGTTTTTTCCCTGTTATTATAAATTACCTGTGGCTGCATTTTCATTAATTAAAACAGGCAGGTCCAATGATGAAGTTTAGCTAGTGGCCGCAGTATCCACAGTATTAGGTGCAGGATAGAGGTCCATTGTTCTGTGTCACACTCATCTGCGCAGTATAATTATAGTTTCACAGAACCTTAGACAAGGTTAATGTATGTTTGTGGTATAAACTAAGCAGTTGTCTAATTCTTATTTGTAAGTAATCTTACTTAAGTTCACTTCCCTAATGAATGAAAGGCCTCTTTACATGTGACATTTACATACAAACACAGTTCAGCACAGAGCACTTACTAAACTTAGGGCCACAGAGTCAGGGGGAGGCTTTACGATGTAGCTATTAACTGATTGATTTTTTCGTTTACAGTGATTCTGTGTCACCTTATTTCAAATTATTTCAGAACAAAAAACATTCAAGTGAAAATAAATTTTCAAATAATTGAATGCAGTGCACGATTTCCAATCATTCATTCAATAAATATCACACCATCAATCTAACATAAATTGCTAAATGAAAAGCAGTGGTGCTAACTAGGAGAGAGGAGCTAGTTAGCATTAGCATAGCTAGCATGATAAAAGTGTTTCTCACCACAGACTATTTGATTCTAGCTAGCTGGATCGACACTGATTAGATCATTATCAAAATTAGATGATAATAACTTAAATCTTAGAGGGTGAAGTCGAACAACTTGTGATGGAGGGAAAGAAAGCTGAAACTGAATCTGTTTGATGGTGTTTGAATCTGCAGCCTCCTAGCTAAGCACTACATTAGTTAGCAGGCTAAAAGTGCCACTGATGTTAAAATGACATTTAGAGGAAAAAGTGGTACTGACAGCCAGAATCCAGGGTGTTCTGGGGTGTGAGCTGTTAGCCTTTTAGCTGTCACTGAGCCACTGTCGTGCATAGTTTTTCTTTCATATTTCATGGTCCTTATTAAGCAGATGGAAAAAGACATCACAAGTGTCTCATGAGTCTGCACTGGCACAGAATGACTGTTAGAGCCATTTGGTTCTACCATGGAAAAGAGGCCAAAGTAACATGTTTCTTTGGTTTTGTGTTTAGACAGAGAAATACATTCCGCTTCACCTGAGACGGAAGACTCGTTTCGAGAAGCCATCTTCTCCAGTCATCTTTGAAATGTTGCCTTCCACTGGCGTGCTGTATCCGGGCAACAGGGTCAACGTCCAGGTCAAATTCAGCCCAGCTGAAGGGGTAAAGTCAAATGCTGAATATTACAGTGACTGCAGAAATAACAGCTGTTGATATTGAATTCTATGACCTGGACTATTGAAGCCTATGACCTGATTTTTTACCTGTCCAAAATTTAATGAAATTGGATTTATTTGTTTTGGAAGTTCTGATGTTCTCTATCCACCAAGGCCCATTTTGTCTAACTTATCAATAAAACCACCAAACTCAATCCTGGAGGGAGCTTCCTCAATCAGCTCCTATGTGTATATATATATATATATATATATATATATATATATATATATATATATATATATATATATATGTATATATATACATATAAATGCAGATCTCACCGGGGGAGCTGGCGTATATGCAGTACTCATCCTTCCCATCAGGCCATGTGGCTGACTGGGGCAGAGCAATGAGCCTAGAGAGTCTCTGATAAGAGCTGGCCTATACCACACATTCATCCTTATCTCAGTTTGGATTGCTGCTACTCTGCACACACACACATACACACACACACACACACACACACACGCACACACACACAATCTCATGCAGGACCCCCACACTGACACACAAACACTGTAGTACTGGTAGCTCCTCTGCAATGTTCCATTATACCTTAGACTTCAGTCCTTTAACACTCTAGTGGGCTTTTTCATCTAATTAACCTAGAGTTTTACAAGAGTTATAGAGAACATTGTCAGAGTGATGGTGATTGTACAGCATAGAGTTCAGGGATAAAAAAGGGAGAAGAATGCTTCAAGACTGAACAAGAGAGGAAGACGAGTGGAACTTATAAAACAGTCGTTTTGACTGGTTCTCTGAAAGAAATCAGTCTCCTTGTAAGCAGCTGGAGGAGAACATGTTGTCTTCTTTAAAAGATTACTTTATTAATCTGTGTTGATTCACATTCCTAAAGAAATTACAGACAGTGTCAGGATGATTCTGTTTTTTAGCAAAAGACTATTTACCTATTCTTACATATACAGTCAAAAGTTTGGTCAGATTATGTTTTGTTGATTTGAAGTGTTGAATATTTGAAGTGAAAATAAGTACACATCAGCAGTAGAGAACACACTTCTGCACAAGAAGAAAAGAAAAGAAAAATAAAATAGCACATTGCTTCATTTCCAAACCTTTCCTAATGACATATGGTATTATTTGTAGTTAAACTACGATACCTAGTTTGGAAAATCAGTCTTTCATTAAAATTTTTGTAGTTGATGTAATTTAACAAATCCATGCAATGGCAGGGGGTGTTGAGGAGTAACCTGGAACCAAACCTTTGTTATTCTAACTAGCTAGTCAGATATTAACTACTGTCTTGAAAACAAGAACTTTGTGTTCTACTGTATTTATGTTAATTTTTATTTATTCTAGTATTCTATATGTTTTACTGGCAAACACACACACTGCTCAGATAAATTGTTTTAAACTTTCACAACACTGTATAGTTATTATCTACACAATAGCACGCTACCCTTCTGGGTCTTGGACCCTCTCATGTTCTTTCTTTATGCCATCCATGTCACCCTCAGCTTCTTTGTTAGGCATCTGGAATTAGATTTGTATAAGAATGCTTTGTGACATTGTTCATTCTAAGAAGCTTAAATAATATAAGCTTCTGTATAATAATCTGTTTAAATAAACCCGCAGGTCAAGTCATCAGCCCTGTTGTAACCAATACCAGATTCCTTGTATATGTAAGCATACCTGGCCAATAAAGCTTGATTCTGATTCTGATTCTGTGTGTTCCCTGCAGAGGGCGTACAAAGAGAAGCTGGTGGTGGTGGTGGCCCAGAGCACCCAGCGAGTCCTGCTCCTGGTCCAGGGCCAGGGACAGGAGCCCCAGCTGGAGTTCTCCACTTCAGTGCTGGAGCTGGGCCCTGTACTGCCCTACAGCAGTGGGCAAGAAGCTGAGGTGGTGGTCCGCAACCCTTGCCCCTTTCCCATTGAGTTCTACTCACTGGACTTTGACAAGCAGTACCTAGAGGAAGACAAGGTGAACTTACAGTACCAATAAAAAAGTAGAATCACTGTTTCAAAGATTGAAAACATTTTTTTCAGATATGGCAACATGATGCTGGTATTCTGCTGCCTTGTGAGTTTGAAGTAAGACGTAGGAAATAGGAAATTTTAAAATGAGAAATGAGACCTAAAACGTCATCAGATTTTCACACAAGTCCTGAAAGTAGATAAAGATAACCTAATTAAACAAATGAGACAAAACGATTAGACTTGATCCTTTATTTATTGAGGAAAATGATCCAATATTACATATGTGTGAGTGGGAAAAGTATGTGAACCTTTAGGATTAGCATGTAATTTGAAGGTGAAATTAGAGTCAGGTGTTTTCAATCAATAGGATGGCAATCAGATGTGAGTGACCACCCAGTTTTATTTAAAGAACAGGGATTTATCACAGTCTGATCTTCGCAACACGTTTGTGGAAGTGTATCATGGCATGAACAAAGAAGATTTTTGAGGACCTCAGAAGAAGAGTTGTTGATGCTCTTCAGGCTGAAAAAGGTTACAAAACCATCTCTAAAGTCCACCAATATGCAGTCAAACAGATTGTGTTACAAATGGAGGAAATTCAAGGCCATTGTTATGCTCCCCAAGAGTGGTCGACCAACAAAGATCACACCAAGAGCAAGGTGTGTAATAGCCTGCAAGGTCATAAAGGAACCCAGGGTAACTTCTAAGCAGCTCACAGTGGCTAATGTTAATGTTCATGAGTTCACCATCAGGAGAACACTGAACAACAATGGTGTGCATGACTGGGTTGCAAAGAGAAAGCTGCTGCTCTCCAAAAAGAACATTGTTGCCCGTCTGCAGTTTGCTAAAGATCACATGGACAAAAGGAAAGGAAAACACTGCATTCCAGCATGAAAACCTTATCCCATGATCCTTATCATGGTTTGGGCCTGTTTTACTGCATCTGGGCCAGGATGGCTTGCCATCATTGATGGAACAATGAACTCTGAATTATGTGTGTGTATATATATATATATATATATATATATATATATATATATATATATATATATGTATGTATATGTCCTGTATTTGAAAATTGATGATCAAAACTCAAATCAATTTTAAAAGTTAACAAGAATTACTGTAGATAATTAGCAGTATGTTATTTATCACTTAAAACTTCACATTGTTACCAAAGACCTTGAAATATTGAATAAAGCATCGAAAATGCCTTTTGGTGTATAATTTCAATACTACAATTCTATTCTATTCTATTCAATTCTACTCTGAATAAATTACTATAATAATAAATAACAAGATGACACAATAAATAACATTTTTCATTATGCCGAAAGGTTTTAATATGATAATATGATTTCAAACTTTTAAACTTATTTTACATCCTCTTCTGGTCCCTTAGAATTACAGACTGTTTTTGTTACTGTGCCTTTAAGACTGATTCATGTATCTGACCTCTGATTCAGATTCTCTGATTTTCTACTCTGTATTGTGCCTCATTCGAAAAGCTGTCAAAGCTGAAACACTTCTTATAACGTCGACATGAATGGGTGGAGCTAAACTGCTGTAGACTGAATTAGTGGAATATATGCAAATGTATTGATATTCATGGCATCACAGAAACAACAAATTCAAAACAGGCTGTATAAAGTTGCCATAAATAGTCTATATGGACACAGAAGTGATCTACGTCAAATGCTTTTATGTTAAAAAAGTGATAAAATAGGCCCTATTAATGGTAGTGCATTTGTTGAACAGCAAGGGTTATAGGAGATATACTTCGCTCAAACTGTTGATGAATGTATTACATAAGAAAATACTAACTGGTTGTTAGCTTTGTTAGCCACTTTTTGACTGTTCTCTCACTGAGTAATGAGGATGGCTTAGTTCCCTTCTCCATGTTGATGTAAATGCAATATTAGTCAATCATGAGTGTCTGTTGAGGAGTCAGTACTCTCTAACAAGCATGTTTAGTCTATCTACAACACTCGCAACTCGAAGAGATGCTGGGACTGGCTACATGTGTTGCAGAGACAGCATGTTTACCCTCACCCTCGCAGATTGGGAGCACTGTGCAATAGGAGTGACCTAGATAAAGACAGCACATAACACTGTGGGGAAAAAAAGGAAAAAAAAAACAATTAAGGTAAAGCATTAAAGCTGAAGTAATAAAGGAGTGATTTATGCCCCGAGGACAAAATGTAATCTTGCCCTGGTTGTGTTGCAGGTGCCTCAGCAAGGTACATTTCGCAACATACCCCAAACAACTCTTTTATACTGTGTCACCCTTTGGTAATTGCATCAAGACTACAAGTCTCTGGCTCATTCCCCTCTGTGTATCAGATCGCCCACGAAAGTTCAAAACACTGCATCCCAGACCACAGAACTACTTAGCTGTGCTAGTAACTGAAGTAGTTGGTTCTCCTCAGGTCTTCCTATGTTTTCTGTTGTTATATGAACTTGAGCCTCTTCACACTCTGTCTCCACAGATCTTGCGGATGATGAAAGGGTATGATGCACAGAATGTGTTGCTGCTGCCCCCTCGTGCCCCCGGTGAGCCTCTGCCAGCTGAGCTCCTGGACTACTACAAAGAGCATCAGTCCCAGGAGCAGGGTACTCTTACATTTTTATAAATAAATAGCTTGACCTAAAATGCTGTGTGATTGAAAGCAGGTAGCCACCAATTAGCATGTATTTTTTTTTGTCATGGTGTTCATTGGTAACTTTTGGCTTCAGTTCATTCATAGCTATAAGCTTTTCAGCTATTACCATCTTTTGTTTTGTGACAGTCATAGCTAAAAATGTCAGTGATTTATTTTTTCTGTGCATGAATAATAATTAATAAAAATGTAAAAAAGGCATATCTGAATCTAAAGAGTGAAAAGGTGCAATTTCTAAGAGTTGAGTTTATCAGCTTTTGACAAAAAGCACCACAGTGTTTCTCCACGTTGGTTTACTGATAAAGTGCATGCAGCTGACTTGTGATCGATGTGCTGTTTTTCTTGAAACTGAGAGATAAGCAGCAACCCTGCTGACAGAGAGCTCTAGATTTATGAATAAGTGCAGTTTTACATTGTATGCTATTCATCGTGCTGTGTAAGAAGACTATTTTTCTCTCTTGGAGGAGATCTTTTATGCTTGTTCTGAAATGCCAGTAACACGTCTTTGTGCTTTAGAGTTCAAGGCTGGCTCTCCTAAAGAGGACGGAGCTACTGATGCTGGGAAGAAGGGGGCGGATGTGGTGCAAGAGGAAAATTTACCTAGTTCATCACCTGCGGAACACCCCCTGGAGGAGGACAGGGTAGAGGCAACAGCTGTACAGTCCAAAGACAGAATAACCACTGGCACAGGTATGCTTGCACTGGGTTCATGAAATAAATTATGCTGTTTACTAAATGTACCTCAAATTTTCAGATAGAGGTGGACTCATGAAGCCCTCTTCTACCTTATAGGCCTGGTCAAAGAAGACAGCAAAACCAGCAGTGTGGGTGATCTGGAGATGAGCCCTGTGTCCAGAGCCATCGCCCGTTACATGGGCATCGATCTGTCACCAGAGGGCCAGGCTGCTCGTAATCGCAGGGGCATTGCCATCATAGTGCATGGTGCTCCACTCTCGGGTAGGACATTTACCTCTGAGCCTCTCAGTAGATGAACAGTAGATCATTGTTGTTAGATCATTTTTTATCATTTTATGTTAATGATATGAAATGCAGTGTAGTTTTCTTATTAATATCTCAGTTATCTAAGATATTTATTTTAAGAGTCGTGAGGAAACAGCATCTGTCAATCTGCATTTTAAAATGAGGCCTTGTACTTTTATGTGTGGGTTAGCATCCTGGAAATCTTCTAATTTGGACAGACTACCTCTTGGATTAACATTTCTACTTATTTTTTCAATAAATAACCGAAGACTTGTACTATAAGTTCATGCCTACCTGCAAGTCTGTTTAAAGTGAATCTGGTCTGTACAATGAGAATGTACTCTCTTACCTAAAAATAGCATCCTCCAAGAATGTACTCTTTTACCTTTTCTTGCTTGGTCCTTGGTTTTGCCTCAGGCCTGTTGATCATTTGAACCATATATTTAATTGTAATAGTACAAAGACAACATATCAAATGCTGAAACTGAGATATCATATTGATTTTTGTAAAATATATTCGTATTTTAAATTTGACACCAGCAACACATTTCAGAAATTGGGACAGGAGCAACAAAAGACTGGTAAAGTTGTGTAATCATAAAAATAACACCTGGTGGAACATCTCACAAATAATGAGGTTAATTGGCAACAGGTCAGTAACATAACTGAATATAAAAAGAGCATCCCAGAGAGGTGGAGTCTTTCAGAAGTAAAGATGGGGAGGTTTACCACTCTGTGAAAGACTGCACAGGCAAATAGCAACAGTTGAAGAATAATGTTTCTCAGCGTACAATAGCAAAGAACTTGTACATAATGTCATTAAAAGATTCAGAGAATCCAGAGAAATGTTTGTATACAAGGAACAAGGCTGAAAACCAATATTAGCTGGCTGTGATTTTCAGGCCCTCAGGCAGCACTGCATTAAAAACAGACAGGATTCTGTAGTGGAAATCACTGCATGGGCTCAGGAACACTGAAAATCACTGTCTGTGAACACAGTTAATCGCTGCATGTGCAAATGCAAGTTAAAACTCTACCATACAAAGAAGAAACCATATATAAACAGGATCCAGAAACATTGCTACCTTCTCTGGGCCCAAGCTCATTTAAGATGGACTAAAGGGAAGTGGAAACATGTTCTGTGGTCTGACAACTCCAAATTGAAATTCTTTATGGAAATCATGGACATGGCATCCTCCAGGCTAAAGAGGAGAGGGACCAGCCTGCTATCAGTGCACAGTTCACAAGCCAGCATCTGTGACGCAAGAAAATGCCAAACCACATTCTCATGTATTACAAGAGAGCCCAGGTGTTAAACTAGCCAGCCTGCAGTCCAGACCTGTTACCCACTGAAAACATTTGGCACATTTATCACAAATGAAAAATAGGACAAAGGAGATCCTGAACTGTTGAGCAGCAGAAATCCAATATCAAACAAGAATGGGAAAACATTCAAAACTATAGCAATTGGTCTCCTCAGTTCCCAAACGCTTGCGGAGTGTTGTTAAAAGAAGAGGTGATGAAACACAGTAGTAAACATGCCCCCGTCCCAACTTTTTTTAAAAGTGTTGCTGGCATAAAATTCAAAATGGGCATATATTTTCAAAAAAACAATATATTTCTCAGTTTCAACATTTGATATGTTGTCTTTGTAGTATTTTCAATTAAATATATTTGCACACCATTGCATTGTTTTTATTCACATTTTACTCAGCGTCCCAACTTTTTTGGAAATGGGGTTGTGTTTCAATCTACACTGGATTAGTTACTATTGAATAAAAATAATTAATAACAATAACAATTGATTTTTTTGTCCCTGAGGTCCAGTTCTTACATTTTTTGGGTGGGTTTATTTATCAAAATAAGCCATAATTTCATTAAACCCATAATCCATAAAACCTCTCCTTGTAAACTGGTTGTTTTTGTTGCTGTGCCTTTAAGACTGATATATCTAAATTACCTCAGTTCTGGCTGGACATAGTGAATCTGGTCAGTGTACTTACCTATAAGAGTTCCATGGTAATGTACTCTTTTACCTTTGCTTGGTCCTCAGTTTTGTTTCAGGGCTGTTGAGATAATGGTATTGGTCTATGTGTAGGAAAGACAGGCTTGGCGGTGAGCTTGGCGACACAATATGGCGTTGCGTGTCTGAGTATAGATGGTATAGTACAAGAAGCCATGTCATCTGGAGCCAGCACAGCAGCCATGCAGGCAAGAGAACTGTGTGGTGTGGCTGTAATGGAGCCCACTCAGGGGACACCAGAGGAAACAGGTGAGGCCTACAGTATATAATTATGAATTAAATAATAATGAATTGTATTTATTAAGCACACTTTCATAATTGCATCACCTCAGGACTCTCCACACAAAACATAAAACACTGAAAATGAGCAAATAAAATAAATAAATAAATAAACAAACAGAGGAAAATACCAATCAATAAAAATCAATAAAATATGTTATTTGACCAGGGGTGCTCAAACTTTTGCATATGACTGTACATATAAACAGTATAGACCTCAAAATGTGATTGACTGAGAGGCATTCTAAGAGTACTCTCTCCCAGATTGGCACTGCATTTTAAAATCTTTCCGAAAAGTATTGCTCCACCTTATCCATCTGTAACCTAGCAACGACCACCAGCTATTTTAGACCATATAGACCATTTAATGGAGCTATCACAGAATGTAAAAAAACTTCTTATCATAGTAATTGCAGAAACATGAGGTCATGCTGATGCATAACATCTCTTTGACATTAAGTTGGCTAAATGGTGAACATGAGATGTTAGCAATGAGCCATAGACAGTGTCTCATGGTATAATACTTTATCTTATCTGCTACTGCAAAATTATAGGAGATATGAATGTTCTATGTGTATGTGTGTGTTTGTGTGTGTGTGTGTGTGTGTGTGTGTTTTCAGCCCCAACTGTGCCAGATGTAATGGGTGCTGCAGTTCAGGCTGTGGGGGTGCTCAGTGTTGAGGCTGTGGCCAGACACACTGCAGAGGGCAGTCAGGCCGGTGACCCCAAAGCCCCCGCATCCACTGTCTCGACCCACAACAAGACCAGCACCACAGGACTAAAGAGGAATAATGGCTCCAGTCTCACTGCTGTTGCCATGGTATCTATCCTCTAACCCCCAAACCTCAGAAAAAGGACAGTTCAGTACATAATATGCACTATTCCATGACCTCTCATGAGTTGGGTTGATGTCTATAGCTTACCAAATGTTTATATGGGTTTCTATCTTGTGTCCGTTTACTTCTGCTTTCAAATAATAGAAAGCTCAGCTGATACTGTGAATTAAAAGAGCCAATCAAATATAATACTGTGCCAAAGTCTAAGACCACCCTTCATTTGGTCATGAAGGAAAAATGTTATTAATATTTCTGAGAAGATTAGATTGAAGATAAATTGAAAGGCACATGGAAGGGGAAAGTTGAGGGAAAATGAGTAGAAAAGAATAAAGTTTACAAAACCGGTCTTCATTATGAAAACTGGTCTTCATAAAATGATTAAAATATCCAAAGAAAATATGACTCCTAACAACCATCTGAGACCACCAAAACTGTCACTATCAGATAAACAGCACCTAAAATTTCATCTTTGAGAGACAGGAGAAAATCAAGCTCCACTCTTGCTTCAGCTGTTTCTTCAAGACAACTCAATACTTTGGGTCTGAAAGTATGAAGCCATTACTTAAAAAAGGGAATAGACTTGATATAAAATTTGAAAATCGAACAAAGAAACTGCTGGTGAGCTCAGAACAGTGGACTGACCACCCCAGAGTCTCAATTCAACAAGGAGAAAATGCATCCACCTTCTAAGACTGAATTTTGAAGGTGTGGAAAAGTATTAGTGCAGATGTCTTTGAAAAACTGAAGGCAAGTCTTGTGAAAAAATGGTAATATGGTAAGTGGTAATAAAGGCAAAAGATGGACACACTAAGTAATGAAATCTATCTTAATTTTTTTTAAATATTGAGGGTTTTGTGTACTTCTCTGCTTAATATATTGTTTTTCTGATGCTAACAAAAATGAATAAATTCATGCTTAATGGCTGTTTTGACTGGAAATTGCATAAATGAAGGGGGTCTCTGACATTTCCACAGTTATATATTTGAGTAAACTGTATGAGTAATTGCATTTCATTGGCTTGTGTCCAGGCTGGTCAGGTTCAGAGGCTTCCAAGTGAGAGTGCAAGTCAGATGGGTGAGCTGGGAGCTGTGAGCAGCGTATTACCTGATGATCTGCTGATAGAGATCCTGTCAGAGAGACTACAGGTAACTAGCCCAAATCCCCGCCACAGATGACTGCATTATTTAGCATACTTTGAGGTTGACATCTTCCAGTCATCAGTTCCTTTTTTAACTGTACAGCTGACACTGTCGTTTGTGACGAACAAAATGCTTACTTACTTGATGTATGCTAATTATGCATTCACTGTTGTAGCTTAGCGACTGTCACCGTGGTGTTGTGATTGACGGTTTGGAGACGCTGTATTGCTGCTCTCCAAGCTCTGTGCTCCAGATAGTCCTCAAAGCCTTCAACAACCGCAGGCACATCTACGTGATCAACCTCAACAACAGCTACTACGCTTTCAAAGCCAGAGAAAGAGAGCAGGCGGAGGCAGCCGGTGAGGAGGGGGAGTATGGAGAACATGAAAAAATGGAGGGATGGAGATGAAAGAGAAAGACAGGGAGGTTGGAGAATCAGACAGATAATCAGAAAGATATTGTGCAAAGTGAAAGACAAAATGAGAATATTACTGTATACACTCCATATCACACTGGCAGTGTTATTGTTATGGCCCTACAGATGCAGATGTAGTGTAGAGTGATGAATGGATGAATAAATAAATAAGTAATAAGTGCTGTTAACAGTAAAAACTGTGTGTATATGTGGCCAGAGGCCTTGCAAAGGGAGCAAATGGAGAGAGAACAGCTCCGACAGCAGGAGATGGATGAGGAAGAGTATGATGAACTGCCTGAGGAAGAAAAAGAACGCATAAACCGCCAACACCTGGAGGTGCTGAGGGAGAACAAACGCAGGTAACTCACTGCTCTATGGCAGTTTCAGTTTGCTTACAGCAAAAAAAATAACTTTCTGTCCAATAAAAGAAGAAAAGTTAGTGAACCCTGTATATCTGAAGAGTTATGTCGGTAATTAGACTTTATGTTTTTAGAAGTTTCATTGTTTTGACCAATATGTCTAAGTCTAAGTAACACTAAAAATGAACAGTACGTTCACTGGTGAATTGGCATGGTGTTAAGTTTCTTAGAGGATCTTGGAAACTGTTTCTTGTTTTCCAGCTTTTTGAAGTACTGTAAGCCAAGATAAATTATTCGTTGAACTAATGGGGCCAATGTCGAGGGGCCTCTGACAACCAGGATAGACAGATACCAGCCGAATAGTGGCCGATGACTCCTTTAACATATATGGAACGTTATGTGTCACTGAGGAGGCTTTTGTAGAGATTTGTCCAGGAGCTAAAGCTTTGATTGGGCCTGAAATTCTGGCCCAAACCCAAATATAGCCTGGTGACTTTCTATCCAAGCACCTCAAACTTTTTGAGTAATATGCTTGTCTCACGCCATGCAGAGCTGATATTATAAGATGTTCACTTTCACCTGTTAAATCCTTAAGTTCTCGTTCTTTACATAGCACATTACATATATTAAACATACAGCAAACTAAATATAATTATCCTTTAGGCTGCACTTAACTGTATTCCCCAGAATCACACATCTATTTTCTCATGAGTGTGGGCCTTGGGGACCTCGATGCAACGACACAAGTGGTTTCAGCATGCCAGATTAAAAAATGTTAAAAAGTAATTAAAGGTAGAGTGGAAGAACAAACTATGGAGTAAAATCTGTTAAAAGTGGGAGGCGAGCAATAAGCCGAACATAAAATTTGAACCCAGTTCGATCCCGACATGTTTGTGAAATGACTTCTTAACCTGATCAAATCCAACGTGTGACTCTACCAGGAGCCATCCTTGGCTATAAGTGAGAAGTAATAGGCTGCAGCTAAAAATTTAATTATGGAATTGCTATAGGGAGCAGGAGAGGCTACAGCGGGAGCAGGAGGAGAAGAAGCAGCAGGAGGAGTTGAAGAGGCTGCAAGAGGAGGAGGAGATGAGGAAGAAGAACAAGAAAGGAAAAAAAGAGACCTCTAAAGAAGATGTCTTAGGAAAGAGAAGCCAGCTTGGAGTGAAACAGGTTAGAGCTGCAGCTGTCAAGAAACATACCTGAGATAAGACTGCAAAGTAGCTGAACGTTCTCCGTTCATTAAGTCTGCTCTCTCTACAGTCAGCTTTTGTGTTGCGCTCTGAATCCAAACTGGACGAGTACTCTAGGGAGGAGAGACAGATGTCATACATGGATGGCAAAGATACCACAGACTCACCTCTGGAGAGTGGCAGAGATCTTGATGAGGGAGGCAAGAAGAAGAAAGCCAAAGACTGCAAGCTAGCTGGCCACGAAGATTCTCCGCTGCCACCAGACGATTTGGAGACAGAGCTGGTCAGTCAACGCTAGGTCCATGCTGAATCTTTATTTTCCATGCTTTATTTTAGAAGATCATGTGAGAACTTTTTGTACCAACTAGATAATACCAAGCCTAGCCTCTTTCTTGTCTTTAATAACAATTGTTGATAATGTAGTAACATTGACCACACTTAGCTCACAAACAACCATAGTTGTTTTTGCTTATTTCAGACACTGTATCATAGCAAATGCTTAGTTGTTTCTAGGTGGAGTAGCCTGGCAATGAATCATCAGGATTCATCATCTCAAACTGATCCTCAGGGTCCCCCAGACAGCCTGAATTCAACTCACAGCACATAGGGATAGAGGACAAATGGGGACCATTTGGTAACCAAATACAGCACTGTGCAAAAGTCAGACACCTTACATGTATTTAATTTCCGGTCTAAATGGCTATTAAGTACAAGTTATTCCTTTTTCCTGAGATATTACATTAGAGATTGAAGGGGTCCCAGAGGACTGGTTTGAGAACCTCTGATTCAGAGTTCCTAAGCCTTGTAATATTTAGATTTATAGAGCTATTATAGTAAATTTGCTCTTCTGTTTGGAATTAACAACATAATTACATAATTAATTACATGGTTATGTAATGAATTGCAATTACATTCATTTGTATTTTATATAAACAGATTCTGTTCTGCAGTTTTTTTTTATAGTTTATTTGTTTAGATGTGAGCATGACAAGAATTCAAAAGATATTTTTTCTCCACAACACAACTATTATAGTTAGTTTCTCTTCCACTTAAAAAACATAAGCATGTGGTAATGATTGAAAGGTTTTTTGCACAGAATTTCTCTGCTTATTTCAATAAGCTATTAGTAAGAAATTATCAAAAGAAGATGGTTTCATTGTGTATATATTGTGTAAATTTCCTCACTCTTGTAGTAAACCCCCTGCAGTAATTCCACCTCTGTCTGGTCTGATGTTAATAGGGCACTGAGGCCGACAGGCAACTGCTCTTTCGCTTCCGCCTCTATGAGCAAAGCCAAGCACAGATCCAGCATGTGCTGCAGTACTGGGACCGAGCCCAGGGCCTCCTGCTGCAGTCCCTCTTCTCTGAGGAGCAGCCTCAGGAGCCTGAGGAGGCCACTGAGCGTCAGGCACCCTCTGGAAAGAAGGCCAAGAAGGAGCGGGAGAAAGAGAAAGTGGAGCGAGAGCGGCAGGAAAAGGAGAAGCCAAAAGCCGAGCTCCTGACGCCACCGCCCAGCCAAACACACTTGGTGCTTGGTGACACAGAGGCTTTAGAGAGGGAACCGGTGCTGGAGGTCATTCCCCATATCTGCATCTCTGTCACTGAGAAGGAGCAGCAGAGTGAGGCCGAACTTCTCCAAAGCTTAAAGCTGCCATCCTTGGAGGAGGTAGTGCAAGATTGATTTAATGCTAATTTTTGTAGACATTTTAATATGAGCTTTCACCAAGTGAAGTGCCACTTAACACTTTCAAATTCTGACATTCTGATTACATCAATCCCCATAGTACAGTGTTCTTTGTGAGTGCATTCACAGCCATCAAAAACTATTGCTGAAAGTTGCCAATCTTGAGACGTCTTGATGTTTTCCCTGCTCATCAACATAGGTTTTGGATGGGTTGGGGCTTGGACCTAGTGGCCCACCAATCCCTCCTCCCATGCTGTTTTCAGTGGTCCCATATCCCAAAAGGAGATTGGGTCCCAGTCCCCAGCTTAGCTGCTTCAGTCTCTTGGTGCCCTCATCTCTGGAGGACATGGCTGAGGAGAAGAAGGAGGCAGAATTGGAGGTGGAGGCCCAGAGTCCCATTGTGTCCGTCAAGGTACAAACACAATGTTATGTTTCTTTAAAAAATGTCCATCTCTTTAAAAAGACCATTTTAGTGAATAAGTGAAATAACTGTTTGGTTATTTGCTTACCAGGATGAGGTTGCAAGTCCAACCAGAGGAAAAGGTAAAAAGGCTTTGGTAAAGGAAGAGCAACCCAAAGAAAGCACAAAAGAAAAAAGACGAACTCCAGCTAAGAAAGGAGGCAAGAGTGTAGAATCTCTTTCTACTCCACTCATCACAGTCACCCCTTTCCCTGAAACTGACCAGGCCAGATCTGTGGACAGCCAGTCAGAGCGTGGTCCAAGGTACAGGGTGTTTTAAAAACACACACACCCAACTACTATAGAGATCTGTGACTATTAGAGCTAGGCATTTAGATGGTCCAAAAATTTCGAAACTGTCAAAAACGAGACAAGAAAAACACTGCTTTGATAATGGTTATTATCAATTATCCACTAGCGTGGAATCCCACAGGGATTCATAGTATTATGTTAGTGTTAAGCTAACAGTGGTGCACATGACCCTTTTTGGCAGTTCTAGATTAAACACGGATATTTGATATGTTTTATTTGAAGCTTGTTACAGATATTAATATTTATTTTTCTTTGGATGACACAGTTTTACAGTGAAACCTGACATAGAGCTGCCACTGCTATTTTAAATTAACTGACAAAATTATTATAAAATGAAAAAAATGAATATTCCGCAATTGTGATGTATAGGACAAAACAGTCTATTTTTTGTCCTATACACGAATACATTATATAAGCTTTATGAATAAGGAAGAAGAGCGAACAAAATTGCATTTCACATGAATGCTGTCAAATGCTGCCATTTACTTTTAAAATTTATTGCTGTAATTTTATGATTTTTCTCTCAGCTTCTTATATTTTCACGTATAATTTTCCTGTGTTCCTGTGAAAAGACTTCTTTTTTTCACAGTGAAGACACATGCACACACTGACCTAAAGCCATAATTTCAAACACAAATACAACATCCAGAAAAGCTCAACAACCATTTTTCATCTTTGTTATTGGTTTGCTGCTTCTGTGGTGGATCACCAAAAAGGCTCACTCATTTCCGTTGGGTCGTGCCAGCGAGTGGAGAGGTGACCTTGAGGATTTGGTTCAACTCATCTGTTAAGGGAGAGTTTGATCAAGTGCTCAGCTTTGAGGTGATGGGAACCAAGCGCTGCTATCAACTCTACCTCAGAGGCATCTGCGCCTACCCATCTATCAGCAAAGACCATAAGTAAGTTGCAATTGCAAATAGAGAACAGGCAATAGGCTGGTGGCTGCAGCTCATATCAGGGACCTGTTGATTATGTTCATAATGTTTCTGCATGTGTATGTGTATTTGACAGGACAGTGTTTGCTCACTGTAAGAAGGTCTTGCAACCTGAGAATGGCTTGCAGAAGGCATACATCATCCGCTCAGGCCTATATGACTTTGGCCCACTGCTTTGTGGGAAGACCAGAGACAGGTACAGGGGCTGCCTCATTGTTCACACGAACAGGCTGTTTAAATCAGCATTATGCCACATCTGATTGTTTTTCTGTTCATTAATTAATTGATTGTTTGCAGAATTCTGGGAAAGCCCCACCTACCATAATTATTGTTGCTATGTCTGTCAACCTTCCAGTACAGGCTACCTGGTAACATCCATAGCTTTTAAAAATATTTTTTTTTCTTTTAAAAATAAGTTGGATTTACGAGATGTTTAGTACATATATATGCCACAATACTGACAAAATATAAATATAAACAAAAAAAGGACTCTGGAAATCATGTTTACATTGATCAGATCGGTGAAATAGTCTAGATACTCAATGTTAAAAGGGTAGGTTTTCATGTCTAATGAGGAGTGACAGAAGCTGCCCCTTCAGATGAGCTAATGCTATAGCTAGCCCTGTAGCTAGTCAGAGCAATGTTAGATGTTGAGGAGATAATCAGTGCTCAAGAGGACTCATCTTTTACATAAGGTCTTTCAGCAAACTTTAATTAAACAATACAAATAATGTTGTGTATGAATGTCATGTGATATGATTGTCGTACAAATTCTCAGCAGCTAAACTGGGAAAAGTTAACTAGTTAGCTGACTGATCTTAATATTCCCTGTAACATTATTTATATTTAGATATAATATTAAAATTATTTTTAACGAATAAGATAAAGTTAGATAAAGTCATAAAGATGAAGTAAGATAAAGTTTAGCTTCCCTTAGAACCAGCATAAGTCTGCCTATTAATAGGTAATAACTGTGAGTGTGGTCTTCCACATTATCCAAAACTTTTTCACCTTCAGGAGTGTAATAAAAGCAACATAACCCTCTAGATGATCAGTTTAGTGTGTGCCTGGCATTATATGTTAATCAGTAACACCTTTCCACCATTTCTTTGCCTAATAATTCTGACTAATTTACTGCCAGCGATATTCTCACAGCGGGCTTGTTTTGAGGTGTTCTCTGGAAGTTTTTGGTGCAGGAAGGAGTGTTTAGAGATAGTTGTGATTGGCTGAGAGGCATGTAATTCATAATTTTGCAAACAATCTGTTGCCAAACCTCCCTGACAGTTTTCACTTCTAGAATTGGATAAGAAATGTTTATAGCTTATATAAAACTGTTCTGTTTTGTGACCAAACCAAGGCAGTTGTTGTGACAATGTTTGGAAACTTTTTGGCGGTAAAGTGCTTCAAAGTTTGTAAACAATCTATTATGAAAAAACTAACGTTACTTACTTTGCATAGATATAAAGAAAGGAAGTACCCAGAAAACACAGAGACACTAGTAATGCACAACAACTCCCCAGTGGAGGCAGAGGTTCATTTCTGCTTCCAGCATGACACTAAGGCCACCACGTACCTCCTGGACCCACCAAGCATGATCCTCAAGCCCAATGAGAAAAAAGTAGGTGTTACTGTTCTCGTACTGATGTACCATTCAAAACAAATCCATTTTTTGACTGTGTAGTGTTTCATGAAAGTCATAAGGTGTCAAATGATCTGAGTTAACCCCTACAGAGATAGACTTAATTCCAGTACTGTGGCAGTTCATGCAACACTAGATCTTGTTCCATGTGAAGTATATGTCTCTAAGACTGCTGTGGGTTTGCAGGAGCTCAGAGTATTGGCATACCCCACCACCCCAGGCCTCATAGAAGATAGTGTGGTGTGCTGCATTAAGGAGAATCCAGAACCAGCCATCTTCCGGTTTGTCTGCAGAGGAGTCTGGCCAGAGCTAGAGGTGGAGCGCAAACAACTCCACTTTGACAAGATTCTCCTTCACAGGTCTGCACCATTGCATTTCACTCATTTAGTTTATAATACATATTAGTGTTCATCTGAAGACAGGTTAGTTAATTCTGACAGCATTAGCTTTGACATTAGCATTTGTTGCTGCTGTAAACTTTTGTATTGTTTTGATTAAATGTTTAAATGTTTATTGTGAAACTTTGTTGATCTATATAATATTAACTATAATATTTACCCAGTATTACCACCTGTCAAATACATCTGTCTTATGCTAATGGTTTATCATCTTTTATAGCAAATGTGATTATGTTTATCAAGACTGTTTGTTATTCTGTTAGTGTGTAGTGAAGATCATGATTATTGTGTTGCTGATTTCCACGGGTGTGTTACTCCAGGAGGGACACACGGAGCCTGTGCCTGCGGAACCCCACCGCCCTGCCAGTGGCCTGGAGGCTGAGCGGCTTGGAGATTCTGGGTGATGAATTTAGTGTATCACAGGATCAGGGCATCGTCATGCCCCACTCCGAGTTCTCCCTTCTCATACACTTCCGAGCCAAGAAACCCATCATCCTAAAGAAAGCCATACGTCTAGAGGTAACATGACAGCCAATCGTTTAAACACCAGTGTAACTCACTAATAGTTGCATCTCCATGCATTGTAGTAATTGTATGTTTATATTATGTGGTTATGGTTCTGAATGAAGCATGCATTGAGGTTTGCTGTTAAACTACTTTTTGTCTAAGTGAGTGTGTGTGTGTGTGTGTGTGTATATGTGTGTGTGCTGTTCAGGTGTCAGATGTGGAGAATGTTCTTGGTATCGTCCACACAGAAAACATTCAGATCATGGCAGAAGCTTACGATGTAGCTCTGGGCATCACCTTTTCTAAAGGTACCTTCAGTCTTTCAGCCAGCAGCCCATAGGTGCATTATATCCATTGAACATTTTTATTTTATTTTGATAACAAATTTTAATTTGCAGGTGCAGATGGTGATCTGGACTTTGGAACAGTCAAAGTAGGAGAAGAAGTGAAGTTATTGGCTAATCTGAAAAACAAAGGCAAATATGAAATAGCCTACAGGTACGTTCACACTCATATTCATATTGTACATAGGCATCCAATAAACCTCTAAAGTCATGTCATTACACTTTAGTCAGTATTATGCTCATATTAGGAGCTCCAGGCCTAAAATGGTTTTTGCTATGACTGAAATGAATGCCTTTTTGGAAAATTGTCTTGCACCCTGTGGTAAATGAAAATGTTCCAAAGCCTATACATTTTGCCATACTGGCATTACGGTATACACTATACAATCTAACACTACTACTGACATTATAAGACTAGTGACCTCACCAAAATACCCACACAAACCAGCAAGCTTTGTAAAGTGTGGCAGTTACATGACATTAGCAGTGGTCTGAGTTTGAGTAGTTGGTGTTGGTGTATAATAGTGTTAAAGTTTCATAATAGACTTTCTTTTACAAGACATCATTTCAGTGTGCAGGAGTGTTAGTTTGCTTGTAGAATCTATGTAGCATTTTTCACGGTTTGACTGCTAAACGACCTCGTAATTCAGAGTATCTAGGGACACTCGGGAAAAATGTACACAAGTCAAATCATATCAGGTGTGGGGCATTTTTGTTTGCCACGGGGCAGCATACAATAGCAGCATTTTTTGAACATGCCATTTATTTTTGTCAGAGAAAAAACTTGCTTAGACCCAGATTTCCAAATATGGGCGTGATGTGACTACAGAATGTTGCGCGACTTCAGAGGTCTATGTACATACACAGGCAGTCCAGTATGCATTTCATCATGTATTATACATGTATTTAAGATGGTGATAGGTGCAACGTGGGATGATATTGCTGGAATTTCATGATTGCAGGTTCATGCTGGAGTCCACAGAGCTTGGAATTAATGATATCAACTCCATCTTTACTGTTACGCCCCAGAAAGGCTCATTGTACCCCAATGACCGGCCTACCCCCGTCCAGTTCATCTTTCGCCACAATAAGGAGGTGTCCATCAAAGAGCAGCCAATCCTACGCTGCCAGGTCAGGAGACCTTCCCTTCTTATGACATCTGACCAATCACTGTAGTGTGACATTTTCCCTACTGTAATTGGTTAATAATCTTTTGCTACAGGTTATTGAGCCGAATGTAGCAGAGGGTGGAGAAACCATAGCCATCATACCCATCAAAGTATCTGCACAGTGTCTTTTCTCCAAATACAGCATCACCCCTCCAAATGACATCAACTTTGGTGCTCTGGTCTATGGCTCTCGCAAGATGCGAACCCTCACTGTGGAGAACCAGTGTGACTTTGAGATCCGTTTCGCCATTTCCAGAACATGTAAAGATCTCCCAGTTCCCACAGTGAGAAGAGGGTATGAAGATTAGGCGTTACTCATCAAGACTTCTTTTTCTCTTTCTTTTGTGAGTCCTCTCTGACTGAAAGTCTTATCTCTTATAGTATGGGGAAGAAGCCATCAAGAGACAGCCACTCTGCAAAACCATCTACTGCTGTCAAACTACGGCGGTCTGACTCCTTCCAGAAAGAGGTTACTGTGCCCACCCAGGTAGAGGATAGTCTATCTGCCTATTTCAGTACTTTTTTTAACATGCTTTTGCTCCTCAGGGGAATCGACAGCACTATCGTAAGAGCCATTTTGTTACTTTATCAGCTCAAATGAAGTATGTCAGATGAGTCCTTGGAGGATCGAAGAATCGAGTGAATGCAAATGTCAACTTCCGCAGCAGAACTTGGCCAGAAATTATTATATGTCACAATTATTTGTTCCAGCCTCAAAAATTAGTGAACAGAGCTGTTTATGAGTAAGCTGTTTATGACTTAATATTTGAAAAATATACAATATATATTCAAATACTGTAATAAAATATTATAACAAAACTATATTTGTTATGTTCATAGAAGGTTTATGTTGCAAATTACTCCATCTGTGATACATGACTGCTGATTTAACTTCAGCATTTTACTCTGCTTGCTTGCTGGTTAGCAAGCTAGAGCCTGCACAGATAGCAAAAACAGAAAGAAAGACAATACACCATGGCTTTAGACCAAAGTTTATAACCAGACAAAGCAATTATTCACAAAATTTATATTTATATTTATTTCCCATGTCCAGCCTACACCGAAAAACTGTTGCTTTGAGTTTACTTGATTCAAATGTGGCATGTACATTGGTTTCACATTAATGAAATATATTACATCAACACATTTACCGTTGTTCACTTTACTTTTGGCAAGAATTTTGTTAATGTAATGTATTTTATTCATGTAGAACTGATCTCAATCAAGTAAAGTTCATCAATACCTATGAATCAAGCAAATTCAAAGCAACATTTGTTTCAGTGTAGGCAGATCAAATGATGAAAAACCTGTGATTAATCATTTTGTGTAGTAAATCACGATTAATTGCCTTTGTGTTATTTGCTCAAATTTGACCCTACATCAGAATGTATTTATTACTTTCAGTAATTCAGTAACATTATTTTCATCATGTGAACTCAGGGTGAACATGAAAATAAAGTGACTTATTCCATGTTCCCACTCGTCCTTAAATGTAGTCATCTTGGTCTCATGCTGCAATGTTACAGCTTGTTTTGAGAGGAAATGTAGATGCTTTTGTTAGTTCGCAGGGTGATGATTTATCTAGATAGTTTAGCTATTAGCAGATGAGTCACAAATAGCTTTTGCTTATTTTAAAAAATCCATGTGAACCAAACAGTACTTGATCTCTTTTATTGAAATTCTTGCAGACCCGTTTGACTATGGGGGTGTTCTCCTTATCGCCAAGTTTTGGCATCCTGTCCCCTGGTGGCCAGCAAGTGGTCACTGTGGACTGTGTTGCGGAGCAGGCTGGCTACTGGCAAGAGTGCCTAGTGGTGGACATCACTGACCGAGACCCTTCTGACAGCCCAGGAGGGATTCCTTACAGTCTGATAGCAGAAGTCTGCATGCCAGGTTTGTAGTGAATGGAAAATTATAGTGGCTTAGCCACATCTGTGCTAGCTCTAACTCATTGTCCTCTTTTGCTGATTCTGCATCATAGTACTCTGCTAATGTTCTATTGTGTAATATTCCTGCCTGATTCTGTGAGTATTTTTCAATTTTATAGTTTAACTAGGGAAACAAATATGCTACAATCCTTATTTGCTATTCTTTCGACTACATGCACAAAGCTACATGATGACATTCTCATTCAGAAATTCAGATTATGCTAATGAGTAAATGTCTGATGTCTTTGCTGTCTTTTCCATATAAAAAGTAATTTTGATCACTCTAATGATGTATATAATCAAGTGATTTTTTATCTTTACTTACATTCACATTATTCTTCACACTGTCTGTCTTTTGGCAGAAATAGCCTGTAAGGACATTGCTTCCATCTTTGAGGAGCACCGACTGTGTAAGAACAGTAACATGTTACACTGTGAGCAGTATCGGGACGCTATGGGCATCTATGTCCAAGATGAGAACAAGTTCATCTTCAACAATGTACTGGTAGGCCGGTCAGCCAAAGCCCGCTTCCGCCTCTCCAACCCTACTAAAGTGCCGTGTGATCTCAGTCTGCAGGTCAAAGCTGTTCTTAATAAGGTGTGTACATATGTGTTGTAACTACTGACATTGAGAAAATACTGCTTTAGTGATTTTGATCCTGTTAACTTAAGTTTCCTGACTCTTTCAGACATCTGTGCGCAGCTCTGAGGCATTTGAGCTGACCCCTACACGAATGACTATCCCTAGCTACTCATACGCCTTTGCTACAATTACCTTCTCTCCTCAGACCATGCAGACCTATTTTGCAGTGTTTGAAGCAGCTCTAGAGGGGGCAAGTGGGTAGGTGTCTGCATGATCTAATGCAGAGGATCTAACTACTGTGTGTAGGAGATTTTGACATTGAATTTTTTTTTCTTCTGAGTCTGAAATCTGAAATTTTTGCTCGTCTTTTTAAGTCTCCTCCCTGTAGGCAAGAGCAAAGTGCTGGTGTTTGATTTGGTGGGAGAAGGCAATTTGCCTTGTATCACTGTTGCGAAACCAGCCCAGAGGACTGGCCGAGGACAGCCGGTGCTGCAGTTCAAACGACTACTGATAGGCAGAGAACAGACCCTTCCTCTGGTCATCAAGAACATCAGCAATGTGTCTGCACAGGTAAGGTGAATGATTAAAAGGCTGACACTGGTTAGTAGGGCAGTTTTGTCATCTGGTTGAGATACTCACCAAGGTGATATCTGCCCTCATAACTCTTAACAGGTAACCATTGATCTACTTGACAAGATGGGAGCGTTTGCACTTCGGGCAGCTTCAAACACTACATGCAGCCGAATCTCCTCCTCACCCGTAACAAGTGACCCTGAAACAGGTGGGTTGCAAGGCTGTATTCACACAATTCAAAACTCACAGAATATTTGTATTCACATCTGTACAGACTGTGACAGGGGACTGGGAGGCTAAGTGAGGACTCTTGAAAAAAAAGGCTGAGCACGACTCAATGGTGGAGCTTTTAATAACATTTAATGAAAAGGTTTACTGAATAGCAGTGCTTTTAATGTCACAATATGAAAACAAAACATCGCATCTGAACCATCTGAAATACACTCTCTGGGCTCTCCAACCTGAGATATCTTTCTTCTCTCTGAGAGGGAGTCTAAGGTGGGATCCTTGCTCCTCCCCTGATTTGCTACAGCTGTCAAGTAATCAGGGTGAGGAGCACTTGGTACATGTCTATGGTTCCACGGTAGCTCTACCTCCAGGCCATCACAAAAGTAAAATATATATATATATATATATATATATATATATATATATATATATATATGGAGTGGGATTTATGAATATGAATACTACATGATGATGAATACCACCTTTTTAGAGATATAAAAATTTGGTTTCCATTACTAGTCATCTGTTATGTTTTTTCAAAAACTTATACACATAATTGTGACAAATGGATATGTAATTTTGGAATGAAAATTCATGTATTCTCAGCAGCCTCTTTATTGAACACCATTCAGATAATCAGTATGTTAATGATGTTCCTGATAAAAAAAATATATATATTTGAAACTCTTGGCAGTATGTATGTGCCAGTAAAAACACAATATAACATTAGAATAATTACAAGTAATTACGACTACAGTGAAACATAACAGGATTGGTTCATGTCACAGCCATCACATGGATTTGTTAAATTCCATCAGCAGAACAGATGTAAGTTAATGAGGAATTGATTACTCATTTAGGTATTTGATGGTAACTATACATACTAGACTCCCTCAAGGACACATTATATTGTTTATTTGTATTGGTTTTGAAAAAATAAATGCCTAAATAAATGGCTTTATCATTTTCTCAGATACCTAAGACATGCACAGTACTGTATATATTAATTCTGTGAGCTCTCCTTTACAGTGAGGCAGACGGCTCATTTAGCACACTTAACCCTAACAGCTGGGCAGCAGGCGGAGTTTGAGGTGGAATTCCGCCCTGTGATGGCTCAGAGTTTTGAGGCCAGCATGCGACTGGCGGTACAAGACAACCAATATGAAGAGACACTTGTACAGCTGCTGGGTGAGGGCTACCATGACATCATCTCTTTAGACAATATCAGCAGCAAGATTGCACAAGACCAGGACAGCACTGAAGGTGAGTGTGACCTGTTACTTAATTGTTTTCTTCATAGAAAGCCTGTTAGCCAAAAAAATGAACAACAAAAGAAAAGGTTGCTACTGAAGTCATTAGAAAATACAGTAGAACAGGGATGTCACAGCTGGGGAAGTAGTGAAACTGACTACTTTGGGTCCCCACGAAGAGAGGCCTCGGATTAAACAGTTTACTTTAGTTTCCAGTTTTAAACTCGAGAGAGGGGTGGGGGTCCAGAGAGACTTTTGTCCAGGACTCAGAAATATGTAGAATGCCTTTATCCTCTTTATCCCCATCATTGCTCTCGTTTTTCCTATCAAGCACCACCCACAGCCTGGTCTGACCTCCTGCACTTTGGAGACTGCCACGTAGGCCGCCTTTACCATGAGACTTTCACCATGAGCAACCACAACAATGTGGAAGTGCTGCGCTTCGAGTGGCCTCCTGATGGCCCGCAGCTGCGCTTCTCCCCCCAGACGGGCCACCTCCATGCTGGCTGCACCAAGGAGATTACAGTGAGCTTCTGTTCAGAGCAGCCTATGGTGCTGAGAGAACAGGTTGTGAAGTGTAAACTCTGCCGGATAACCTTCCAGCAGCCTGTAGACCAAGTGCCAGATTGGGATGACCTCCGCCGAACCATAAAGTGGGTGGATGTGGGCAAGCAGGCCTTATCCCAGCAGCCAGCTAAGAAGAAGGTGAGGGGATGAGCATGAGAGTGATGACTATTCTGAGTCTTGGCTCATCAAATATCAGTGCTAGTTAGTGATTTTTATTTACTGAAAAGATAACACATGAAATCTAATACCATTAATTTAATTTGTTCTTGAGTAAACCAAATGTTTTTGTGTAACATCGAATCAAATTTACTATCAGCTAATGTGTAATCTTCATCTGTTTGAGAAGTATAGTGAGAGCTGGTTATAGGGCCTTATTTATCAGAGTGTGTATAAAACGTGTTCTAAATTGGTACGTAAGAACTGTCAGTGAGCAGTAGAAAATTGGCAGTTATCAAACATGCACATGTAGGACAAAATGGTACACATTCTGCACTAGGCCTGCTAACGGCACATTTACATAAAGAAATGCCTGGAAATGGCATATATACATGGTACAACTTTCCTTTAAAATGTGCTGGTAACCTAAAGTAAAATATGGAACATGTGAACAATTGAATTAACTTTAACAAGTAAAATTTAGTTCTTATATATAAAAGTACTTCTTTCATGTAAGAATTACATTTGAACATGTAACAATTAAATTTCCACTACTAGGAATCCAATAAGAATATAATTATTTAATAAACACACTGAATTTCTGATATCAACAAAGTGAAATAATTTAAAAGCAAAAACACCTTGTCATTAAAACACTCTAATTAAAACACATTTTTCAAGCTTCAAGAAAGGTCAACCACCCCTGCATCTTCACAATCATGAGATCCTGATTTTACTTTATAATTATGAACCTAAATCAGCAGTCCCATTATACGAGCACCATATACTGTGCGTCTCAACGCGTGTAGACACGGTTTACCCTGCACTTGCGCATGTTTGATGAATGAGTCTTCAAGTGTTAAACTTCTCAGTGCATTAACCTTTAGGCTTCCGCAACATTAATAACCTTCATGTGTTGTATAATTTACTTCAGAGCTATCCAAAATAAGAACGTGGCTATATCCAAAAATTATAACATACATTATCCTAGTATGTCTCTCACTTAATCAGACTATTGTATAGCCAAAAAATGCAGGGAGACCATCAGCAGTTGAATCTCCTGTTGCAGAGAAAGTGAAATGGTTGTTGTGTTGTGTGATTAGGTGGTAGAGACTGATCCAGAGCCTGCCCACTTGGTGGTGGAGAACTCCTCTAGAGAGCTAGAACTGAGGATCAGTGCCACATGTGATTACGCCACGCTTGAGTGTCATGCTGAATCCATCCACTTCACGGACACTATGCTGTACCAGACCAGAGTCTTCCAGTATGTATGATGATTAAAATTCTATTTTAGTAGTCCTGTAAAAGAATACCCAAACAAAATAATTATTTGACTAACAATCACTAATTGAAAACTAATGAGAATTCTATGGATTTAATTCATTAAGTGGCCCTTGCTTATTATCATTCTTCATTAGTAATGTTATTACTGTTGGGTATCCCCTTAATACACTTCAATGTGAATAAATTAATATAATGAATTCAGGATGCAGATGGCCAACAAAGGCACAGTGGAACTGAAGTACTCCTGGCAGGTTATGATGGAGACCTCTGGGAAGACCATGTGCTTTAATCATGGAGGTAACCTTTCAGTGTGCAGTAGTACAGAAATCAATCCGTGTTTGACTGAGAGCTAAATTCAGTGTTTCTGTTCTTCATACGCCATATGCCTCTCATACTCATAATGCCTTGACATCCATAGAACTTGACATCTATGTTAAAATATATACAGCCCCCTCCTCAATTATTGGCACCTCTGGTAATTATAACTAAAAAGAGTTATAAGAAATTCACCTTTTGGTGTATTAGCTTAATGTCACATTGAAAAATTGAGAAAAATCCAGCCTTTAATTGAAGCAAATGTATTCTGAGAAAAAAAATCTCTCACCGAGAAATTTTTAACAAAACCACATGTGCCAAAATTATTGGCACCCCTGCATTTAATATTTTGTACAATCTCCCTTTGCCAATAAAACAGCACTCAGTCTTCTCCTATATCTCATAAGGCTATAGAATAAAGAGCAGGTAATTTGAGACCATTCCTCTCCAGGATCCTTGGTCCTCTCTCATGTGCACTCTCCTCTTTAGCTCACCCCACAGATTTTTCTATGGGGTTTAGATCAGGGGACTGTGATGGCCATGGCAGAATTGATTTTGTCAATTGATGTTTTGGATCATCGTCCTGCATAAAAATCCAGTGACAACCCATGTTTAGTTTCTTGTGAGAGGAAGACAGATTTTGATTTAAAATATCCTGGTATTTACTGCCCATGACGCCAGGTACCTTAACAAGGTTCCCAGGGCCTTTGGAGGAAAAACAGCCCCACAACATCACTGATCTGCTACCATACTTAACAGTGAGCATCAGGTTCTTTTCAGTGTAGTCATCCTTCTTTTTCACGCCAAACCCACCTTGAGTCTTTGTTGCCAAAAAGCTCAATTTTCATTTCATCCGACCTTAGAAAGTCCCAGTAGAGTTTGGCAAACTCCAGGCACTTACGTTTGTGGTTGGATGACAGGAAACGCTTTTTCCTGGCATGCCTCCCGAATAATCTGTTGGTGGCAAGTTTGTCACAGTTCCTGTTAATTGGAACATTTTAATTATTGCCCTAAGTGTAGATATGGGTATATAGGCAAGTAGCCATTTTTACAGCCATTCCCTGACTTACTTTCCTTTATGTGTTTTCTGTTTTTCCCATTTGGTGAATGACTAAGGGATATACCTCAGTGAAACAGGAAGTCATGGATCACTGCTTGAAAGTTCCTAGGCACTCTGATCAACTTAAAAAAGATAAAATATTATTGGAAAAAAAGGTAGATTTTGTAAGAATTTGAGGGGTGCCAATAGTTGTTACACATGTAGTTTGTAACAAATAAGTATTTCGGGATAAGGGATTTCTTTTCTCAGAATAAATTTACTTCAAGGTAGGATTTTTTTGTAGTGTGTTGTTAAGCTAATACACCAAAAGACAAATTTCTTATAACCCTTTTTACTCATCTTTACCAGGGGTGCAATAGTACTGGAGGGGGCTGTGTATCATTTGATCACAGTCACATTAATGAAGTAATCTTGTTAGAATTTAAGTTTGTTTGATTTTCTATGTACAGACATGACCCCTCGCTCTGCTCAGGGCAGTCGGACAGGTCTGCGGCCAGCCAGCTCTCTGGCAAGCGTGTCTTCTCTTCTGCTGGGAGACCCAGAGCTACCCCCCTTCAGTGTGGACCCTAGCATGGGGCTCATCCATCCTGGAGCCAGCCAGACCTTCCGCATTCGCTTCTCTCCCCTGGAAGTGGCTGAGTATGAGGCCAGGCTGCTCTGCAGGTTTGTCTTTTGATGCTGCTCTTACCAAAACATCTTTTCCCAATGACCTGTCTGCTTACAGAATATACAAAAATAATGTCCTTTTAAAGAATTAGGAAATACTTTCTGTGGCCTATTTAGATGCACTTCTTTTATAACAGGTTACTACCTAGACTAAAACTCTGTACTTCATCCAACAATGACTACACTGCTAGTAATAAATTGAAGTTAGCACAGGCTTCTTGGCATTATGTAAGATCATGCTAGTCAGTCCCTATTAGCCTAATTCGGTTGCAATAGTACAGTTTCTAGTACTGGTAGGGCCTGTGATATCACCTTCTATATGTAACCATGCAAATTGATTTGTGTTGCTAGCATCCCCAATTTGAAGGACAAGCAAGGTCCTGTGATTGCCGTGAGCGGCCGCAGCTTGCTGCCTTATTGCCATTTCCACCTGGATAACTCGGATTACCTCAGTGGCAACCGACGCAGCCCTGAACTCTGTGACCCCCATGGAGCCCCACCCATGGCCACCCTGGATCCCAACACTAAAGTCATACAGTTTACATCCGTAGGGGTTGGCACAGTTATCTGCAGGTGAGAAATCATTCATATCAGTTATATAATCTTTTGCTTAGTGGTAGCAACTGTGGGCTTAATTCTCATGCTTCATTTTCACCTCAGGGAGTTCAGTATTGTGAATCCCACCAACAAGCCATACTCATTTTTATGGAGATGTGAAGATACAGAAGCTAAACCCTTTACCTGCCTCACACCAAAGAACACCATTCAGCCTGGCAAGAAGGTGGAGGTAGGATGTATAACAATGAAACATCAAGTATTAGGACAGTGAAGTAAGTTTGGGTATTTTTAGATGTGAAACCCCTCATGGACCTGGCTTGTGACTTATTTGCTCACACACGTTTAGCATGCAAAATTCTCCACAAGGGGGCACAATGGTTTTTGATGCTTCATAAGAGCAGTGCTTTGCAGCAATCACACCGATGTTGCATATTTATGAAGTGTGTGTTGCAGATGCAGATCAAAAGATGAACATAAGGCTAAAGTACAGAGTATCAGTATTCCTGCACAGTGTTTTTCATACAGCTTTAATCTTCTCAGAACAGTGTTATATGGTGGGTTAATCTCCACCTTCAACTGAGCCTAAGTATTGGCACAAATGGATGACAGGTGTTTCTAATCACATGTGATTGATGGTCTTTTCATTGCACACCTATAAATTAAAGAGTTGTGCATGGTGCAGGATTGCTTGTAGCCATTGGAGTTGGGTTTTACCTTTTGACTCAAAACGCATAAACCAAGAAGAAAAGTAAAGAAATGCCTATGATGGAAAAGCAAGCCATTTGGAAGAGGCGATTAAAAGTTTTGCCGCACAGCTGGGCACTGCAGAACCATCAGTGTAAGATTATTTGAAAAAGAAAGACTGCAGGAGGAATAAGCGAACAGTGACAACCAGATCATTTAAGGAAGAGAGCATCAACTGATGACAGAAAAAAAAAACATTCCAAAATAACAGCCAAAGAAATTGCAGACAATCTGCAAAGAGTGGGGGGGACAGAATTGCCATTCACAGATGATTTTGAGAAGATATCACAGAAGATATCACACACTGGCTCAGTGGTGTCTTGGACATGTATGGCCTCTCTGGAACTGGTTCACAGGTTTTTGATAATATAAGTGAGCAAAGTGAGCTCTGAAGTATTATGCGACGTCTTGTGTTTACTCATGCTAAAAATGCCTGTAGACTGGATAGAAATTCATAATGCAGCAATCTAAATTATCATCAAAATCAATGAAGTCAGAAGACCCCCAAAACCAGAAACAGCTGGGAGGACTCTGGGACTCTAACCCACTGGGGATGTCAGTGAGTTAGAGTCCTACATGTTGCATGCTACCAAATAGTCATTCAACTTATTTTTTCACACATGTATGTAGATACATTTATTTGCGCTAACCAATTAAAATTCCAACATAACAGCCTGTTTCATTCTAAGGGATAAGAGAGGCTGGAAATGGTCATGTAAATTGAATTGTCACTGTTTTTGGCACATAAAACCACACAAACGCTATAAGTGGATCTGAGGGGAAAAAATAAAATCCAAGAAAAATATTGGAAATAAGCCTTTAATGTTTCTCATTGTATTTTAGCTAGCTATGTATTGTATTCAGTTAAACACATCTGTCTTGAATCTATTCAAGCTATCCTATTAATACTGGATTTCACAATAATGATCTTTCTTAATACTTTCCTCCAGGTTTCATTTAAATTCCAGGCCAAGGAGCTGGATCTGGTGGAGTCCTTCTGGACCTTCTTAATCCCAGAGCATAAGCTGTCTGTGCCCTTTCTGCTAGTGGGCACTGCTAACGAACCAGTTGTGTACATTGATCATGCTCACCTTAATCTGGGCAGCCTTTTTATCGGTGAGATACCAATTAAGTGTCAAACTTGGTGTGAGAGTTGATAAGTAGAAAACACAGAAAAAGAAGTTAGATCCTAAAGATTTGTGGTATTGAAGAAGAGTATACAAATACAACCACATGGCTAAAAAGATCTTTCCAATTAGCATAACAGCAATACTAGGCAGCTCTGCGTAAGATTAGAATGACAGAAAGTCATTGTTAAGCGTGTGCGTGTGTGCATGCAGGTCATGAGACCCGTAAAACAGTGTATGTGGTGAATAGAGAAGACCGACCCTTTAGCTTCTCCATTGAGGAGGCTTCTCGCCACTCAGAGGCCTTCAGAGACAGCCTGCTGCTGGAGCCCATGCAAGGGACAATAGCTCCTAAAGACAAGTGAGTTGCTGAAACACTAAAGTCTGACCTAAAGTAATGCAGGAGAAGCCACAGATCTGTCACTAATAGTTTAATTTTGATGAAAACAATGTATTAAATACATATGTATGTGTTTGTCTGGCAGGCTTCCCCTGGTCATAACCTTCGTGCCCATGCAAGAAGGACCCGTGGTGTTTAATCTGCTCATAGTGGTCAGAGGGAAGGTCCAGCCACTCACCTTGAATGTGAAGGCAGAGTGCTATAGCATGAACACCTGTGTTCAGTATGAGAGTCCAGAGGGAGCCTTCACTGAGCTTTCACCTACTGACGTTCATCTTGTGGACTTTAAAGTGGTGAGCTATGGAAGATAGAGGTCTCTGTGAGGCTAATCTGAAGAAAGTCCATAGTGGTTGACGTGTTGAAACCAACAAGCAATATGGAAACTTGAGGGAAAAAAAAATAATAATTTCCCCAGCCTGTAAACTGATCTGAGCCTGCACTGCACACATTGTTGTTTAAAGTCCATTTTTTACTGTCTTTAATCAGTTTGTCTTGGCACGCAGTTTGCTTGATTTCCATTTAGATGCTTTGAAGAAGCCATCTGTTGTGGAAAGCTTTTAGCCTCTGTTTCATTTGTTCCTTTTGGACAGGTGGAGCTAAGTGATAAGTCCACCTGTGCCTTTGTGGTGTCCAACCCTGGAAAGTTCATCCTGGACATGCAATATGAGCTAACAGGGCCCGCAGAACTGCAGCGTCACCTGCAGGTGGAGCCGCGAACAGCTGTGGTGCCTGTGGGAGGACATAATCGCTGCAACCTCAGCTTCTTTCCCCTGCAGAAATGCACTCTCAAAGACATGGGCTTCTCAATCAAGGTGGTTGCCTAGCTCAGTGTCTCTTTTTCTCTCCTTCTCTCCCACTCCCACTTTGTCTTTCTCTTTTTCTTACTTTCAGTTTGGTTTCTTTTACATCTCTCTTTTATGTCTTTTTTTTCACATTCTCTATGCTGTATCTTCTGATCATTTTTTTGCTTTTCCTCTGTAGGTAAAGAATGGCCCAGTTTTTCATTGTTCTTTGCTGGGTTCAGCCATTGCCCCAGGCCTGGAGTTTTCTTTCCTCAAGTACAACTTTGGAACAAATTTCATCTACTCTGCTGGCATGGTACCTGCAACACAGACACTGCTCATCAGGAATAAAGGGGAGAGAGGAATCAGGTAGAGAATTTGAAGATCTGGTTTAAGGTACAATTTGTACTCATTATTGGCCATTTTTTGTGGCAGTGTTCATATTTTTAATGACATATTTATTCTTCATTTTTCACAGCGTGGACTGCTTATACTCTTCCACCCCTGTTCTGGAAGTGAGCTTCACTCCTGAGGTGCTACCCCCAGGTGGTTGCATGGAGGTGCTTTTCACATTCTACCCCAGAGAAACTGTGCGCTACCACGAGAAGGTGGTCTTTGAAATCAACGAGTGTGCCAAACAGATAGTGGAAATCCTGGGGCAAGGAATTGAGATGAAGGTGAGGAATCTTTGATGCACTGTGAAAGGCCTTCATGTCATCCTGCATCTTTTATCTGGACTGAATGAACTTCATGGCCTTTTGCACAGTACAGTCTGATCTGCTTGTAAAAGGTTGCATTCATAGACGCTCTTGAAGGATCAACTCTCAGACTCTATGGTTTGTGTCTGTCTTTCTTAGATTGATGTTGAAGATCCAAAACACAAGGTTGTGAAGCTGGGAGCCCTGCAGGTGGGCCAAAAGAGCAGGAAACTAATCCCTTTGATCAACAACAGTCACTCGTCGCTGACCTTCTCTCTCCTGTTCACACCCTCGGCACACGCTCTGTTGGACTCTAGGGTAGGACACGTAAACACATACATGCACACATACATTCCTTCTTTGCTATGTGTGACGTCCACCATCACTATAAGTGCATTCCCACCTATAGTTATCCTATTCTGACCGAGAACTACACAGTTCCTGAATAAACCCCTGTTGCACTGCACAAACTGTGTGGCAGTTATGTAATTTTAGCACAAAGCAAAAGTACAGAAAAATAACAAATATGGAAGAGGTAAAGACTGCACTGTAAGGAATTTCACTGTAAAATTACAGTAAATTACTGGCTACTACTTGCATTACTTTTTTGTGCAACAAATTGTCTTGTATTTTCACAGAACTGTAAAACTAGTGCAACTCAGTAGCTAGTAATTTACTGTAAATTTACAAATGAAAATTTGACTTTTAATTTTATCAGACCTATAAATATGTTCATTAAACAATATCAATTGAATAATAGCAATGAACACATTTGTTCACTGTTTTGCACACTATGTTTTTGTATATGCACAGAACATCCTGAATATGCAGTTTTTGTCAACATCTAAGTGTTCCAGTATTTAAACAATAAAAAAAAACTTTAAAAGACAAAACCTGAATTGTAGAAATAAAAATGCTTAAAATATTTTTATTAAAATGTTTATTGCCTTTCTCAGTTGCATATCCCAGTTCAGCCTCATAACTGCACGTTTTCTTCTGTATTCTGGTTTTTCGATTTTAATCACTGGTTGTCCTTTCTCACTTGCTCTGCCAGTATCCAGGCTCTGAAGTTCAATCAGGTATAGCAAGCTCCACTTTAGGGCTGGGCGATATAGCAAAAATATAATATCACAATATTTCAAGACATTTTCGCAACTCACGATATTTGCATTATGACATTTAGTTTTTCTGAGGTTTAACAGGTTGGAACAGAAGCGAAAAACCTCAGTGAAACATTTCAGAAAATACTATCAAAACTATAGTGCAATGATTTTGTTCAAAGTTTAACATACTGTGCTGCCCTAAATCCAGTTAAATAGAACAGATGCTCTCTTTGTAATGAAATATGCAGTCAGTCAGTGTTCTTGAAGTAATGACAATATATACTGACAAATGTACTGACAAAGTGCTATGATGTCCTTTATCACAGTAACAATAAACATTGTCATATTATCTACCCCAGCTCCGCTCCAATAGTTCCTCATCCACACAAAACTACCTGTTTTGGGATTACAGCTCAGGAACTAAGATTTGTTCTGATTAGAAATATGCCTAAAAGTTGCTGGTTCCTGGGAAGTTCTTGCAGTAGAGACTTTATATAGCTTTATATGTCTTACACTCTCCAGGTTCTGTCCCTGCGTCCGGAGTGGGAGGTGACCCTGCAGGGTGGAGGGGGGAGATGTATGGTGGAGGTGGTCTTCACTCCTCTGAAGCGCATGGCTCCTTTCAGCGAGGAGCTGCAACTGAAGTGTTTAGGCACCATGAGACCCCTGCTGGTGCTGAAGGGCTGCTGCCAGGGCATGGAGGTCACACTGGACCAGGACTACCTGGCCTTTGGGGCTGTAGCCCAGCGCTGCCAAGCCACACGCCGCATTGTCCTACAGAACACGGGCGACATCGGGGCTAAGTACATACACACATACATTCACATGTCAGCTTTTCTACGTGTGCTCTAAAGAGAGAATCGAAGCTGATTTTTTTTTGCTATTGCCAATTCACTTGCTTTAGAGGGATATTGAATCCTATTCTTTTTTTTCACCATGCTAATACTATTACATTTTTGGTTCATATAATTGTTTTATTGATTCACTAAATGTGTACTTTTTATTCTTTTGTCATATACACATTTTATTACACATATATAGTGTAATAAAATAAAGTCCAGCAAAATTCTCATGTAAGACCTTTATTACTTGTATAGTACCGTCCTTCCACAAAAGATGTTCCACATTCACATTACCGTACATATTCCAAACCCACTATTTTCAGACTGACGTGTACATGTGTTTATATCAGGTTCCAGTGGGATGTGAAGTGCTTTGCTCCGGACTTCAGTATCTCTCCTGCTGAGGGCTATATCTCCCCAGGAATGGAGGTACCTTTGGAGGTGACCTTTGCTCCAGTTAAGGTGAGGCAGGATGTGCGTTATGATAACCTCTACTGCTCCATCGAAGGAGGCAAGCCTGTGACCCTCACCCTGGCTGGCTCTTGCATCACCCCACCAGTTGCCAATCAGGTAAGATTCTTGCCTCAAGCTAATCAACATGTATTGATAGTTAACAGTGTTTTACTTATTTATGCAGATAGATTGTGACCCTGAGGGTTGCTTATCACATAAATATAATTATTTTAATGGAACATGTTTGGTCTGTTTTATCTAAAGCTGGGCCTACACTACATGATTTTTAACTTGGATTTTAACCCCAATTTGTCCCTTCCAACAAATGTTCACAATCTGAAGCAATATTCCCAGTCAGGTGTTCAATAGAACGATTGAGGATGCAGATGATCTGGAAGAGTGAGAAGGCAAACAAGACAAACTTCAGTCTTCCAGTTGAGCTCTGGACTGTGAGATGGTCAAAAATGTTACTAGTGTGTTATGATGCAGCGTGAGATGGTCAGCGATGCAGACTGAAAAAGTAGCTCAGACAACAGCCAGTGATAGAGATAGAAAAGTGGAGAAAAAAGGCAAAGAGACGTGTATGCAGGCCACATGTGCAGCAGACTTTGGAAACAGAGATTCTGCTTGTTAAATATAGGCAAAGACTTACTATCTTACTAATCACTTTGAAGTCAGCTGCCAGTTTGTAGTAAAATAGTCTTTCAGCTCTCTTTGTGATACCTGTGTCTCAATCATAAATTCATCCCCACTTTGCATTTTTGCTATGCTTCTTGTGTGTGCATGAAAGCACAGGCAGGTCCAGTCCAGACTATTTTGTATCATGTGATAATGGGGTGATCTGGGATTTTGAGTGCTTTTTGTAGCTAGAACTCATTATATGTGTGACACCCACTTTTTACCTTATCATACAGTGTGCGCACCTTAACAAAAAATAACAAGAAATTCTGTTAAGACCATTAACACTGATGTTAAGTGTATGATACTCTCTGTTTTCAAAATCTGTTAAAGTTTGGTTAGTCATGTAGTGCATGCCCAGCTTAACTTTTCAACAATATAAAAGATTAAATGAAATCCTGGAGCTGCATCATGACTGTCCGTTGAGCTAATACTTTTCTTTATCTCCCCTGCAGGTGGTAAACTTTGTATGTCAGGTACGCAGTCAGTGCACTCAGTCTCTTAGCCTATCTAACCGCACAAACCAGCACTGGAGCCTGAAACCAGTAATTGAGGGCGAGTACTGGAGTGCCTCACCCTCCTTTGTCATTGAGCCCTACCAGCAGAACAAGGCCTATGAGATCACTTACAAACCCATGGTCATGACTACAGATGGCAAAAAGCACCTGGTAAATCTCCCCCCACCAGTCATCAGCCCCTCTTTAATATTTTACTTCTTTCCGACTGAAAACCTAAGAGTATACACTATATGTCCAAAGGTTTGTAGACACCTGCTTATCCAACATTTCTTCTGAAATCATCAATGCTGGGGGCTGTGTAGACCTTTAGCTAATGCTTGACATTGGGCATGATGACCTTAGGCTCATATGTGGCTGCTCCAGAGCACCCCAGTTTATTAGCAGTGTTTTTCTATGAAGATAATACAAGCTGCATGTGTGCAATAGAACACCTTAAAGTAGCTGAATTGACTAATTAGATGGGGATACTTTTGGACACATTGTGTTTTGGAAATAATTCCGAAGTGTGTGTGACTGACAGCAAGTCCTAAACTAATAAGTATAATATAAGGCTTTTAAAATGTAAATGCTCATTTAACATTCAACAAAAGTGAAAAAAAAAATAAAAACAAACATAATCGAGACAGTTCAAGCATAGAAATGAGTCAGGTTGGTGGATGAATTGTTTCTGAACACTACTTTTTGTGCAACAAATAACTAGAAAATACCAAAAATTTCAGTTCAGTTATCAGGATTAGAGAGGTCGGCTTTTACACCCTGCATAATGAAGAAGAAACACTTTTAAATGATGATCATTCAGCAACCACTCTTTGGTTCACTTTGATTTTTTAACAAAAAAAAGGTTTCAAGGACATGTAGCTTCGAAACACTAATTGTTATGGTAATGCTTACACAAGCTCAGTGTTTCACAGCTGGTATAGGTGGCCTCTTCTATGTATTTCTGTGATTTTTTATAATGTGTGTTTTTGTGTCTGGCCCAGGGCTCTGTCTTCTTCTCTTTCCCTGATGGCTCAGGCATGCTCTACACCCTTCAGGGCGTGGCTGAACCACCTAAGGCAGTGGGCACTATCAGCCGTGAGGTCCCCTGCAAGACACCATATACAGAGATACTGCCTGTTCAGAACTGGCTGCCCAAACCACAAAGGTATTACACACCAGTGGGGAGCCCTCAGGACCTTCTAGTCCTTCGGAGATGGTCTAACCATTTCTGTGAAATAAAAAATTGCTGTCTGTAATTCTTAGTTCATTTCATTTAATTTAATCATTGTGCTAGTTGTATCTAAACTCTGCCAATTTTGTAGTAATACCCTTATTTCATTGTTCAGTTTGGTTGGGAGCATGTAGGGAAAAAATATTGTCCAATCAGTCCAAATTGTCCAATCAGAATTTTTTCTTCATGGCATCCTGGTAGATACCACCAAGTGAGCCCTTCAACTGGCTATGACTGAATACGAGTCTAACCAGGTTTTACTCAGAAGTTAGAAATGGAAAACAGCAGCAGCAGCTCTATGCCAGGGCTTTTTTATTGGAAAAAGTCACTGTTATACTGCTGCTACAAGATAAAATATACGTAAATGTCTTTTTTGCAAGTTTCAAATGTCTGTGTTTAATCTAGAACGGCCAAAAAGAGGTTCATATGAATCAAAAAACAGTTTACTGCTAATATACTGTTATTTATACTATTATTTTGACTGACTTTGGACCAAACTGAAGGCCTAGGTTTAACACACACACACATACTCACTATATTAAAAATCCTCATAATTTAATATGACTCTTGCCTCATAGGGATTATCTCTGGGATAATTACTGTGATTGCTCTTCGGTCAAGGTGAAGAATCTCACAGCACTGTTTAACTGGCAATTCTGACAGTCGTGTAATGTACACTGTGCCCCTGCTGTGCAGGTTCCGTGCTGTAGTGGAGGTGATTAAGCCTGAACGACCAGACAGCACTGTCTCCCTGAAGGGCCTGGATTATGTGGACGTGCCTGCGCTGGCCAAACGGGACTACAAAATCTCCTTCTTCAGCTACAAAGAAGGGCCAATACAATGCCAAAGCAAGTGCCAAGCCCCATTACATTCTGTACTAATTCAATCAACAGCTGAGTGGAGCTTAAATCAATACCAAGTAATACCCCCAAATGCTAATGATTAATATGTTAATAACACTTGCAAGGCAGCCAGTTAGCATTATGCAAATTAGTCATGCTCTCCTTTTTCATTAAAACATGGTTAGCCATAATAGCAGTTTTCCTATTAAGCCCTGAAAGCATATTGCTGATCATGTTGATTCTTTTCACAGGTGACCTTTAAGAATGAGGTTACAGGAGAATACCTGTTCCACTACCTCAACTTCAAGGCCACTCCCCCAGGAGTGATTAGCACTATTGAGATGGTCACTGCAGCCAGGCAGACAACTTCAGCTTGTGTGACGGTGGACAATCCATTACATACTAACCTTGTGTTCTCTACTGAGTGTCGCAGTACAGACATCAGCATGCCCTCTCAGCTCCCAGTGCCTGCGCTGTCCAAGGTAAGACCTGTTTTTGAAGGCAGAACTATTTTCATCAAAACTACTAGTTGAGCTGATGTAGTAATTAAGTGAATCAGAAGACAGAGACATGTGTGGAATGTTTGTGCTTGTGAAGTGACCAGCAAAGATATTATTCTTGTCTCCACAGTTTGAATAATGAACACAACCACTATGGGCACATTTCATTCATGTATTAACTATATTATAAAGAGTGGATCATTGCACACATGCTACTGAAGTAGACATGAGTAAGCACATAAAGGACCAAAGGCCTTTCGCTCAGCTTTCATTCCTAACCAGTGAATACAAAGACAAAGAAAGCTTTTGGAAGCTGTTTCTAATTTCAAAAGACTGTGATGAAAATGCTCTCTCTCTCTCTCTCTCTCTCTCTCTCTCTCTCTCTCTCTCTCTTTCTCTCTTTCTCTCTCTCTGACATTCCCTCTTTCTTTCTTTCTTTCTTTCTTTCTTTCAGGGCACCTTGAAGTTTGAGTACCAGCCTTTGCGTACAGGCGAGTCCACAACGCGACTGACGCTACATAACAGTGAACTGGGTTTCTTCCATTATGAGCTGCTGCTCCAGGCTCTCCCTGCCCTTCCTGAGAAACCCCTATTCTTTAGAGCCCCGCTGGGCAGCAGCCACTACCTCACTGCCAAGTTCACCAACTATTCCCGCGTCAAGGCTGAGTACGCCTGCAAGGTACAGTTTAGTGAAGAGTTGAAAAACAAAATTAAAAATGAACTTGCTGTTTGCCAAGCGGCATTTTTCATTAATGCATTCTTGTTGTTTTAGCTGCACTGTAATATTGTGCATAATTTTCGCTCTATCTTCTGTTAGGTCTTTTACTGTTTGTGGTATTACAATCAAGTGATGTCCCATCTGATCTTAATATTGCAGAATATTTCAGTGACCGTACTGACTTAAAGACAAATGCAGAACTTAACCTATAGGATTTAAATCAGAGTCACCTGAACCTGGATTTGTGATGCTTGAAAAAAACGCATGTGTAATTGATATTTTTTTAATTTTTGACTGTGAATTTTGAATATTTTAGTATATGAATTCTGTCCAAATTCCACCTCATGTTATAGAAATTCACATAAACTTGCTTTTGTGGTTTGTAAGGCCATGTGACAAAGTGTCATCTATAAAAAAGGACAAAACTATAGACAAAAATTCCAAATGGCTCTTATGCGACTTACTTTTGTACATTTGGGGTAATGGGGAAAATTGTATAAATGTTATTGTTTGCTAAACTGTTTTGTTTAATCCTACTAAACGCTTATTTAGACAGACTTTCCAGACTTCATTGTGGACAAGAACGTAACGGTGGCGGCAGGCTTTCAGACAGGCAACGATGCCAGTGTGGAGGTCTGTTTCGAGCCCAGCCAGCTGGGTGAAGTACGAGGCCTGCTAACAGTTTCATCCAGCTTCGGTGGCGAGTATGTGTTCCCCCTGTATGGCACCTGCACCCCTCCCAAAGCCCAGGGCCCTCTGACCATCCGTGCTGGCTCAAACGTCTCCATCCCCTTTAAGAACGTTTTCCCACAAGCCACTGCTTTCTCCTTCCACGTGGACAACCCGGCCTTTACTGTCAAGGGTGTGGACACCATCCGGTCCAAGAAGACCCACAACGTTCTGGTGACCTACGAGGGCTCACCAGCAGGCGGCAAGGCCCCTTGCACAGGGAAGCTGACCATCTCCAGTCCACGGACAGAAGGCCATGGACAGAGCCTCTCCTGGGTGTACTACCTAAAGGGTTTCTGCCCAGAACAGCCTCAGAGAGAGAAGACAGCGTAGGGTGATGCTGAAATCCAGAGAACAAATATTACAATAAGCTGTTTTCCTCAAGCTGTAGTTTCCAAAATAAATGAATGCTTTAGAAATAAAAAAAAAAATGGCATTCCTATTTGTACAGTTTTTTATTCATTCAGTTTTGTATTGATGTACAGTACTGTACAAAAGTCCAAGACCACCCTTCATTTATTTATTTTTCAGGCAAAATGGATGTTAAGTACAAATTATTGTACAAGTTATACTTTTGCCAGCATCAGGAAAAAACAAAAACATGTTTAACAGAAAATATCACAGATGTCATAATAACTAAATGTATTGTAAAATTATCCAGTATTTAGTGTGTTCAACCATTGCCTTTATTACAGCAGCCATTCTTTTCGGGAGACTTGCTTTCAGTTTTTCAAAGAAATCTACAAGGATATCTATTTGGATATTTCTCATAATCTAAGCAATTCCAAATACATGGACTCTGCCAGTTCATTGTTCTGAGAACACAAGCAGCTTTTCTGATTTGCAAGTTCTTCTTTTTTGTCTATTTCCTTTTCTCAGTAACAGCTTCTTGACAGCTACACATCCTTTCAGATCCACAGTATTGAGTTGTCTTCCCACAGTGGAAGGATGGAAAGAAACACCTGTAGATTTTTTTCAGATCTGAACCAAGAGTGGAACTTGATTTTCTCATCTCTCTCAAAGATAAAAGCTTTAAGAACTGTTTATCTAATGGTGACAGTTTTGGTGGTCTTTTAATATTTTTAAAAGTTTAGAAACTTTTTTCACATATTTTCCTTTACTTTCTTTTTCCTGTGCAAATTGATTATTTTATAACTTATCTACTCAGAAATATTTCATGAAAAATGAATAACTTTCCATTTTGACCGGAAATGAAATAAATTAATCAATGGTGGTCTCTGACTTTTGCACATCACTGTGCTTTTCCCCTTTAACTTACATTTAAGAAATACTTTCAAGTATGTAACTGTGGATTGCAAGACCAGTCCCAGATTACAACTGACCTCCACCAGGAGGTGCACTTGCTGCCCTTTCCAACACCTCTAACATGACACGTAGGAGTATACTCCACTCTTATTAGAGGGATTTGTGTGTGTACACATTTCTGTGTGTGGTGAGTGCTTGCTAAAACTTGCCTCCAATTTGTGGTTTGCATACGAGTTTAATATTTGTCTGATTTAAAAAAAAATTTTTGTCTCATTCTGGAGAGACACTTCATGGACTGTGGGAGTGCTTTTAATGAGAGAGTGGGCGAGCAGAGCCAAAGCAAGGGCAGCATGACATTAAGCAATAGCCCTCATAGGGACACAGTTTAAATTGGCTCTCAATTTTTCTGCAGTTTGTTCGCCGTACCCTCTTCTCCAAATGCCCTCGTGAGCCCTGACCATTAAGTGGGTCAGTTGACAATATGATAATACTGAGCTGCTTATGGTAAACCGCCAGCTCCCTGGAAAATCTGTCGCTTATACCAGTGCAGTACATGTATCATATCTGCTACAGGCTTTTAAGTGTGAAATAGGCTTGAAGTAATAATCATCAGACCTAATTGTCTGAATGTACTTGCAGTTGTTAGTCTCCTCAGTGATTCAGCGTTGATAGAGTGGACTCTGTCTGCCAGAGATGCATTTGATGGCTCTCTACATGCATCCGCCAGCGCTCATTAGCCATTTCCAGAGTAATCAAGACAAAATGTCTTTCGCTGAAAGAGCTAGGGTACAGCAGCTCCAGTGGGGCTGAGTGGCAGGCAGCCCACCATTCTGCGGCCAGGCATAGACGGGGCCCTACAGAGCGTGAAGGAGCTGGCCCCCTACTGGGTGCTCCAGCAAGGGGCTGATGAGGCTATAGCTGCAGTAACCAGAGTGGCCGCTCATCTGCTAAGGGCCTTCGAGGTTCCGTGTGGGCACTGCGGCGCGCCACTGTGCTGGCTTAGGCAAAGAGGCGGGAAACGGCCTGTTACAGCTGCACTGAGGCGGCAGGGGGTGGTGTCCCAGGCGCCACCGAAGACAAGAGATTACGGCTTGTCATAATTAGCCGAGCTCAGCTTGGGGAGGAAAAAGCAGAAAAAGCTTTTGCCTCCACTCGCCGTACATTAAAGAGACATACTTTCAGCGCTGCGTTTCTGTTAGCCTAAATGCCTCGCTATAGGACCACAAACTGTGTGTATGGAGGGGGCTTGTTCTGAGCACCAATTAAATAAAGGGGCCTTTTAGCAGGGAGGACTTAATCACCTCTGGCAAAGGGCAGGACTGGGGGAGACTTTCAACAGCCTTTCAACTCTCAAAGGTCACCTGAGGCCTTTATAGAGACGCTAAGGTAATGAGGGTGTCATAGGAGTGAGGAAGCAAGTGAGAAAGCACCCCCTCCGGAAATAACGGAACTACAGGATTTCCTCTCAGTGCAAATGGGGGAAATCTCACATTTTATGTTTTGAGCTTTTGTAATGCTTAGTTGTATTAGAAACAGAATAGCCATCAAATCAACCCATAATAATCACACCCAAAAAATCGACTCATAATACAGATGCCTACAGTTTCCATCAACTACCAAGGACAACCAAGATGATAGTAAACGGTCATATTGTTTCAGAGATTCCTCATTCAGGATTGACAAAGCCCATTTTGTTTGATCTTTCATTGGCCCAGAACATCATGCAATTACATGGAGGGTCAAATGCAGGTGTGGAAAATACTTGCCTACACTATGTAAGTTTCGGGCATTTAAATGTTTAATTGCACGCAACACTATTGTGATTATAACTTCTTTTGTATAATGTTGGTCTTGCAATTGACACCTAGACATCAAGCCAGACCTTTTTAGCCTTCCTATTCATATCAGTGTAATATTAAACTACCCACAATTATGCTACTTTGCCTTTGTGTAAGGACCAGTACTGACCATCACCACACTTAAAACAAGCAAAACAACAAACAGAAAACTTGTTAATTATTTGTATTTTTTACTTTATATGCTTGAGTATATTTAGACGTAGATACTTGTTTTTACTCAAATATATTTTTGGCTCCAAACTTTCACTTTATATTGAGTAAGATTTTGACACAGTACACATGCTTTCACTTAATATACTTTCTCTGTACTTCCACCCTTGGTCATATGTTATGTTTTTTGTTAGCCAAGGCTAGCAACTTGGTTGTTTTGAAATCTCTACCTGTGGCTTTAAGTCCTAATATGATAGCAAGTCACTGGTCTTTTGTTCAGAGCTTTTGCTGCTTCCAATTTCAGGTTATAGACTTCCCAATGTCTGCCAAAATTATACTTAGTAAATGCTTGTCCTTATCCATGGCATCTTCTGATGTATCTCCTTAGTAGGAGCATGTCAGCTACTTTGCCAGTGTTCCCTTCATCGCTGTCTCTATTTCCTGCCAGTAAGGTTGTTTCACTGGCCAAAATCCATTCAGACAGGGCCATACAATATGAAAATGATCTGCTGGCATTCTGCATTGTCTAAAGTTTGGACCTTGGTTGGACCTTGTCAGCCTGCTGGCCTGCTGGCACAGCATGTGTTTCACAAGTGATGAAATCCTTTCAAAGAAAGTTGGCAGTTGTAGCCATTGTTTGGCATGTATTTGCCCGGGCTACATCCGTAGGAACAAGTCTAGGTCTGATTTGAGGGCTTTTGTGTAAAAATACACCATTGTTTAGTGCCAAAGTGCAGCTTAGCTGCTTGAATAATTCCTGCATCCAAGAAAATGTATTATTTGAGTCTTGTATTAGCTGTGTGGTGAGGCAGTGATAGACTGAGGTCTACTCAGTGTCATTTGAGTAGTTTGAATGTTTAATCAGAGTCGTGTGGAATATTTAGGTCACACATTTCTACTTTTCACCTAGTTATCCACTTTGGTACTTGTGATCTAATTCTTATATTATCTACTGATATCTGTTTTGGGTTGCTAGATGAGGTGAGAAATTCTCCAGGGAGACTTACTTCATTATTAAGTTGCCCAGTTGCATAGATGAAAGAAGGTGCCGGTGGGTTTGGTCAGGCTTTAGTCAGGGTATTGTTCAGGTCACATGCGTCCTTATAGAAACATTGATTAAACTCTTTGATCATCTGTTTATACAGCAAATCCATGAACTTGTTTTCACAAGTTAAAGTATAGTTAAAGGGAAATTCTGTGTTTTTTTTTCAAAATGAAACTCTGCTAATCAAAATTGTTCACATTGGTAGTGATGAAACCAGTTTAATGCCTCTAAATAGCTTCTTCACAGAAAGTTATTAAGCTACATGAAATGGTTATGGATACTCTGCCTGATGGTACATTGTTTTAAATTAGTTTTCACAAGATTTTGGCCTAAAAGATTTTATTAATCCCTTGATGGTGGAGAGGTACATACAGGGTGTTGTAAGGCAAAATAGTCCCCAAATAAATCTTATTTTCAGATGTACCACTATTTCACCATTATCAACACTACATATTTAAGACTTGTGAAAAAACGTCTCATGTGTAGGCTTGCTGGTCATACTAGCTATTCAGTGTAAAATGGCTATGTTTGCGGTATAGATATTGTAACTCCTGGTTCCTACAACCACCACTGTAATCCAAAATCCGAGTTGGTACGTTTTTCTGCAATGCACTTTGAATTTCACATTGAAACACTCTGACTTTGTTTCCATCTATCTTATGCAGAAAGGCAGCCAAGTTGGAATTCTCTTTTAAATTAGTTCTGAGATTCAAAGTTAAATGCAGGCTCAGCTTTTAGTACAAAAATTGGCGTCTCTTGGCTTGTGCAATGAGCTGGAATTTTACATTATTGGTTATTCACATATGGCTTCATAAAATCTCACATTACAGAGTAGTGAAGATATTATTTCTGCACTGTTATATATGAAGGTTCTGTGCAGGTACATTTTTCTTTCATCAAGGTTCAAACAATGTAAATGTTCCCTGAAAGGTACAGAGGTGGCTTTAAGGTCCAATTGTGTACCTTAAATAAGTTTTTCCCAGGTGAAAAGTACATATTTGTACCTTTTCATTACCTAATGTTTTAAAACAAAACATTCAAATAAAAGCCCTGGAGACGAGACAGGGTTTCTGGAGTCAATACAACTTATTGTATATCAAAATATAATTTCAATGGATTATGGTACAGTTACTGACTACCACCCCAGTGACAAGTGGTGTACTATCCCAGTGACAGATTCGTGAGAGTGTAGTGTAGTACAATGCTGCAGTAAACAAGTATACGAGGCCACAAATAAAAATGAAAAGCAAAAACATATCGTCAAAACTAACTTCAACGCTTGAGCTTCAGTACTTTAGATCAGTGATTCTAAAGCCTGGTCCTGAAGTAGCCCTGAAGTGCGTATTTGGTGCAGAAGCATTCAAGCACACAAGATTCAACCCACTGGCTCATTACAAAAACCTTAGAGTTGAAGTAAGTGAGTTGTGGCAGGAAAAACACCAAACTGTACAAGCATCAGCACTTAGAATCACTGGTGTTAGTGGTTTACCGGCTCTAGGGGCTTGTAAATGCGCTGGATTGAAACCACAGTAACTGGGCTGGGCAAGGTCTCCTCCAGAACCAGGTCTGGCAGCCACTGCACTAAAGTGTGCAGGGTAGTGCTGTTCCAGCGCTCTAGAGGTGTGTGTGTGTGTGTGTGTGTGCGCGCGCGCGCGCCTGTGTTTGGGCATGTGCTGATGTCAGAGGGGAGGGAGGGACCGGCCCCCATAGCGCGCAGCATGAACGCGCCGAGGCAAAAGGATGTGTGAGCAGGCAGCGCGCTACTGCAGGGACGGCGTCCACAAGCTGCTCCACAAGGAACAAGGCAAACTCCGCGCACAGGACAGCGGCGAGCAGCCCAGAGGCGGCGGGCCGCGGGACAGCGAGACAGCGACGGCTGCACCGGCCCAGAACAGCGGCGGAGCCCAGCCCGGGGGGATCGACGGGCTAGTCCGCTGGATAGTCACCAAGATGAGCGACAACAAAAGCATCTCGACGCGGGAGTACGCCAAGGAGGAGGAGGAGGTGGCCGTGGCCCAGGAGCAGTTCTTCGCCCCGGAGCCACGGAAAGGCATCTCCGTCATTCTGGACGTAAGTGGCTTTTGTGTTGTTTAATGGTCAGCTGGCCGGTGCTGGCACTTTCAGTTAACTTTATTAATGATAGCAGACGACTTGAGAAGAAGTTGCGGTCTTTGGGCTGACACTTCTTAACCGCTCTGATACCCCTGTGCTTGTAGCTGTGGGAGCTGATCGCATTAACGCAGTTCAGCAGCTCAGAAACGCAGATGTTCGCTTCAACTTTCTTTTATCTCACCACTTCACGCTCTCGTTTCGCTTCAGACCCCATTCTCTTCACATTCTGTGTCAGAATAAGACAAACTATTGTTTATTTCGCCGTGTTATTCTTCCTGTGAGTCGCTGAGCGCGAGGGTTGTGCAGCTTTGATGTTCAAAATAGACTGCGTAACTCGAAGCAGCTGGATCCAAAGGCGAACGCGCTGTTTTTCCCCACCTGTTTTCCGCCCTCCCGTATAAGCAATGCCGCCCTCCCGTATAAGCAATGCTTTGCTTTTCCGCGCTGGGATTGGCTAACAGTTCATATTATAGCGACGGTGAGCTGCCGGCCAATCATAGAGCAGGACGGAGATATTACTAGCCAATAATAGTGCAGGAGGCGGGGGTTGTCGGAATACGGGTGGAGAATAAAACAACGCTCTAAACAGCCGTTTGAAGGCTTCCTAATTTCAAACCAGTTAAAATAGCACTAGGCTACATGTAATGTCCTCATAAGTAGCTTACCGCCCAGCTTGTTTTGTGCTCGTTGTATTGTTTCTACGCGTTGTATCATCTCTCACGACCATATATGTGACAAGCACACCCTGCTTAAATAATTTATGAAGCTTTTCCAGTGAAGCCCTGCTGCACCGAGGCGAGGTCTCAGCAGTATTGATTTAGCAGGTCAAAGTGTGTCGTCCTGGTATTTTTCAGCGCTTCTTCATTACCTGATGTTCTGTCTCTTGAGATTAACAAATGGGGGAAAAGTTAAAACCATGCCAGTGTTAGGAAAAGTAGTTCATTTCCAGACCCAGATACAGCAAAAGGTAGTAGTACATTTAAGTGGTGCATTAAAACTAATTAAAAAAGGAGAGAGTAAAAAAAAAAAGACTGGAGGCACAGTTGTACCCCAGAAATGTGAAATTAACACAATCACACTGGAGAAAAAGGAGGTCTGAGGCACAGAAGGACAAAATGAAATGTTGCAAGAGAGGGATGTGGAGCTCAGAATGAGAGAGAGAAAGTGCAAAGCGCTCCATGGAGGCTCACTTGGGAGCGCAGGTGCCTGTCAAGGAATTGATTTCCATCCTCACTTCGGGGGTGGATTCCATTACCTGCGTGAAGCCTTCACCGTTCTGAGCTGTGTGGAGTGTGCTTCACTGTTAATCCAAATCTAAAAGTTCATCTGCTGTGACTGTTCAGCCCCTAACACTGCAAAACCATGCCTGTCGATCCACACTTCAATTCCTCACTCTCAGAACTACATGATGTGCATGTTAGTTTCATAGCATTAATGCAGCTCAGCAGATCATAGTTACCAAATAAAGTGTAGTAGTCACTCAAAGTCTTTAGATTAACAACTGAATATGGCTTAACTGTGGTCATTACAGGAAGTTTGCTCTTTGTTTGTGCTGAATAGCTTCAACATAAGTGGATATACGATCAGATGGAGAGCTAGGGTGTAACAATTTCAATACAGTTTCAAAAAAATGAACCTTCAAAACTCTGAAATTTAAAACTGGGTCACTAGTACACCCTGCAGTCTCTTACACTGTCTTTTGGTACCTCTGTCAGAGATTAAAACTAAGCAGCTGGGGGGGAACCTAGCTATATCTGTATAACAGTTCAGTTGCACTGTTTTATAAGATCACTGTTTTGCACAAGGACATGCAAGCATGGTTTATAAAAATAAATTTAGTAACTTTCTGAGCCAAACCAATTCATACAGTATCTAAATAGAGCACAGTGTGTTATGTGATAAATATCGAGACATTTTTACCACAAAATATTAGGGATGCACTAGTATGGGAATTATTGGGAATTATCATTTTTGTGTATTGTGCTGACACATAAACATTTGTAAAATGTAGAAACTGAGACTACATCCATGTGGATTGGGATACAGAGGAATGTAACACTGATGCTTAATGATGGTTAATGTCCCTAATAAGGGTTACAAATCATCGCTGTCCAAAGAAAAATGTGCATGTCCAAAATAGTAACTTTACAGCAGGAGGCAAAAAGTACTTAACTTTTGATCTTAGATAATGTAAATGGGAATTATTTCAAGTGATTTTGGAGCATTTCTGGTGGTCTTTTCATCATGAAATGTTTACACAATATAGCACTCAAATGATGTAGAAAAATAAAAAATAGACAGAAATGGAGATACATTGGACAAAAAGCAGTAAAATGAGGAAAATGCAGATATTTTAGAAAGGTATTCCAGCATCATCTAAACATTCAGTTTTTTTTTTTGAGTATATTAATGTGTATATATGTATGTGTTTATACATATAAATGATGCCCATTCGCATATATTGTTTTTTTGTTGTCCTGTCTAGTATTTATTGTTTTTGTATTTATTTTCTGGTGTATTTATTCTGCATTTGATACTTCTGATATCATTGCACATCCCTCTAATGTTTTGAAAAATCTAATCAAATCCAGCCCTCAGAACCTGAAAATATGTGTATTGTTATACCAATGCTGGCAACCCATTTGGTTTCTTTGATTGTCATAAGATTTGTCACAGTGTCAGACTAACTACAGGTAGGCAATACGGTAAAAAATATAATATTGTGATATTTTAAGAAATTTTCACAATAGATTATATGTCACATATGTTTGTTTTTTCAGACATCTGATGAGTTGGAACAAAGAAAAAAGAAACATTAGTGCTACATTTTAAAAAATACTATCAACAACTCAAATACAATGATTTCAATATTTGGCAAACTATTTTGGACTAAATCCATTAAATGGGACTAATTTTGATCTCTTTATAATGAAACATGCAGTTTGTCACTGTTCTGCAAGTACTGGCGATATCCACGACATGCTAAGAAAAGCATATTGTATTGTATTGTGATGCAGTTTATCACAATAACAATGTATATATCGTAAAACTGCCCAGTGCTGAGACTAACACTGCTCCTTCTGCTTATTCTTAGCATCGTCTCTTCAAACCACACTACAAAATTTTGTTAAAAAAGTATTTTTCAAAAGCCCAACTTAGAATTCTCTCTTGAAAGAGCACTTTCACAAAGTCATCAGTCTACCTCACATTAAGGAGATAATTATATGCTAATTACAGCTTAATGTTCTGTACTGACATCACTGTATGCTATTATAGACTTGAAACTATATAATATACACTGTAGGCACTCAGGCATAGATTGTGAGTACGTAAAGCACTGTGCTGTCTCCATGGATTTAACTCATCTGTATCTAGTCATGCAGAAGAGTGAAGACATGTTCACCTGGTTTCCATCACCTGGACTCAGCTGGTGATTGCACATGACATTTACTGACGACTCAATGTAGACGTGAACTTTGAAATATTGAAAGTATTGCCATTTGCTTAGTAAATTGGATCACAGCCAGGACATACTGCGGCAGCCACAGAGAATCAATGAAGTGGCGCTTCTAAGTAGGCAGTTGAGTGCGCACTGTAGAGTGAATTAAGGCGGCTATGGAGTACTACAGTGTTCATCTCTTTCTTCCCATTTGTCTTCATTGTCTTTGTTTGTAAGCTACTTATTCATACCCAGATTCTAGTGCCATGAATATAAATTACCATCTATACTGGTGTACAACAACATTGATTTTTGGTTCTATCTACAGATAGACAGCAAAATCTGTGTAATATATGCCAATTTATGGGTTCATCAATTTTTTTAAAGTGCAGTTCAAAATTCATAACTAAATAAACAGTAAGTTTCTGTTTTGGAAATGTGCTTTTTGCCTGGTTAGCATTTTGAATACTGTGTAAGGCTTCAGCATAATTTATACAGTAAAAATTACAAAAAAGCATTTCTTTAACACAGAGTGACAGTTCCAAGAAGAACAGGTTCAGTGACTTTATCAACCATTTGAGCTCTAAGCTTATTGTCCAGTTACTAATAAGTAGTTATTCAGTCTTTTGTAAGTTAAATAGCTACGATTAGGCCTGTCATAATTATTATAAAATTAACTATTGTAATTATTAGAGCTGATTGCATTTATTTAAGCTGATCACAATTATTTTGACATTTGTTAGCTTTCCTAATATGCTTACATCACAAAAAACTCAATGTGAAAAGTGTTCTCACCATCTGGGATGAGGTAAATAAATGTAAATAAAAGAAAGCAGAAAATGTATCATCATGGGTCTTACAACAATAACACAGAAGCCCTGAATGGTGCTGTAATACGTTTAGAGGACAGTGGTGAGTAATGTTTGTTTATTTGATGTTTGTTCATAACACGTTTAGAGAGTGGCAGTGAGTAATATTTGATGGTAATAACACAGTTAGAGGACAGTGGTATGTTGTTTTTTTATGCTAATAACACATTTAGAGGGCGGTGGTGAGTATGTTTGTTTATTTGATGTTTGTTAATAACACTTTTAGAGGGTGGTGGTGATTAACGTTTGTTCATTTGATGTTTGTTAATAACACGTTTAGAGAGTGGCAGTGAGTATGTTTGTTCATTTGATGTTTGTTAATAACACGTTTAGAGAGTGGCAGTGAGTATGTTTGTTCATTTGATGTTTGTTAATAACATGTTTAGAGAGTGGCAGTGAGTATGTTTGTTTATTTGATGTTAATAACACGTTTAGAGGGCAACAGTGAGTAATGTTTGTTTATTTGATGTTAATAACATGTTAAGAGGGTAGCGGTGAGTAATGTTTGTTTATTTGATGTTAATAACATGTTTAGAGGACAGTGGTGAGTAATGTTTGTTTATTTGATGTTAATAACATGTTTAGAGGACAGTGGTGAGTAATGTTTGTTTATTTGATGTTAATAACACGTTTAGAGGGTAGCGGTGAGT